GAGAATAATGTAAAATTCAATCGCGATGTTATCATGACGATTAGATGACTCGGAAGTTTCGAGAAGCAAATAAAATCGATATGATGAATAAAAAATACGAAAAAGATATTATGGAATTATTAGAATTCTTGGAATTTCGAATTTTTTTCTCTTCTTTTTTTTATATTAGATTTTTTTCCATCTCAATTACATATGAATTTCCATGCGTAACTTTCTAGAATTGCGAACAAGTTTTTCATCGAGTGAACATTTCATCGAATCTGCTGATTTTCATATAACAATATGAAGGAAAAACAAATACAAATGATACAAATTCTCTGAAAAAAAGAAAACCAAAATATCGATATAAGTAGAAACATCGAGCCAATAATGACCATTGCTTATCGACTAAGTGGTCAATTGTGTCCAGTTATTCACAAAGTAAAAGGTAAAAAAACACTTTACTATAATAAGATGACCGTTACTTTTATTACGTTTACTATTATTATCCATTAACTGTAAAAGGCCAATAAACACCCAAAGAAAAACCTAACTAGGTAAAAGAAAAAGTTTCCATCTAAAAAAAAAGGTAATCATATAATTAGCCCTGAGGCAAATTCCCATAGTAAAAGGTAAATAAATTTTCAACTGGTCATTTGGAGCAGGTAAGAAGCTTGAGATGAAATGAATTAAAAGAAATCAAATCATCTTAAATGTATGAAAATTTAATTTACTGACCAGTCGATGATGAAACTCTCATTGGGTTCCAGTGGTCAGTTGCCCGATAAAAGGGAGTAAGAAGCAGTGATGACCAAAAAATAGCCTTTGCTTTCACCTGAAGTTCAAGGGTTACAAAAAAGTGGGTGGTAAATGAGACCATAGGTAATAATCAATGGATCACAAAAGGAAACAAGCAAAAAAAAAGTCGGATTAGTTGCTGGTCATCATAATGATGGACACAAAGTGAATACAATTTGACAAAGGTGGACAATGATGGGTGGTAGTGGGTGGTGGTGGTTAATGAGACGCCGACAATAATAATTTTGTATCAATTGTATCAATGGGAACACCTATTGAGAGTCTATGAAAACCTTTTACTTTACCTTTTCTATCAATATGTTTATTGGTCAAATGGATTAGATGACCACCCCCTCTCTTGAACCCGAAGTAAACTTGATCCCGGTCATCAAGTTGATCTCTTTTCAAGCCCATTCAATTGTAATTATATTGAATTAACCCCATCAATTAACCCTAATCATTAGGTTTCCTTTTTAATTATATTTACGTCAATCAAACCTTAACAAACCCATAAGGATAATCTTGACTATCTTTAATTATCAATTGACTGTTGGTCAATAATATTAGTCATTGTATTGGTCAGTGGCAACAATTACAACAAAAAAAAACACTCGAAGACAAAAAAGTAAACATTTAATTGAACCAATTGAATTGATTAACACCAATCAATTCAATCATCTTGTTAATCAATTTCTTACTTAATCTTATCCTTAATCCTTCATTATCATTTGTATGGATTAACATCACTTTGGATATTTGGTCGGTAAAAACACAAACATCTCTCAACAACTGGACACTGAATCTCATTGACCATCTAAACAAATGTCCAATTATCTTCATCATCCTTCATCTTCCTTCATCTTCCTCTTTATCTTCATAGAATTTTTTTTCATATTTAACCTGAAAATCCTTTGGGATTAGTCAACATGAGACAAGGAAACAAAAGATTAACCAACAAGAAAACCAGGTAAATGTTTTGACAAAATCTATTAAGTGACCACTTGATGACCTTTCATTACGACAACTATAATGAGGTCAATTTGATAATCATAATGATATCAATCATATTTAATTGGATTCAGATTTATTATCATGATTGATTTCAGTTTAATTTAAATCAAATTCATATTCATATTGATCTGGTCATTAGATGGTCAGTTTGTGATGTATTGTTTATGAATAAACAAAAACTGACCAATACAAGTGTCCAAAATTGTCCAAACTTGTAGTAATCAGTATTATTATTGTTGCTCATTGACTTTAATTGTTGAATGAAAAAAGTATCATGTTGATGATTATGATTAATCCCATTAGTTAGTTGATCCTTTTCATTATTATGATCATCAAGTGAACCTTATTATTAAATCACAAGAAATTACAATTATAATCAAGGATCAATTTCATTTATCATTATGATCCAGTTACAATTTATTAATCAGTTTTCACGGTTGAAATTGTCTGCACATAAATTTTGTAATTCAACTAATCAAATAAACAATTAATCATATTAACTACTTAATATTTGTGAAAACAAATTTAATTGTTACAATTGATATTGGAATCACTTTCATCATCAGCCAACGATAATTTAACTGATTAAGTTAAGGTGTTAAATCATTTGTATTAAATTACAATCATTTACTTAATAATAATCATTATCTTAATCATTGATTGTAACTAAATGATGATCATCATGATCATCATCAATGAGAATGGGAGTCAAGTGGGTGGAGGCGGAAAAGGAAATGATGAAATAGGATAAATGTTATAGGGAACATTTTGATTCTCATCCTATATAAATAAATATATAAATTGTAACAATTAAATTGTTGATTCATGATGGTGATCAAGTTGATATGTGATATTTGACGATCAACAATATAATTAGATTGTTACTATTAACTAGTCGGTAGTAATTGTTGACTTTTAATGTTATTTTTTTCCAATAATGATTAAGATAAACAGTCAATTGAAATATAAGATTATCAAGATTCTGGATTAAATTATCATGAAGATTAACATTTAAATTGGTTGATAATTTGTGTTACATTGACTAATAATTGATTGTGATGGGAAATGATTGTTGATGTGATGAAGATGATCCGTTAATTGTTATGATGATGGTGAAAGATTATGTTGATGGTATCAATTGAATTGGTTTAATATGTTTAGATTGTTAATCAGTCAACTGAATCAAATCAATTGTTAATCATACGAATAGATAATTTAATTGTTGTGTCTTCCTCTTTCTTTTTTTTCTCAATGAAAACGATGCTCGAGGATGAGGATGAAAGATGACAGGTAAAAGAGGATGAAAAAGAGATGATGATAAATTTTACAAGAGAGAGAGAGAGAGAGAATCAAATGATTAGCATTCTCTGAATATCGAATTTTTTTTTCATTCTTTTTTAGATTGGATTTTTCTCCATGACATTCTTATTGTATCGAATTGATCCAATTAGCTTAATTCTCTCGCTTATTCATGATTAAAGTCATTAACTGTGACACGAGAATAGAGTTAAGTCTTAATTGTAGCAATTAATGTCAACTTATGTTCGAGTCCGGAAAAGAACAATAAACTAATCAATGTGAAGGAAAAAAAACTTGACAAGTTTTTGTTGAAAGTTCTGATCTATTTTCCTAATGATCAACAAAATATTGAAAGATAATTAAGTAGTTATTGATAGAGAAAAAAAACTGTTCTAATTAAGACGAAAGTCTAAAACTGACCAACTGAGTTGCAGACAAATTTAGTTAATATCGAACTGACCATATGAAGGAAACGGAAGTTTATCCATAAATGTCGAGGAAAAACAATTTTAAAAATGAGAGAAAATATGAAAACTGAAAAGGATTAACAATCGATGGTCAATAATTATGATGATGATTGACTTGAGGTGGAAAATGAATATATTGTGACGAATGATAATTTGACAAAAAGATGAGCTTGATTATCATTAAGCCGACACAATGATAATAATTAACAATCAAAGGTAAACTAATGGGATCACCTATTGTGACCTTAAAGGTGAAATAACGAGTTACCTGTTTGTTTTGTTTTCGTTGTTTTTTTTTGTCTATTTGGTGGTAACATTTTTATTGGACTAATAAATTATCGTGATTATTATCATTTGATAATCGATTCACGGTTAATTATAATTCAATTTTAATATTTGTCATAATTAATCAATCATTTTCTTTAGTTTTCTTTCTTTCTTTTTCTCTTCCATAATAATAATAATTATAATTTATTTCGTTTGACAAAAAAAAGATACAATTCTTATTTTCCCTGCGGTTATTTTGATGGAGATTTTTTTTCTTTTTCTGTCTCTTTACTTATGTGACACTTTTCGGTGTTTTATCCTTCGATTTTGGAACCAAACCTTCACCTGAGTATCTGATAGTCCAAGAGATTCACTTAGGTGGGCCCTTTGCTCACCCACCATGTATTGGGTGTGAGTGAATATCTTTTCCAATATTTCCAATTGTTGTTGAGTGAAAATTGTCCTTAACCTTTTGCTTTTCTTACTCGATGACATTGAGCTTTTCGAGGTGATTTCATTGGATTTGTTGTGATTTTTTCCATCAATTGTTGTTTTCCTTTTGATTCCAAGTAAATCGTCAATGAGAAACGATGATTTATTAATAGTTACAGTTTGTGTCTTATTTGTATCAATCAATTTTTCCTCTGGTAACATTTGATTGGTGGTAATTGAATGATCCTTAGAGTAATCAACTGGTAAGTCACATAACTGATACAAAGATGATGAGTAAAATTGTCGGAAATTAGAGTTAATGTTTCCATGTTGAATAAGATGATGATGATGAATATTAAATAATTGATCCTGAATAACCATCGTATTAGTTGATTGTTGTTGATTGTTTTGGGAATACACGAATATTACAATTGACACTTGAGATACTTTCTAGTGGACAAATGAATGGATCAACTTGTAGATCACTTTTGGAATAGACTAAGGGAATGAGAGAAGAAACTGAGAAGGAGGAGTGTCATCATCTTTGGTCTTCGGCGGGAGAAGGATGAGAAAGTGGATGATAAAGGAGAGATATTTTGTTTGTGATGCTAAATGAAACTTTATCTTCTACCTCCGGGAATTTGCCGTAAGGTTTAATGATATGATCATAAAAAGTAACGGAGATCCTATTATAGCAAAGTGATTTTTTACCAGTGTAAATAACTGGACACAATTGACCAATACTCATTAAGGGAAACGCTCTTGGTGGCTTTTATTTGGAAAAAAAAGCTCTCAGACTTATTTTTTGGTTTGTACACTGAAATTGTTGACTGAGAATCATGGATATGATTAGTATTGGAATGATCTTTGAGTTTGAATGTCATCAAGAATTTGTCTCAAATCTTCATCAGTAAATCGAGTTTCCAACGATGGTAACAAAGCTTTTGCCTCTTCTGGTGTTTCAGGGCAAAGGTTTGCCAATTGAGCGAATTCAAATTTATGAAGCTTCTTATTCATCAATTGATGTCGTACAGCAGCAATTGTCTCACGATTTTTAAATTTACTGAATCTCTGACAATAGTTAAGAGTTTTGGTAAATATCTCATTCAATTCTTGCTCTTCTTCACGTTCCTCGTTCTGTTGTTTCCTGTGTTCCATTAGCATGCAAACTTCACTGGTCAATAGAGTCTCAGCATTTTCAAATTCTGGAGGAAACTTCAATTCAGTTGCATCTTCCTCAACGGTAACAGTTCCTTCAGCTTGTTGACCACCAGGTACAGACATGATTCTAGACAAGAAAAGAGAACAGAAATAAACACCAAAATTAAAAAAAGAAACAATAATTTTAAACAATTAAAATGAAAAGTGAAAAAATTTCCTTTCCAAAATCAAACAATCAAGAAAAAAAATTTTCCACTTGATCAGCTGATAAGGAAGAGAAAATGAAAAAAATTCTCACCAGATGGAGCCACTGAACGGAACTCTTTTATTTTTGTCAATCAATTTAAATGGAAATGAAAATATTGAGACAATTAAATTTTAATTAACAGGTAGAAAATACAAATACAGGTAGTATAGGGACATTGTCGATTTTTGCACTTATGTATATATGTATATAAAAAGAAAAGAAATCAATTGTTTTCCTAGTGAATGAATATAAATAAAGATAATTTGTTTTCTCTCGTTTTGATGTTTTTGTTTTGTGTGTTTCGATTATGATGATTAGTTAATCGTAAAGGTGACCGTAAACTTCTTGAGTTAATTTAATATATTCATCTCTTTCCATTTGATTCATTGAGTGAATTGTATTATCGTTAACTTGATTCAAGGGTATTAAAGTTCCTCCAATTCTGATCATGGGTTCACAGGTATTTTCAAGGTCTTCCTCCTCTTCATCTTCATCTTCACCCATCAGTTCATCCTTTACATTATCCAGTAAATTGTTATCAGAAAGATGATTATGATGATGATCATCGTCATCATGTAATCCATCGGTTCCCCAATCATTGGTATTATTAGTTGATGTTAATATGGACATTGTAGCATCATTGGAATTTTCTAATTTCTCATGAACCAGGAGAGCTTCAAGAACTTCTTTACTATAACCATTACCATTATCGTTAACCTTTGTTGATGTTTCTTTTATCAAATCATTTGATTGTTTACTAATTGTTATATCGGACATTGAAGGTAAAACACTAATAGATGTATCAGCTAACCAGGGTGGTTGCTCCTTTTTGACAGTTTCTTCAATGTTCTCACCATCCTTTTCAACTTTAATACTTGTCTCTCTAATCATAACAGCATCAAATTGAGATTTATCTTTGGTCCTCCATTTGTCCATTCCGTCAAAACCATCACTTGTCACCTTAATTGTTGATCCATTTACTTCAACAAGATCAGGTTCAAGAAGATCTGAAGGTATTTTAATATCTTCAACTTCTTTCAATAAAAGATACAAAGGTTCCATTTGTTCATTAAATTTGGCTAACATCAGTCTAGAATCGGCTTTGGGTAAAACATCGGGATCTTCTTCAACCACTTCACCACAATAGGAACATTTGAATTCATTTGAAACCGGCTCATAAAGTTGATCTGCTTCCAAATCGGTGAAAGTTTTCTTACAATTAACACAAACAAACGATGATCTCTTGGTTGAATCACGTTCCTCCGTTTCAATTTTTCTCCTCATAAAATCTAATTTATATTTAACAACATTAACAAATCCTCTATAGTTGATAAAATAATAGGTTTGTCGAATGGCTTTACCATCAGGCCCAGTTTCAAGACGTAATTTAGATTTGATTAGTTTATCATTCTTTAAACCGGCCATTATAGCTCTTAACTGCTTCTTCTCAAATTTCATCAGGTTTTCAATATCTTCCTCTTTAATTGTCAATTTACGTATCATCAGGTCAACAATTAGCGTTTGTTCAATTGAGTAAAAACCTCTCATCACATATCTGACCAATCTTTTTAATGCTGTTGGTATTTCCAGAGTCATGATCGAGAGAGAAAAAAAAGAATTCGATTATAATATTGTGTTAATATGTTGACCAGATCCTAGAAGAAGGAAAACTGTCACAATTGAATTAACTTTTAAAACCTAAACTTAATTGCAACAATTAATAAAATAGAAATGGATACAAATGAAAACACAAAAAGCTTTTTGTTTGGATTTTCAAAAGATCTTTTAAATATCGGATACTATCGATTGGGATTCGAATACTGGTGAGGCTTCGTTTATGTTCACACCCACTTTTTGTTTACTTTTTCATTTGGATTTAAACTTCAAGTGACCAGTTAACTGACCATGGAGAACTCAAAATCAAATGCCCTGGCCAGTCTGACCAACACTTATCATGACTCTGATATTGAAGAATCACCGAATATCTCACAACCCAAAGAATGGTAAGTTATCTTGTGAACAAAATATTCTTTCAATTCTTAACAACAGAAATTAAAGTTGAATTGTTTTCTTTTTTTTTTTTTCTTTTTTAGTATTTCTCCTGAGGAAATATCTACATTGGAACCTATTGAACCGTTAGAGCAACTTGAACAACCTCCTCAATCGTCTGAATCTCCTAAACCACCTGAAGAACCACAGCAAATAATTGATACAATTAATTCACCGCCATTGCGATTACCACCTCCTCCACCTGGTCAACCGCCGGTTGAACTTGTTCAGAAAATTAATCATCTTCATGCAAAAATGAAACAAGGAATTGATATGAAAGCTTCGATTGAGAAGTTGAAAAATTTTCGTAATCCAAGTATTTATGAAAAGTTAATCACTTTCTGTGAGATTGATGAATTAGGAACTAATTTTCCGAAAGATGTTTATGATCCACATCAATGGGGAGCTGATGATTTTTATGATAATTTGACTAATGCACAAAAACTTGAAATGGAAAAGAAAGAGATGGAGAAAAAAGAAAAGAAAAGGAAAGAAAAAGTTACAATCGAATTTGTTTCTGGTACAATAAAGAAGAATCGACCCAACGCATAACACGACATTTTCTTCAACAAATTCAAAAGTTTTTTTGTGACAATTAATTTCTTATTCGCAGTTAATTTATTGTTTCTTTTGTTTTTCTAACATTATTTATCAACAACCTTTTCGTCAACAGGCTTTTCGTTCACAGGCTTATTCTCGCTCTCAGGCTTCTTGTCAACAACCGACTTTCCATCGACGGCAACCTTTTCAGTGACCTTCTTTTTCTCAGCGGTCTTTTTGTCCGATTTGGCGTTCTTTTTACCGCCACCTTTTGCTGGTTTCACGGGCTCAGTTTCTCCGCCATATTTTTTCTTGAATCCATCGATTTCAGTCTGTTCGATTTTACGGAAAAGAGGTGAAGGCTAAATGAAAAAGTAAAGAGATAGCGCAACAATTAGTAAAAATGGATTAAAGAGCGAGAGAGAGATAGATTAATTGTGAGAAACTGTTGTAGCAAAATCCAAACTAATACTTACAGCTCCAATTTTATGTCCTTCTTTGAGGAAACAAATCAAATGATCATATTGCAACAATTTGCACTTGAAATTAAGTTGATCTTTCAATTTTTCGCTAGTCGTTGGAGTGTAAGGAGCCAAAAGAAGAGCAATTAAAGCGGTAATATTTGCACAAAGAGCCATGATGGAACCAGCACGTTTCCTATTAAGATAAAAGTTGCAGAAAAAAAAGATGAGTTGATTATTTGAATTCAGAATTACAGTGATTAAAAGATTAGATCAGTAGATAGAGAGGAGTCACTCACTTTTCTTCTTCCGACCCTTTAACAAGTTTCCAAGGAGCATTTACTTGAATATGTTGATTTCCAAGTCTTCCAATGTTAAGAATCTGTTTAAGTCCATCTCTTAGTTTAATTGATTCTAAAAGTTCAATGTAAACTTTAAGTTCCCGATTGATGGCGGCAATTAACTCTTTATCTGATTGATCCAATTCGATAGCAGGTAAAATACCATCAAAACTTTTATTGATAAACATGAGAGACCGATTAATGAAATTACCAAGATTATTAAGTAATTCACTGTTATTTTTAGTCATCAAATCGACCCATGAGAAAGATGTATCCTGAGTTTCGGGCCGAATGTACATCAAATAGAATCTCCAAATATCCGAATCGATTCCAGTTTCCTTAGCATCATTACCAAAAATACCGATACCACGACTTTTTGAGAATTTGTTATTTTCATAATTAAGATATTCAATTCCACTGAGATGGTTAACAATAGTATAATTTTCTTTGGTACCAATCAAACAGGAAGGAAAAATGACCGCATGAAAAGGGACATTATCCTTGGCCATAAACTGGAATAGTTCAACGGACTTCGGGTTCTTCCACCATTGGTCCCAATCTTTGGTATAATTTGAGGCTATCGACAAATAGCCAATGGGTGCATCAAACCAAACATAGAAAACTTTATCCTTAAAACCTTCAACTGGAACTGGTGTACCCCATTTAAGATCACGAGTGATACATCGAGGTTTAAGTCCATCTTTTAACCAAGTACCGGCGACCGTTTTAGCGGTCGGAGTCCATTTACCGCTTTCCTCGATTGTTTTATTAAACCATTCATTTGTTAATGGTTCAATTTTTGGTAAATCAAGAAATAAATGCCGAGATGAACGTAAAACTGGATTAGATGAGCAAATTTTACACCGGGAATTTTTCAAATCAGGAGCATTCATCAGTTTACCACATTTATCACATTGATCACCTCGAGCATCTTCATATTGACAGAAAGGACAAGTACCTTCAACAAACCGATCAGCCAGAAATCTTTCACAGGTATCACAGTAAAGTTGTTCAGTTTCCTCTTCAAAAATGTAACCATTCTTATGTAATGACCAGAAAATGTCATGACAAATTTTAGTTTGCTGGTCAGTTGAGGTTCTACCAAAATGGTCAAATTTAAGGTTAAACCAATCATAAACATCCTTGTGAATTTTGTAATATTTTTCACACAGTTGAGATGGAGAAATTTTCTCCTCCATAGCTTTGGTTTCGGTTGCGGTACCATATTCATCGGTACCACAAATGTAGATTGTACGATAACCACGTAATCTACAGTAACGGGCAAAAACATCAGCCGATAAAACGGAACCAACAATATTACCCAAATGAGGAACATTGTTTACATATGGAAGAGCACTGGTCACCATTATATTCCTTGTACCCTCTTCCTGTCCAGGTAATAAAACCGATTCACCATCGACATCACCAGCCAGAGTTTCATCTCCACCCTGTTTATCTAATTGTTTTATCGAGAAAAATTTAACTGCTTCAGTTAATTCATCAATAGTTGCACCAGTAGAATCCATAGTTGTTGTTGTTGTTAAAATATATAAATATGAGAATATGGAAAAAGAGTAAAAAAAAATATTTCCTTTTCTAGAGTTGAAGTAAACAAGGATTCACTTTTGGCTTGTTCTTTTAGAGTAACAATTAAGACACACTGTTAGAGAGAAATAGATAAAATTGATTCACAATTTAGTAAATATCATCATGTTAACATAAAAGATTCTCTTACCTGGAAAATGATGTTGATGTGTAACATACAAAAGGGAAGATGATTCTGTAGACTTGATGTTGTATCGACTCCACACTAGTCTCTCAAAACCACGTGACTTTTTGTTCTCTCTCATTTGAGTTGCGAAAATCGTTTTGTTTGAACTTCTCAATTAGTTGATTAGCGAAATTAACGAAGAACAATTGAAATTTAAAAGATAATTTGTTTAAATTGTTGAATTTGGTTATTGAAGAGTAATTGTGGTTATTCAGTTGATTGAATTCTTTTTTTTTCTTTCTTCATGGTGATGATGATGATGAGAGATTTGCAACTTGTTGATTTCTTTTTTCTTCTTAAATCGAGTTTGATTTTTTTTCTATTCTCTTTTTTGTTCAATAAGCAAGTTCAGTTCCTCCCCAGGGTCGACAGTATTTAACTCCAGTTAATTGTGTTTGATCATGAATTGGAAATGATGCTGATGGGGGTGGGGGCGGGTAACCAGCGGGTAAATATTGATGTACATTGTGATGATGATGATGATGTGGTGGTGGTGGTGGTTGATGGTGAGGATGGTGGGAAATTTGATGGTGATGATGGGGTGGGGGTGGTGGTGGTGGTGGAGGATGAGAGGGATAATGTGGATGATTTGGATGATGGGGATGATGATAACCGGGATATTGGTGAGTTGGATAACTCATTTGAGATATTGATGAACCATAAGCACCTTAAAGTGGGAAAAGTGAATAAAAAACCGAACAAAATTGAATTAATTAGCTGATTAATTTACTAATTAAGATCAAGATTTAATTTCTTAAATCTACCCTAAGGGTTTTTATGAAAGGATTAAGATTGTTGTGATTACAATACTCACTTGATGATGATGGTGATGGTGGTGATTTCATTGGTGAGGATTGATGACCAGAAGATGAAGTTGGTGATGAATCACTTGAAACTTGATTTCCACCGGAATTATTATTATTATTATTTGAATCGGTTGAACTGACAGCGTTTACACTGTATTGTGGTGAATTAGAATCTAAAATGTTTACATTTTCACCGGATGCTGTTGACACCGGAGTTGCCGAAGGTGCGACGGGATCAATTCCAGTGGTAATTGTTGCCGAACTTGCTGATGATGAGGATGAAGTTGATGAGGTAGTTGTTGTTGAATTAGAGATTGGAATAAATTGTGAGGGAGTTGTAAATGCTTTAGGATTCCAAGTGGCAGTTGAAGCTAATTTGAGAAAAGATTCTCGCTGAGAAGCGTAACGATTAAGGTGAGTGAAAAGACGGAATCTCAATGGATCATGATGATCAAGGCCTTCGCAACTAGAGAGATAATTTTCAACTTGTTTAATACACTCATGGAAACCGATTCTATGATATTCCATTGCAAATGAATGAGGATCGAATGAAAATGTATCAAAACCTAAAAGAGAAGAAAAGAAAAAAGAATTTGAGAAAACAAAAGAATAGAAAAGAAATGGAAGATTTTTTTTCTCTTCTCATGAAATTTTGAGAGAAATTGAATTAATAGGATTTACTGGCTTACCTTTAGAATGTAACATTCGTAAATGGTCAACGGTCATCTGAAGAATCTCAGCTTTCTCCAGTTTAGCTGACCCTTGCTTCTCGAAAGCGGCAGGAACAAGTCGACGAAGTTCATTGAGAGAAGCATTGATTCGGTCGCGTCTCTTTTTCTCTACCATTCCTCTTCTTCGTTTGCGATTCAATATATCACCTTGATGATTAGATGAGGATGAAGGATGAGACTGATGATCATGATGATGAATTTGTTGATGATTCTGTTGTTGTTGTTGTTGTTGATGGTGAAGATGAAGAGGATGCATGATGTTGACTAGGAAGAGAAATATTAACAAAAAAAGAAAACAATATTGAAGATGATTCTGTCACCGGTAGTAATAAGTTAGATAACTAACTGTGTGTCTGTGTGTGTGTGTGTGTGTTGTTGGTGATGGTGATGAGCAACACGCACTGAAGATGATGAACTATGCTGACCAACACACAGACATGGAAGGTAAGACACACATAGAGAATAAAGATGACACACGATAGAATTAGAATAAGAGAGAAAAGAACTTTTTCTCGGGAAGAGTAGAGGTGAAAATTTGTTGGAAAATAGAGAAAGAAAAAAATATTCTCTACTTTTCGGTGATGAAGAAACAATTTTTCCTCGATTCAAGTTGAGATGATGAAGAGAAAAATGATAATAATAAACAGAACGGAGGTCGACGAGTGTTTGACACGAGACTATCAGGAAATGTGAATATAAAGAGAGAAAGAGTGAGACTCGACGAGAGAGCGAATCGGCCCCTAGTAATAATAGAGAAAGAAAAAGAAAAAGAAAAAGAAAGAAAAGAAAGAGAGATGATGATGATGAGAGTAAAGTGAAAAGTTATAAGTCGTGTGTCTCTTTATGCATAAGGTAAACACGCGTCAGAGTGAAAAGAGATGACAAATGTAACCACTTTTCGAATTGGATAATAGGTGGCGACACTTATTCGAAAGGGGAAGTAACCCTAATGTTCTAATAGAAAATTGGTGGTTACTCTCCCCTTTTAGGAGGGAAAAAGTGATGATGTTGGTCGACGCCCATAGAAAGAAAAGTAAGACAAGTGAGGAAATAAATTCTCACGGTTTTTGTTGTTATTAAATTTTCTCGTGTTAAACATGAACAACATATTATAAGATCCATGGGAAAGTTTAATTATCATTCATTTATCTTTTTATCTTCATCATCATTTATTGGTTTTCTTTTGCCTCTCTGTTTTCTCAGATCATCTCGAGGTTTGGGATAGAACAAATTTTGACAAAATCTTTTCTCTATTGAGGTGAAAAGAGTAAAAGATATTGATGATTATGGATCTTTGAGAAAATGGATCAACTCAACATCTCACGACTCGTGTTCTATATGGTAAGTGTGTCTTTCTCCCTTTTGTTTTCTTTTACTTCATTTTTTCTCTCTGGCAATTTGATAAAATGGAACAAAAGGGAAAAATATAGTCAATTTAATGTTCCAATTATAAGTGATATAAATGATATAATATTTGTCCGATTCCATGGGAAAGTCTAATTGTTTTCTTTTTTTTTCCTATTTAGGTAAACATGATGATCCATTTCATCCGCTCATTTGGATCCATAATTATGTTAGTTAAACTTTTATCATGGGTATTCATCAATATTTGATTGAAAATAAGAATATCAATCAACAATTACTCGTGATAATTATGATCAATTTGGCCGTCGAAATGGTTATGTGACTAATCCTTAGGCCTAAGGATTTTATTGGTTTCTTGGTGAGAATTGTTTACTTGAAGATGATTCATTTCACTAATTAGTTAATTATCTGCTGGGAGAATATAATGGAAAGAAATTTATTAATGATTGTATTTTTGTTTCATTATTGGAATCAATTTGCTAATATTTGGTAAACTTATTTTCAATCGATGGTTGAAATCTATTGGGATGAAGGTATTAATTGATTGGTGCTTTGATTAGTCGAAAAAGGAATCAAATTAACTATTGGACCCGCGATTGATTATCAATTGAAATTATAATTCTAATCAATGGAAAATCAAATTGTCCAATAAATCACTGGACAAATCTATTGGACAATAAAGGGAACAGTTTGTTTTTTACTCGAAATCAAATATTGATCCCCAACCCTTTTCAACTATTGGACATTAATTTTCACTCCAAATATTTGATTACAATTCTGAATCAAGATAATCACAATTAACTTGGACAAAAATTAAAGGAAATAAAAATATACAAGACACGCGTTTACGTAACAATAGTAATCATTGTACAATCTGAATGATTTCAATTGTCGTCCAGCAATGATCATAACAAATAAAAAAAACAATCAACTGATCAGATCAGCTGATTAAATTGATCCGCTTGTAACAATCAATATTCATTGACCAGTAAAGGAAGTAGATAAAAAAATCATACCAATCAAAGGGTAAAAAAAAAAGATCACAAATCACAATCAAATCAAATTGACCTTATAAGATAACATAGAGCAAGAAAAAGGCAACAATTAACTAACTAACTAGTTAACTAACTGGACAAATGTGATACTTTTGATCAGATGATTAAAAATTTAGGTCAATAACAAAAACGATTCATAAATAAACTTAAACAGCAAGAGTAACAAAAAAAAATTAACTCGAGCGACAAAATCTAAACAATTAACTTGAAATTAGATTGTTGGGAAATGATCCAAGATGATTTCCATCATGAAGATGAGGATGATAATGATGATGATGATGATGAAAAGACAGAGATGATAACCTTTGTCGATGACATTGACAAGATTTATCAAGAGCCTTGACCCTGGAGTTTAAATTATCATCCGCATCATTATCTTCCCAATGATTACCTGGGTGCTAAGGTGAACATCATCTTAACCACAATCAAGGTGAAGATGATGAAGATAATAATGATGATATAAATAGTAAATGCCCTCAGGCAAGAGGGAGGTAAAAAAAACCACGGAGGTGGTAAATTTACTTACTGAACAAAAAAAGTTCCAGTAGCATGAAAAAGTTTCCTTACTCGTTTTACTTGAATGAAACATACTTATCATCATCTTCATCATCACATCATCATTATCATCCTCATCTTCATGATTACTATCAACTAAGAGAAAAGGTAAGAAAGAGAGAGAAAGAAAAAAATTTTCCCACGGTCTCACTTCCCTCCCACAATCACCACCACCACCACCACAACCTGAACCTCCTCTCGTATTAAAAGTTAATTTTTTCACGCGTAACAATTTAAGATTTCAATTGAAATTGTATCATCATCATCTTAATCATCTTCGTAATCATCATCACAATCAACTACTTGTTACCTTTTCCACCCCCGAAAAAAAAACCCACCCTACACACGCTCAGGTTGATAAATTGTGTCTCCGCCATTGGAAACTTTTTTTTTCCTCACTGATTGTTATTAGTTTATCTTTAAATTGTTATTACACCAATTTGATTATCATCATTTACTAATCATCACTCTGATTGTTGATGGTTGTCATTATCTCGAGGTATTGATTAGGATCAACTTTCCATTTTTCATTTTGTATCAATCGAATCGCTAATTGTCAATCTGATTGTTGATTTTTCCATTTTTCATTGTTGATCGTTAGTTAATTTTTAAGCCTTGATTGTTGTTGATTAGTTTACTGTTTGAATAAATTGTCGTTGGTATGATTAGTAAATTGTTTCAATGAAAAGTTATCACTCTTTATTTTGATTGGAAACTTTAATTTAATTGTTAATTTGGATCAACTAATTTTTGGGTTTTCAATTGTGGACTGATTGTTTAAAATTGGTTGAAATTTAATTAATCTAATTAATCAAGGTTGATTAATCAACAATTAATCGGCACATTAACTTTTATTGATTAGTTGATCATTTTGAAAATTTTAAATTGCTCAATATCAATTCAAATGATTGAGCTTAATCATACATAATGATTGTCACAATTAAACAAGTGAATTTAATTTAATTTAATCAATGAATTGATAATTGGTTCCCACGGTTTGCATTTTGTATATCACAATTAAAGTTAATTGTTACTCTCACAATCAATATTAACAATTTATTAAGCAAATAAATTAACCATGAGAAAGTATGAAAATGATTAGTTGGATTTAGTAACAAATCAAATGTAACAATTAAGATGATGATTAATAAACAGAATCAAATAATTACCAAACAATTGATAATAATCAGTTAAATTTTTGTAGTAAACATTAAACTAAATCAAATCTAAATCATTAACAACAATCAACTTAATTATTATCATAATTACAACATGATTATCATTTTCATAATGATATTGTGTTAATTGTGGTAACAACAATTTAAATTAATCTAGTTTGTTACCATCATTACATTGTATAATTATCACTGTCATTAATTAGCAGCAATTAATTGACTTAAATAAAACTTATATAATCAAGTAAAATTAAACTTGTCCTGATTACAATTGATAAAGTTTCAACAATCAACAACTTACAATTAACTAAATTGTCAAGAAAAAAAGATTACAATTAACAATATAAAATTAACCTTAATCATGACAACAATTAAAATTTCAAGCTAAAAATAAATTAATCAATGGTTACAAAATTATGATTAACAAGAGAGGAAAAAATGATTAAAGTGATTAACTAAATTGTTACTAAACTAAATTAGTTTAATCAAAAGGATAATCAATAAATTGTTCAATGTTTGAACAGTGTCATTAATTTGATTATGATATAAATAAATTGAATTATAATCTGTAACAATCATTGATGATTATCAGAGTTACAATTATACCCAAGTGACCAATTCAAATGATTAAGATGATTATGATTACAATCAGTTGATTGTAATCAACTTTAAAAGTGGATAATTTAATTTACTTCATTTCTATTGGTTCCTATAGGATTTAGGAGGAGTTGGTTAACTTAACCATTAACCAATTGTAAAGCAACAATTAGGGAGGAAAATAGTTAATCATTGACAATTTAATCATCTAACAGTGATGATTAACTTGATTCCAATTGTTTACAATCAGAGTGATTGTTTAATTGTTGAGTAAAAGTTTAATCAATCAGTTGATTTACTTGATTAACTTTGTTTCCTCTTATATGTTAATTCATTAATATCAATGATTAAATGACAGTTAAACATTTAAATATTCACCAATTACAGTAGAAACAATTGATTAGTCAAGTTTGGATCTAAATTACAATCAGTTGATTGTTACAATTAAAATGTCAAGTAATTTAAAACCGCAACTGGGATTAAGGAGATTGAATTTGTTTTCTTTCACTGATCAATCATTTCATTGACATTTTTAATTTTCCAATCAAAATTTGACAATTTAAATTGATTGTTAATCATTTTTCAATTTCTCTACTTTCTCTTGATTACAATTAAATTAACATGTTGATTAAAGTGAGAATCAAGTTAAGGCGCTTTTTTATTTTCGTATCTTTGTCAACTTTTGTCACTTTTGTTACTGAGACAATTTGATTAATCTGCTGGGAGATTTTGATTGTTGCATTTTAATTGTGTTCCTGATTGTTGTTATCTGTTCATGGACACCTTGATTGTTACTGGTTAAATTGTTGTTGTGATCAATCAAATCAATTTTAAAAAAGTTGTCAATTTGTGTTTACAATCTCGTAACTGATGATTACATGATTACATTGGTTGATTTTTCATTTTCCAATTTAATTATGATTAACTTACCAAAAGATTTGATTCACAATTAAATCAATGAATTTAATTATCTAATTGTTAAAATAATTCAACTGATTCCACCAGTAAAAGCTCAGTAAATTATTCAGATTATTTGATTTCATTTGATTATCTAACTTGATCATCACAATTAATTTGATATGACAAGTTAATTGTTTCTTAAATACCAAAATATTAAGACAATTAAATCATTAGCATAACTTGCACATAGATGAGATTTAATTGAACAAAATCAGTTGAAGATTTAGTTGATTTAACCAAACAATCAAATTAACTTGTAAATGTTGAAATAATTGATTAGCTTAAATTGTAATCATTTCAATTTCAAGGTTTATTAATCACACAAATAACCAACACCAATTGAGAAAATCATTCAACTGTTTGATTACAATTAATTCAATGGTAGCGATTATATTACCTTTAGGCGATTCGATTCACGAGTTTGGACATTTTAATAATAAAATTGGACTTTTTAATTTAATATTGATTAACCAAACACACGATAAAAACTGATCATTATGGTAAAGTAATAATATGAAAATGAGCGATAAAAACGGGCCAACAAAAGTGGGCTGTCGTCGGTAATGTACCGTTCACTGTGAGCGTGTATATGTCGAGATAAACAATAGAAAAAGTCAGAAAAACAGGAAGATACTCATTTGTTACCTTTACGAACTATTGACCAAGGCCAGTTTTCGAGGGGGAGTATAAGTGTATACATATGATCGGCGAATGAAAGACAAAACAATGAGTTCGAAAAGAGAGAGAAAAAAACGCCCATGCAAATAAGCTAATCTATTGTGTGTCCTTTTGTCCTTTAACCAAGTCCTGAGGGTCGACCGACAAAATCCGACCTTCGACAATAACAACAAGTCCACAAGACGAGATGAGACAAATTCGAGTGAATTAACAATAAGTAAATTGTTATATTTTTATACTCAAATTTTGGTTCGTTTTTTTTGTTGTTATCCTCATCTCGATATCCATCATTTTGTGAACATTTTTAACCAAAAAAACGGGACAATTATAGTTAACAAATTGTTCAAATATTATGAACATAAATTATTTACACTTATTGTCACTTGAACGGTGGTTGATTATTATGATTGCTTGTAAATTGTGGACAATTACAGTTACCAGCCTACTCATTAATTGTCTTTTTCTTTATCAACTTTTACGATAACTGATTAACTTTGGAAAATATCAAATCACTTTCAAAGTTTCTCTTTTGATTTGATTTCCTCAAATCGGTTTAATTTAATTCAGCAAAATCAAATCACTGATTTGAATACATAATCTTATGAATCCAATCAAGTCCATGTCTTGTATCAGTAAATAAACTTGGTGAACCCTGTTGACCACAAGGTTGATTTGGATGGACATGGGAATAGAGTCCAGCTAAATAGTATTGTTGATTAAATTGTATCATTAATGGTCCACCTTCATCGCCCTAGAAAAATACAATAAATGATTAGTAAATTGTTGATATTTTGATTGTCCAACAACTCACATTACAAGGACCTTTATTGTATCCGGAAGCACAGAATTGATCATTACTTAAATTGTTTGAATAATATTGTAAACAATTAGATCGATCAGTTAATTTAAGATCAACATATCTCAATGAATTTGATCCACCTGAACCTGTTAATTAACAAAATGATTAACAGAAAAAGTAACTTTAGTTACTATTAATTGAAAGGCATTGACACAAACTGACCACTGAGATTGTTGGTCATCAGATAATTTATATCTTCATTTGATTAACTAACTAATTTAATAAATTGTTGTGTATCTTTTGTTGTTGTTGTTGTTGTTGTGGGAGGATGAGGAGGAGGAGGATTAGGTGGACAATGTGTGGGAGGGTCAAATCGATTCGGATGATTGGTCATTTCTTACTTGTTGTTGTCCGTCCCCAACCAAGTGACCGGACATTGTAATTTACAGGATAAGGTGAATCCGCCGAGGGTAAACAAATGGGAGTAAATTCAGATGATGAGGATAAAATTAAAATGGCGTAATCATTTTTATAACGGTTGGTCAGTGAATGATTTGGATGAATGATGACCCTTGACACTTGAAATGATCGACGGTCATTTTCACGTTGGGTTATGTCAAAAGCGCCCAAGATGACCAACAATTGTCTAACATTATAATCATGAGATTCAATTCTGAATATGATACAAAGGGAGAAGAGAGAAAAAATCATCAACAATCAACAAAAAATCAACAGAAGTTAAATCATTTGAGAAAAGAATAAAAAAAAAATGGTCACTCAGATAATACGATTAATACATTGGTCTAATCAGTGATGCAGTGGTCAGAATTAGATTTGATTGTATCAAGGTTCCAGCTCCGATTAATTGTCCTTTATATCCAATTGCAGCCTAATGGATGAAAGAAAAGACAATTAGTTGATTGACTTTTTTTTTGTGTATCATTTGTATTAGTTAATTTACAGTCCAAGGATAATTAATCTGTGGATTTGCTTGACCACCAACAACTCGAGTCTGTCGAACCTTTGATTTAACTAATCCACATCTTCCCGAAATCATTTTCTCCTTGGTATTATCATCAGAGTCTAGAATAGATTATTTTAAATTGATTAGAGTTAATTGTTGGTGGTGGAAATGGTGTTCATCTAAATACTTGATGAAAAGCATCCAGCAAATTGTGAGTTAATTGCAATCCAATCAAGATATTTAACTACATCGGTGTAAACTCCAGGGGAATCGGTGTTACCACATCCCCGACCAAATGAAATGATTCCAGTTAATTCAATACGATTAAATTGATTACGTTTCATTGCAGGTCCACCGGAATCACCTTGACAAGCGTCTGAGTTAATTGTTGAGGCGCAAAAGTTTTTATCAGTGATATAAGATGATGGATATGATGATCGACAAGTTGATTTATCAACATAATTAACTGTTGTATGTCTTAGGACATCACTTGCTAATCCTCCTTGCTCCATGTAGCCCCAACCAGCCACAATTAAGGGCTGATTTTTTGATCCGCTGACCGCTGGTGATGATGAGGGGGACGGTAGACATGCTGGACGAACAGTTGATGAATATGTAACTCGATTAGTTAATTTAATTAGTCCAATATCATTCTCGTGATAACGACGACTGTAATTCGGATGGGAAATTATCCTTTCCACTGAATGGACTTTACAATCAACTCGACGGACATCATGACAGCCGATCAATATGTCGATCTCATTGGCTTCAAGTCCGACCAAACAATGGGCAGCGGTCAATATGTATTGGGAATCAATTAAAGCTCCGCCGCAGATAATTGATCGACCTGCAAATCTAATCGCAATTAACCAAGGGTACCGATGCTTTGGATTAACCTCAGATCCACCGACAATCCGATCTGACCAATTCTCGAGGCCACAATCTAATCATATTTAGAAATGATTCAAAATGGATTAGTGAGTTTAATTTTCTTTCGATTATGATTAAGGTTAATTGTTAATACCACAAGTCGATGCAACATTTTGTCTTCTAATTAATTTCCTCTCATGATTAGATTGATTGTAAGGCCAATTTTCTCTGTAATTAAGCAAACAATTACATCTTCTCTTGATTTAGATACTTGATTAACTTACTTGTAACTTAATTGATTCCAAATGAGGTCGTTCTAAGTGAAAAAATTAACAATTAATTGATTGTCAAACTTTTATTCTTTTTAATTGTAAGAGCTAATTATTAGTTAAATTTCTTACCTCATTGTTGATTTCATTGACTATTGATAAATTTGTTATTGTTGATTGAATCAAATGGAAACTGTTAAAAGTTAAAAGGAAATAGATTAACATGATGATTAGTTAATTGGGGAAGAAAAAATAAATTGATCACAATTAATTTGTCTCAATTGAAAGATGAACAAGATTTATTAACTGAATTTATCTTCGCCTTTTAATCATTATTAAATCAATCAAAGGTGTGAACAGTGAAATCAAATCATCATGAAAATTTGATCCATATCAATCAAATTAACTTACAATACATTAAATTGCTGAGGTTTAGACAATTAAACCAACAATCAATTGTTTCAATATTAATGACGAACCAATTTAATTGAAATGTCAGGTGAAGGAAAATAAGCATCGACTTGATTTCTTTCCAATAACAATCAAAAAAGTTAATCATTAAAGTTTTTCGGGCAATTAAGAAAAGCGATTGTGTCGATTAGAGAGTTAATTGTTGATTAAGAAATTAACTGGAATTAGAAAAAAAAAAAAATAAAATTAGTTACTTTTCCATTCGGTAGGTGGCATTACGATCCACCAATTGAGAAGAAAAAAATTTTCTTGAATTAATTACTTTTAATTGCTGATTAAATTTAATTGATTTCCATCATAATTGATATTTCACCTGTGGATTGGAAATGCTGTTTATTGACTTGCTGTTAGTCATCTTTTTAATTGTTTCCGTTATCTTTTTATTATCTATCATCAATGTGTCACTTATAACATTTCAATGATTGAAAGTAAAAATTGATTGTTGTTGATTGTGATTAAGAATTAGAATTGTTTAGTTATCAATGTAAGCTGAATGAGATTAATTGTGTTTGCTATCACAACAATTGGATGATGATCGGTTTAAATATGATAGATGATGTTGCCAATCTAATGTTGAAAGAATCCAGTTAATTTGGTTTGATTTGATTTTCCATCTAATTCTTGGCTAATTAGAGTAATTCACTGAAAACCTTGGTAATTTAGTCTTTACAATTAGTGATTACCGGTTAATCAAATACATAAAATGTAAATGGGAATTTCCTTTTCCATAGGTGATTGTGTAAATTCAGAACATGTTTGTTATTGTCTATCTCCATCTTCACCTCACTGATTTAAATAATCATTGGAATCGCTTGTTTAATTTACTGTTGACAATTTGTTCCAACCACAGTTTGTTTGATTACTCTAATTGTTCAATAACAAGGTTATAAGATTAAAGAGAAAACGTGATCAGTGATGCCAATTAGTTAATTTATCTCTAATTGTCTCTTGATTGTTGTTTCCAAGTAAAAAAATTTCCATTTTGAGAAAAACAGGAAAACCAAATTCAACCAAAGATAAATAATCATGATACTGAATCTAAATTGTTTGACAAATGAAGAAACAAAACTCGGTTAGTAGTTTAGATTATTACAATTTAAATTGTATATAATCTTGATTCTAGTTTTCAATTGTGATTAAACGTCTAGACCAAATCCATCTCCATGTAAATTATCAGTGGGTAATTATCACGTAATTGATATAATTCCAATGTCATCCAAGGTTAATCACTTAATCAATCATTGACTTTGATCTTTCGTTCATTTGAATTTGATGATCAGTTGAAATTAATCATTAGAATGAAAAATTTAAAAACAAAAAACTAAAAATTAATCTCATCAGTTTGATTTGAAGAGGAGAAAAAATCAAGATTATTAAGATGATCAATTTGATGATGGAAATGTTTACTGTTGTGGTTAGCCCATTGATCAGCGATCATCAATATTAATCATGAACAGTTAATTGTTTGGGAAGAGAAAAGATATCCGAATGGTTTATTTCCGCTCTTCATTTTCAATAATTTTCCATGAGATTTCCATGTTTACTCAGAATGTTTTTTTTCTCTTTTCTTTGTTTTTCCATAAAAAGAATAGAAAATCGATTAAAACAAATTGAAATTCCAAAGACGCTGATCAACTGTTGATGATTTTGAAATAATTCCTATTGATAAAAGGAAGAAGGGAGAAAGTGATTAACTTGATTGTTGTCATATATCATCCAAATGATTTACCATGATTGGAATATTATTATTATTGTTACAATAATAATATTCACCATTTACCTCAATCATTTTTGAGAGGAGATTTGAATAGTAAGTTAAACGTTATTCCCGTAGAATCATTTGTTATACCATTGATGATCGATCAATTTAACACAATTGACGTAACCTATGAAAGGGAAAGACGTATGAACAATCAACATCATTAAACTGATTGTAATAATTACATTTAGTAAACAGAGAGATGCCAATAGATGTTGATGAGGAACAGAAAACACAAAGAGAAAAGGATTTTGTTTACATAATCGTTTTCTCGTATTATTTTTTTCTCTCTCTCTCTTTTCCTCCTACAAACAATGGACCAAAACACAATTGATTAAACAATCAAATCAAATTAAATTAACTACAAAAAGATTAAGATTTTGTTAATCACAATTTAGTAAACAATCAACTTTCAAAATCTCAATCAGATGTTGGGGTCACACCGGTTGAAGGTCTCGCCATCTATCAACTCCCAATAGAAATAAAATTGTGAGAAAAGAAAAATTTTCTTGTTAATTATCTTGAAATCGATTAATTAATTTGTTTACTTGGATTAACTTTTGTTATTGGAAAATTAAATAAATTTTTCCAATTTCTGTGTTTAGTTTACTTTAGGATTACACTCTTGAGTGTGAAAGATTAATCAAAAGTAAAGATAATTAACTTTACCCAATTTACTAGAAATCATTTGCAATCAATTGTTTGGTAAACAACAATTTGATCAACTGAGAACGTGAATTATTAATGATATTGATAATTAATTGATCAATGTGATGATGTTTAAATCCATCTTATATTTATGATCACAATTAACAAATAGGATTTACAAATTAAAGAGCACGATCTCAGTGAGTGTTTTTATTTTAACAATTTGATTATTATGATGGTTACAATCAAGACTTTAATTGTCACATGAACTTCAATTAATATAAATCTTGTGCCTTATATTAATTCAATTTCAATGTATATATATTAAGTTAATCAGTTGATTAACTAATCATCATCATTTGACATAATCATCTGATTTAAATTGTGAATATCAATAATTATTAATGAACAATTAAAGATTCAACTTGATCAAGGAAGAAGACAATTACAATCAGTCTTAATTGTTTGATAATAAAGCTAAATTGTTATGAAATTTGTGCGATAATTAAAATCCGCTGAAAGTAAATTAAAAAAAAAAGCTGATCATATGTTAATCTTTAATATTGACAATTGTTAACCTTTTAATTAGTTGATTTAATTTGATATTTCCTAGTAATTTGACTAAAAAAAATTATAAATTAGTTTAAATGGTAACTATCATTAGCTAAACAATTAGTTGAAATAATAAATCATCGGATTGATTAATGATATTTAATTTTTCACAATGAACAAACTTTAACTCACCAAATCTTATATTAATCATAAATTTGACAATCAGTTAAATTGTGTCAATAAAGTTGATTTTTCGTTGATTAGTTAAATCTGATTACAGATGAAAAATGATCAAGGTTTGTTCATAATGATCAACAATTAAGCATCAATATCATCAACGAAAGACATCATCATAGCTTCAATTAGCATTCGTTACACTGACGATCAAGAATCACGCCACTTTGGGGGAGAAAGAGAGATGATGATGATGATGGAAGGAAGAGAAAAGAAAGAGATTCTTTTCTTCTCTTACTTTACTCTACCCTTCATCTTCATCTTCATCTTCATCATCATCTTTTTCACAACAATCCGGTTTCTCTTACAACAACAAAATCAAAAGCAACAGTTCATTTATTACATAGAGACACAAGGATATGAATATTAACCAACAAGGCGAAGACAATTAACCAGAAAATTAGCAATAGAGACGATGATTAAACCCAATAATTAAGATGAAGGAAGAGACTCAATTGCCTATTAATTGTTGAATTCAGGGTTAATCAACTTTTTCATGTTCACAATTTAGAGTTGGAATCACAACCCGAAAGGTGAAACATTCAAAAATTTCAAATGAACAAAAAATTAACAGAAATAACTGATTAGGTAAACAATTAAGTTAATTGTGCTACAAATTATCAAATAATTTGGTCAAGTGTTTAATCAGTAGGGAAAAAAATCAACGCAATTAATATAACAGAGCAAAAGAGAGGAACAAAAAATTGGAAAACTGTCAAGAATCAATAAATTGTTAATCTAATCACTTAACAATCGGGATTAAATCATCTGTTAATCAATTAGTTAAGATGTTGATTGATACAAGAAAACGTTTACAATTAGCCGGTAAGTTAATGAAAACATTGCGAAATCTTAATCAGTATTTCCTTGATGTTTCAAATGTCTCAATTAATCAACGATTACATGTCTCCAACAATTAACTCCAACAATCAATTGATTGTACATTAACCTGTGGATCTATTTATCTATTTAATTGTCAAAATAACAACGAAAACAAATGAATAACAATAATCACCAATGAAAAATGACCTGATACAAAGGATGAGCTGCATCCTCATCGTCCCTCCATCAACAACACTCACGTTATCGTCATCATCATCATCCACAACAACGACAATCAAAGTTCATGATAACAAATTAAAATTCATCTCGAATCTCTGATGAAGGTAAAAGTGATCCTCAAACTGATTCATCACAATTCTAATTATCAACTTGTTCCAAGTTCCAAGAGCAATTCAGCCTTGAGATAATTCAGATCATGAACTGGAAAAAGTTGATAAGGAAGATACAAATTCCAATATTCAAAGAAACAACGAAAACCTAATGGTCGCAACTACATTTCTCTGTCGATTAACTTGTCCTCAACTTTGTCTTTTCCGAACTATGGTCAAGGTCATCGCGGTTCTTATTATATGACCTTAGATTATATGCACTTCTCTCTCTTCGATTATTAATAGAATTACAACTTGCAAGCTAATTAGAGAAAGATTGATATTAGAAAATAGGAGAGAAGATGAATTTTTGACAATTTGGTTGACAACTTTTGACCCTTGCCCTCAATATTGCCCATGTTATTTTCAGTCGCTGCAGATCTTACAGATCTATCGAATGGTGTTTTTTGTACCTTCGTGGCCCTTGGGGTTCGGGTCCAATGTTTGAATCCACAGTAGGGAATCGTATTAATTGTGTGATAATCATTGAATTAACTTGCAGCCATTTGAATTACCCAAGCAAGTTAATTAAATCCTTGGGAAACTTGATTGTAAATCATTTAATTAAAACGTGATCACAATTCAGTTTCTCTTTCTTTTCTCTTACTTATCAAAAGTAAGCCGGTTTAAATTGTTAACAATAATAAATTGTTACCAATCCACAACAATTGACAACTTAATTGTTACCCCTTTTCTTAATTCTTTATACTAATCAAATAAGTTGATCACTTTCATTTTTTTCCTTCATCTTCATCTCAATCTAATCAACAATTGAATTTAAGTTGATCATCATCATTGTCTAATTATGTTAAGGTTAAATTCATTATAATTACAGTTCTTTACCTTTAATTGTTTAACTGTTACTCTAATTACAATTGATTATATTTTATATATTTACGTTAATTGTCATCATTGGCAATTCGATACAAATTTTTTTAAATTATTGGTTTAATTTTCCTTCTTGTTTGATTGTTTTGTTAATTTTATTTCCCAATCATCAATCAATAAAATCATATTAATAACATATTGATTAGCCAATTAACCCTCTCGATACAATTAACATTTAATTAGATTGTTGGAACTAAATTAAAACAGAAAAAAATGTTAATTCTCAAAATCTTGATGACCTTTTTTCTTACCCCTTGGTGATTAGTTGATCAGTAATATTGATTAATGAAATTTAATCAACGATTAAAGTAAAATTATAAACTAAATCATCATTTACAATCAAAGAGATTAACAGAAATTGAATTAAATTGTTGTAATCAGAGTAATTGCAATTGAAGATCACTTATTCATCCCTTTACAATTAGCACTTAATCATCATCTTCAGATCATAATTAGTTACTCAATACACTAAACGATCATCTCATTTGTTAATTAACAGATTCACGCGATCAATCAGTCACCTGAAATGTAAATCATAGTAATTAAAATACAATATAATCAGTGATTAATTGATTTGATTGATTAAGACCCACAAAGAAGTAAAAAGCAATAGTAACAAGAAATAATCAGTAAATTGTGTTTAGCTTTCTACTTAATTGTAATTTTTCACTTAATCAAAAGGGAGAAAAATAATCATTCGATGATTATTATATTGGATTAATCTTTTTCCCTTCCAATAATTACCAGATCACAATCAATCATCAGTTAATCATGGTTAATATGAATGATCAACTGGTTAGCAATTAAAAGATAAAAAAAAAATCACCCCAATGGATTAATCAACAAATCGATTGAATCGATTTAATTTTTCCAACCAGATTTTCAGCTCTAATTGTCACCTAAAGTTACCTGTTTATCGGTCTGTTGATTGTTACAATATAATGTACAATTTATATAAGAAATTAACAATTAACAATACCAACAACAATAATGATTGTAAATAAATGAGAAAACAAAAACTATTATTATTTGAAGGAACCAAGAACCAAGAAAAACACAATTTGCAACAATTATCATGATTCTGTTGATGATGATGATCAATTCTTGAGCAGAACATTCATCAACCTGATCATGATCATGATCATGATCACCAACATGAAAGTAACATGAGTGTTTGAACACTTGGATCAATGAGAAAACACTGATGATGATTAAAGTAAATTACAAGAAATTAACCGAAAAGGGCTGAGCCAAAATGGTCTGACAACCTTCATGTAAACCAAACCTCCAAGGAGATGACGTAAAGAAGTGGTGTGAATGGCTCACCTTAGGTGGATCGTTTCCTCTGCCCCTCTCTCCCCACTCTCTTCCTATTCACCCTCCCTTATCATCATCATTTCTCCCTCCCATTATCTTCATCTTTCTCTCTCATTCTCTCTCTCTCTCTTATTCTCTTCCTCTCCCTCTGTTGCCATTTTTTCCCTTGGCTTTTCCCAAAATCATTCAGAGTTTTTATCATATATAAAACTGCAACTTGTAACCATTTTGATTCACCTTAACAATCAACTCACTTGCCAAATACTTAAATTGTTAAGTTTAATTCAGTTAAATTAACTGTGTTTAAATATTTATATATAAAAATAGACAATTATTTTCTACGAAAATTGTTTTTTTTTCTCGTTTTAATTGTTTTCTTCTTGTGCCTGATTTACAATTTACTCAACACTCACAATTGACTTACTGATATTAATACTTTGGTCTCAATCTAATTTTTATTATCAATCAATCAACTAACTTTTTTTTTACCTTTATTATATTTTCTTGTGTGATTATTGTTAATTATCATCTACAACAACGACAATCAATCAACTATTTACGAAATGGAGGAAATGAGGAAAATTAGTTCATGTTCACTTCACTCATCTGATCATAATTACTCCCAAGAATCAATTCTCTATGCTCTTAATCGTTTCATTAAATCAGTTGGTAATATGAATAATAGTGTTCTAGTGCCAAGTAAATTGCACGATATTGATGATGATCAACTTGATTCTAAATCGGTTATGTCACTTTCATCGGACGATGGGTCAACTTCCTCTCTTGGTAATTCATCTACCGGAAGTGGGACTCTCCATGATCAATATCGTATGATTATCGAGGCCAAGGAGGATATTCTTTGGGGAACCAATTTAAGGCAACCAGAACCTTCCGAAGCATCAATTAGTTTACAATTTAAATACCATTTACAACAATTACAACAATTACTCAATCAATTTGCCGATGTTGCCAATCATTTGACCGCTAAATATGAATCTACTTCAGTTTAAATTGTTAACAATTTATAAATGATAATTTAACCATCTAAATGTAATACATTCAATTTCAAAGTGATCAGTTATTATTTTTTTTTGCTTCTCTCTCAATGGATTCCGGTAAAACCGATTAACCAAATTAACAACAATCAATTTAAATTACCAAGCTGAAAAAAAATGAAAAATCAATTGTTTACAATCAATAGGAACAATTAACTTTTGTTAACTATCTAATTTGTAATGATTATTTATTGTAAATCTATTGTAATCAAAATCTTAATTGTTGTTTTGTTTTTGCTCATTAATTGTCTTGATTGTTAATTTAATGTTAATTTGATTATGGGTTTTGTTTTCTTGGTTAATTTAAACACTAATTTGATTCTTCCAATTTAATCAAATTATCACTTTTTCTTGATTAACTTTTCACAAGTTAATCAATTAATGTTCATCATTAATCATCATCTCATTTCTCATTGAATCTTTGCCATTAACTATTATTATTGTAAAATATGAACAATCAAAAAGTAAAACAATCATCTAAATAATCAATTAATTTCAATTGTGAATATTTGACAATTAAAAAATTGATCACCAATTTTGAAATGTTAATTGATAGTCAATTAAAAAATAAAAAACAATTAAACTTTATTAAGAACAAAAAAAAAGTTAATTTCAATTATTTCAATTTAATTTAATCAACCCTTTGGATACTCAATTAAATCCGGTGAACAATTAAAATTGATTGCTACTATTAATAGTCTCGATTGTTAAATCTTAAACCAGGAAAAATTTGGAAAAAAAGTTTCCTCCAACTATTAATATCTTATTTGATTGTAATAAAGTTCAAGGACAATTAACTACAATTAACTGATTACGATATCAAACAGAATAGAGGACAAAGAATTAAATTGACATTAAATTGTTAAATAATGATTAATCTTATAGTTTAAATGGATAATTAACAATATATATTGTATATATTAATAGACTGTTGGTTTAATATGGTTTGACAATTAAACTTATCACAACAATTAACTTGGCAGAAAAAAAATTCAGTTAATTCAGTTTACAAAGAGTTAAATTTTAAACTTTCCCTTAGCAAATTGTGATTAATTTAATTGATTAATAGGGATGTCATTCAATGATAATAATGATATTTAAAAAATTGATTGAAATTAAAGTTTAAATTTCAAAATTAAAACTTCCTCATTGATTGTGATCAATTGAAGGGTTTAATTATTAACTAAATTAAGAGTATTAATATTAATGTAAATATCAACAGATTAACAATCAATTTATTGGTTTGTTTTGATTTTTATTGTAAATTGTTTATTCATTTTTCTTAATTGTAACAATTAGTTTAAGAATTTAACTTTTCCTAATATCATCATGATTATAATACTAGATTGTTGCTAAATTGCTAATTTATGTTTCTTAATTAATTGACCTTCATAATTTTGTCATAAGACTTTAATCATTGGATGAATGGATCATCATCTTATATTGATTAGTTGATTGTTACCTCTCCTTGTATTAAAAGGTTTTTAATTGCCAGAGGCAAATATGATCATTATTATCATTAAAATTACTTAACTATTACATTATTAGTGCACCAACGTTACGTTTTTTCCCAATTAAATTTAGATTTTAATTGTGATCAAATAATTTACTAATCATGAATCTTCTAGGGGGAGAAAAGTCTAAGTAAAAGGATAATCATTATCAGGCCTGTTAATTACAATTAATCGTTGATGTTGTTGAGGTTTAAATAACAACATTAAAACAGAAAATTAATTTGAAAAAGTTCCTACGACATTTAAATGTGATATTATTTTTAAATTTTTTCGGTAAAATCAAATTTCAATCAATTGATTGTTACCCTTTTTCTTGACAATAACAATCATGAAAATTATCATTACGTCAAAGTGAAAGATGAACTTAATTCAAAATAATAAGACAACAATTAACCTGAAGTTTAATTTTAGAATCAAAAAACCTTGACGTACATTGAATACTAACGAAAAAGTAAACAATCTAATTATCAAGAAAAATGGAAAAAAGTTTTCAAAATTGTCATCGCCGAAAATAGTTAACTTTCCATTCACTAGAGATCGACAGTTAAACTTGTTCTTGCTGAATAACAACACGACTGAGAGACTGGAAAAATTAGTTTATCAACTTATTAATCAGAGAAACACTGAATTAATCATAAATTATTAATCACAATACTTGAATTAATAAGAGAAATTAGATAATAGGATAGATTAGGGTAGATTAGATTATTAACCAATCGAATTGTGAAAAAACTGTTATAAGATAACATCATAGCTTATGCACATATAAATAGAAGATAGTTTCTCATCTTGATCGTGAATCGCTAGTAGCCAAAGAGCCACTCTTAAAAAACGGAGTAACAAACCCTCATTGATCATTGATTCGATTTAACGAGTAAAATATTGAACACATATAAATAAAAATTCTATTGGCAACTTCAGCGATTCATTTTGCTCTCAATGCAATAGACCTTTCAACTTTCTACTCGACGCCGAACACAGAAATTTTTAACCACATGTGCATTTTCTCAATACTGAAAATGATTCATGAGAAGAAACATTTTCATTTTTCTTTTTCATGAGAAAAATACAAAATTCTTTAAATTCCAATTCAAATTTTGTTTTAGATTTTCTTCAGGAATTTTGAAATCCTTCGAGTCCAATGCAACTGATTGGATGCCGATTCGATTTTGTCTCATCGAGTCTAAAAACATTTTAATTCCATTTTGAATTAACCGCTTATCGGTTGCTAAGGTTTTTTAAGTTTTCTCGTTGTCAAGTGTTGGGTTTGTGTTTGTTTTCATTTTTTGATCAACTTTTTATTTAATTATGTTAACTAAATTGTGTACACTTTTTACCCAAACTTTGCGGGTCAGTGTTTTACCTCAAATTGGTCAGAAAAGAACCGGTGCCAGTTGTATATTTAAAAAGATCATCGCATATCCAAGATATTTACCTGCTTTCAAATCTCGACCGTTGCCTCATAAATATGTTTGGCAACCACAACCTCCTAAGGTAAAAAGTGTTTAATTTGATTCTATTTTATGTTTTAATTTATGTTGATGTTTTCTTTTCATTTTTTGCCCTTTAGGATGGGGAATATACTACCAAACCTTTGAGAGCTAAAAAACTTGGTGGTCGAGATCCTGAAACAGGGCGAGTTGCCATCAGTACGATTGGTGGTGGTGTGAAAAAGTATTACCGATGGATTGATCTTAATTATTTAGGGGAAAAGGGTGAAACAGTTGAGGAAAAAGTATTTAAAGTTCGTCATGATCCTTTCAATACAGCTTTACTTGCACTGGTTGCCCGAGAAGGTCATCAAAGGTGGATCATTGCCTCTGAGAATATGAAACCTGGTGACATTATCACTACTAAAAATGAGATACCCAAAAATCCAATATATGCCAAAGAAGGTCAATCATGGCCTGTTGGTGCTTTAAGTCCTGGTACTTTGGTTCATCGTCTTGAAGTTATACCAGGTAAATATTATCACTATAACTCATTTCTCCCAGTTTCTTTAACATTTTTTCTTCCATCTATTTAATACTTAATCAATGCTCAAGGTAACGGTGGTACAATAGCTCGAGCTGCTGGTACAAGTTGTGAGATTATCCGAAGAGCTGGTAAAAAGATTGTCATTAGAATACCCACCGGTCAAGAAATTGCAGTCGACGAATGGTGTATGTGCAGTATCGGTCGAGTTTCCAATCCTAATCATTACACTGTCAATGAAGCTTGTACGGACAGAGCCTGGTGGAAGGGAAGAAGACCCAATAGAGGAGTCCAAATGAAGAAAGATGGTTACTGTGGGCGCAAATTACGACCTCCGAAGCCTTTGAAAATCATCGACGCTGCAAATATTTTACCCAAAAACTTAGAGCAAATTAAATTGAAAACTTGGCAATTTGCTTGATCACAAATCGCAATCATATGTTACCAAATCATACCATTGGTTTAATCTCAATCAGATTTAACCTGTTTGGATCCAGGATAATTACCAGAAACAATTTGATGTTCAACAAACAAAAGAAAGAGACACAATTAAGTTTTTCATGTTTTTTTAATATTAATTGTTGATATTAAAATTAAGGGAGATCAATAGGTAAAGTTGAAATGATTTACATTGTATGTGAAAAAAAATGTAGATAATTGTAAATTGTTTGAACAAAATGATTTAAATAATATAAATTGTTCACTAGTCACTCCAGATTAAGTGATTAAGTAACAAAATGAACGATTGGTGATTAAATAATTACCTCTAATCAACCAAATCGTCCAATTAAACCGTTGAAAAAGCTAACGGTTGTTTTGTAAATGTTTCTAACATAACTTGAAGATCCTAATGTTTTATTAGTTGATTTTAAATTGACCAAAGTTGGTTGATTAATTAATCCTTTTTTATGATAATCGTTTAAATTTTGTAAATTTGTTTCACTTTCCTCTCTGGTTGATTGTAAATCTACTGGAATTGATTCAGTTTCAATTTCATCTCCAACAATTGATGGATTTGTTGATGGCGATAATAACGATTTAGGTGATCGAGTGACATAATTAATTGATGTTCGTAATGTTGTAATTGTTGCTGTTTGTTGACCATTTTCAGTTGTATCAATTTCCACCAATGGATCTGAATTAATTAACTCTGATTGTGGTAAACTGGTTGTCGATTGATGTAAATCATGAAAATCTAATTCATATGGTGGTTTTCGTGTCTCACTCTTAACCTCATCAACAAAATCTTTCATCAAATTGGGTTCAACTGTAGATGTTGTTAATTGTTCACTAATTAATCCAGATGATAGACTAACCATTCCACTGATTAAAGTTGGATCAGTAACCGTGGTGGTTGCAAGTTGATCTAATTTAGATGTTGAAGAAATTGATGGAATCGTTGGTTGTATTGGATTAATGAGTAATCTATTATTCGGACCAATGTAAACCTTTTTCCGACGTAAATTAATTCGATTAGTTGACTCATTAATTAATGATGATTTCGATTGATGATCATTCCTCATAATAGTGACAATTTCCGTTGTATCTTGATCATTAATTGTTTTACCGATTCCACCATTGGTCCCAGTGACACTTTCGATTGAAATATCATCATCTTTTGATCCACTTTTCGAATCAACAATCGATTTAATCAAATTTCCAGGTTCCATGTTCTCTTGTAAATTTGTCGCTCGAAATTTATTCTTTTGATTGTTTCGATTACAATGGTCATACTTTGGACAACACTGACCAGGTACATATTCGGGTTCACAATCGTATCGAAATCGACATTCATTCAAAGCACACCGAACGATATTCCGTTTACAATAACAGGTCACACAAGGATTAGGTGAATGTGGAATCCGTTGACCATCATAATAAACTCGACCATCGTAAGTACAACCTGAGAATTGACCAGAAGAAAAAAAGAAACATAATTACTGATTAATCAATGGAAAAGGTGAAACAATTTATGATCACATGTTGATAACATGTTGATTATTGATAATGAGTAACAATCACGATTATCAGGAGTAACCATGTTAAATTGACAATCAAGGACTTTCAGTATGATACAAGAGAAACAATCAAGATAATTACAAGTTAAATTGTTTAACCTTGTGTACAACAATTTAAATATAGTTAATCCTTTAATATAAGTTCATTGATCTGCAGTTTTATTGATCAGTTGATGATTTAATTTTGCTACCAACAAGATAATCATCATTCTGTCCATCATCATAAAAAAAAGTTGAGGTCAGTTTATTATCGTGGTTAAATGATTTTCTTGAAATTAAGTAAGTTTTACATTCACAATAATTTGATTGTATTGATTATCATCAAAAGATAATTGCTTTTCTCTCTCTCTCTCTCTCTCTATGTTAATAATGTTTTCTTTCTGCTCTCTCCCATTTTTAGAGGGAAATTACATTCATAAGGAACTGAAATGATCACCATCTTCATTATCATGGTGGTGAAGTCAAGGTGAGAGAGAGAGAGAGAGAGAGAGAGAGAGAGAGAGAGAGAGAGAGAGAGAGAAAAGCCTAACAAATTGGAATATACAAAATCATCTTCTGTAATTATCTCTCTCCAGTCAATCACCACCAATTGATTTGAATAATAATGTTGTTATTTATGCGATTTGGTTCAATAATTTACCAATAATAATGTAATCTGATGAAAAGGAAGACAAAGAAAGAGGAAGAGAGAGAGAGAGAGAGAGAGAGAGAATATAAACTTTTATCTTCTTCTACCCTGAATAACTCGTAACCTTTTACCTTAGAATAGTTCTAACCCTTTTCTACTTAAATCTCATCATCACCCATCATCTTATTCATCATCTTCTCCTGATTTTCTTGACCTTCTTATTAGCTCATCATCAATGAATAAACTTCCTGAATTCAATGTTGACCCACTAACGAATTTGTTTGTCTGATCAAGGTGACTTCCGTTACTTTTTTTACTCTCATCATCATCTTTTCAATTAACAGGTAAAATGTTTGATTTGTTGATGATACACAAGTAAAAGGTTAATGATTGAATTAGAAGATACAGAAAAAACAAATCCCAAGAAAAAGACTAACAAAAGATGAGGATGAAAAGGTAACAGAGTTAAAGCTTGTTAGCTTGATGAAGATGAAGATGAAGATGATGAAGATAAGCTTTAAACAAGAGAAAATAAAATGGATGAGTGAGGTTTAAATTCAACTTGTTTCTCTTGTAAATTCAATGAATCAAAACTAATCAGATTCTGATTTTTCTTTTTCTCTCTCATATAATGTGCTTCCTTTTTTTCATCCTCATCTTTATCTCTCTCTCTCTCTCTCTCTCTCTCACACACACACACACTTCATCATCTTTATCTTCATCTTAATCAATGTGCTCTCTATCATCTTATGTCAACTTAATACTTTTTAAATTGTTATTATTTGTTGCAAGTTAATAAACAGTAAATAACATAGAAAAGACAATCAATCCAAACAACAGATGATTGTGATTGTGATTAACTGATCACAATTAGACAATTTGACCTTCTTGTTGTTAACTGTACTTTATTATGCTGATTGTTGTCAAATTCAATTGATAAATCAGATTATATTTGTCTAATCTGTTCCCATTGTATGGTGACAATCAAAAGCTTTTTTTATCAAAAGCCACGAATCAATAGTAACTTATATTATCTCAGGGTTTCCATTATTATTATTGACCTTTTTTCCCTGTGTCTTTTTTTATCTTCCTTATCTTCCCATTTTCTCTTTCTTTTCCTCTTTCTCAGTGTGATTTCAATCACCTTTCTAACCCCAATAACAATGATGTTTTTTTCTTATAACCATTACAATCAATTGATTGCTGATGATGATTATCAAACAGTAGATCACAAGGAAAAAATTATGTAGTCACAATTTAAAATGAGATCAACAAGTTTTTTTTTTCACTTGAAAATTGTTTCAAAAAATGAATTTACATCAATCAAGTGATTGGAAAATTTTCAATCTCGACCTCATGAATTCAAGAATCAATCACTTACCACAATCATAATTAGGGCAACATTGTCCATCTACTTCAATTGTCCGGCAACCGGTTGGTTTAACTGGACAGTGTTTGAATGAGCACGAAAATCCTGGTGGTCGGCAACGACAAATTTCACATGGATGGTCAGAAGGAATCGCATCACCTTTTTCATAGAGATTTCCATTGATGAAACAAGCTAATTAACCGCAACAATTAAGCAAAAGGATCCAAAGGAAGAAAAGAAAAATTAAAAATCGAAACGATGAAAAAAAAGAGACCCAATTGGTCAACCTATCAGCTGGACACTCAAATATCTCTCTTTCTCAGCTATTGACCATTATTGACATTCAATGGTGACCCCTGAATGAATCTCGAGTTTAAAATATCACCCACCGGTGGGTTAGTGAATATCAACAATCCATTATAAAGATAACAATATATTCATGATTCCATTTTTTTTTCTTCTTCTTTCTTTTCGCCTTATTAGATATACCAACACAGAAATTCATGATTGATGAGATTCCATGATGATATAAATACATTATCATCGCCATGATGATCAACATGGAATCATAATAATCATCAACGACAATATATACAAGTAGTTGATGACATGGAAGAAAAAAAAGAGTAAAAATCAACTGAACAAGAAGATGAACAAGAAAAAGAAGATGAGAAAAAATTGACATAGACCATTCTTATCATGTACCCACATCCATCATCATTTTCATCTTGATGATAATCATCATCTTTATCATCATAATTTCTTGTATCTCCTTTCAAGCGAAAACATCAACCAGAATTCATGGAACACATGAAAACCTCAGTGGTTTTTGTGTATTCACTTTCCATTATATCTTAACCTCGAAAAGAAAAAGTTCTAAGAGAGAGAGAGAGAGAGAGAGAGAAAAGAAAAAGCTAAATACATTTATTACTATTATTACATAGAATATTTTTCTTTCCTTTATCTTCCTAATCTTCCACCCATCGAATATATTATCATCAGAATATTTCATATTCCGCCTTCTCAGAGAACTGGAAAGATACATTATCGTAAATAAGGAGAAAATGTTCAGAGAGAAAGTCGAAGAAAATGAAATTCTATTTATTCTCATTCTTATTATCCACCGGTGGAGAAATTTAAGTTTTCTCAAATGTAAATCAGAAATTCTGTCCATTGATTAGTTTGATTATCTTTTAATCACTTTGCACTTTTCTTCTAATCGGATAATCAATCAGCTGATGATTGTTATTGTTCAATCATTATGAGGATCGATTTTTTTTATCAATATGGTGATGATTAAGTTTGATATTGTTGTTGATTGAAATTCAATTTTAATCAACTAATTACTTTGAGAGTAAGATTGATTACCATTGCCAATCATATCTATTGATTATCGATAACAATCAAATGAAAAGGTTGACTGGTTAAGATATTGAATGAGAAACTGTTACCATGTTAATCAAAGGTAATCAATTGATTGGGTGTTGATTGTTTGTGATTATCTATTAACAAATAATATTAATAATTATAAGATGGAAACACTTACCCGTTTGATTTGCACTGTAAGGTTGTAGTTTGATTTGTGGGGCTAATTGTGATCAAGAAACAAATAGATTATGTTGATTGTCAAGTTGATGATATTATCGGTAAAATATAAAATCCATATTAAAGTTAAATCACGAGGAAAAAGATATGAAACAAAAAACTTAGATTAAAAAATGAATGAAAATATTTGCAACTTTTCAAGAAAAATTTGCCCTCAAGCAATTCAATGATTGCTAAAAAATGAACAGAATCTCAATAATAACGATAAATATTCATGATGATACAAAATTGTAATCAATTTGTTTCATTTGTTTATGAAAAGAATTTTTAAAAAAAGTTCTTACCAGAATTAACATGTTCCCATGTTAATATGAATGTTATTATCACAATTAACTGTTGATATGATTTCATTGATACTTATTGATTAACAAATGATAATAATTTGTGAATTTCAAATGGTTCTAATTACGGTAAAGTTGAATCAATTTATGATGATGATGAGAAAGAGATGATCAGGTAAACATCAATATCGAAAACTAAACTTACATTGAAAAGTTTTTAAGGAACAAAAAGTTTTCTCTCTCTCTCTCTCTCTCTCTCTCATCTCCCTCAGATTGTTACCTGTCTCTCTAAGATGATGAAGGTGGGATGGAAGGATGAAGATGAAGATGATGATTAGAGGGAGGAGAGTAAAGGAAACTATTGGTTTCTCATTCGGCTTTGGTATTGGTAACCTTTTTTCTTGTCCAAGAGTTTGAACCATCACTGACCGACCTTAAATAGTATCGATACTTGATTGTTAATTAACCCGAGTTCCTGTTAACTATTCAAATTTACCCAAGGTAATCATTAAGGTATGAGAAGGGAGGAGATGATGATGATGATGATGATCAAAGGTAAGTCAAGGTCAGTCAAAGATAAATTCCCTCATCCTAATGGTCAGTATTATCATCGTTTTTTTTTTACTTTCTTTTATCTTTTCTTTTTCTTCTAGTTCTTTTTTTACCTTGGTCATTTTTCTTGAATAAATATATTACATAGATGATCATCTTCTTACTGGACACACCTTTAAGTGGTCAGTTTGTTTTCTTGTTTGTTTTCTGAGGGTAAGATAATTACGATTATATTATTCAGAGAGATTTTCTTTATTTTCGTTTCTTTCTTAAGTTACTTGATGAATTAGTAACAATTAACTTGGCACAATTTAGCTACGAACAGAAAATCAAAACTGACCCATTGAGTGGACACAATTTACAACTTGTTAATCAATCAAATTGTAACAACAATCATTAGGTGTGTATGTTTCAAGTTTATCAACAATTAAGATCAACTTTTCTCATTGTAAACTTAAGGTGTAATTTGATTGTGCTTTTTTTCAATATAAATCATGTTAATCAACTGATTGCGACTGAACAATCAGTGATATCTTCAAACAATAGCCAATTAATTCAATTGGTATTGATTTGATCAACTTAATCAAACAGCCTCGTAAATAGCAAAGGATCAAACAATCAGTGTAACACTTTAATTACTGTTATCGTTTAATTTAAACTAAATTAACTTATTGTAGCCCTAACAATTAGACTATTTCCTTTTTCATTATTCAGTTAATTTTATTGTTAATTGTTGACTAGAAACACTAATCTTTTCCGTTTTCTTCTGGGTTGAACAATTAATTAATTTCCTTTTCTCATCATCAAATTAGTTGCCAAATGATTAACTGATAATGATGATATTTGTTTAGATTTTGACTCGATTTAAATTTAACAATTTACAGTTAATTTAGTTTAAGGTCAATCGGATTGGGAAGACAATCAAGTTAATCATTGATTTAGATCATTGATCAACTTTTTCCTGTCTCATTTAATTAACAGTTCACTTGATTCTTAATCATTGAAAACATTTCTAGGGGTTTGCAGTCAATTTAATAACAATTAAGTTAAAAATCAAATTTTAGACAATCCTAGTTTTTTGATTGTCAATGTTAACGTTTAAATATTGGGTTAGGTTAATCAGGATCAGTTAATCAATGAAAAATTTGTTGATTCCAACAAAATTAAGTTAATTGTCAGGAATAAAAATTGTGTATATAAACCATTAAATGATTGTGGTTAATTGTATTTGTTTGTTGATGGTAATGATTAAACTTTATTACTTTTGTCAAGCAAGATGACAACTTTCATAGACACAGTGAGTGGTCAAACATGTTTGACCAACTCAAATCATCCTCATCCTCATCTTCATCTTCATCTTCACCCTCTCATCATCTTTGTCTTCATCTTGAGCCTAAAGATGATGATGATGATGATAAGTTAACAGAAATTGATTCTTCTTGACTTGCTTGTCATTCACATTACCAATTCTTGGTCAAATTGATGTCCACTCAGATGGACATTACTGGTCATCATCATCACAACACAATCATTTAAAGTAAATACTAGAAGTCATCTTATCATCATCTTATTATCATCATGATAATAATAATGAGAAAAGATTTGAAAACAAAGGTGAAGTCATTTCCATGTTTATCTTATGTTGTGTTGGTCAAGATAATCACCAACTGACCAATGGTTAAGATGATAAAGATAAATGTTAAATCAGCATCATGATTATCACAAAATGGGAAAACAAAAGGACAAAAGTTAACAATCAATCCTGATCCTATTTCTGATTTCAATTAAATTGTTTGATTGTTATTCATTCAACTTGATTTTGGATAAAATAAATCAACTAATCACTTTAATTGGTTCATTTTTGTTCACGTGTTTAACTTTCATTTTTAATCATAATTCACAATCTGAATGATTTACAATTTATCCGTAATCTAATAGTTGTATCATATTGTGTCTCGAAACAATCAAAGTAAAGTTGATTAATCAACAGTAACAATTAAGACAAAACATTGGAAAAAGAAAAGATTATTAATCAATGGTAATTAACTTTGATCACGAAATGTTTTCCCTTTTCAAAGGCACAATTTAATCACTCTAATCACAATTAAAGGCCTGGAACAAATTACTTTTATCATAACAATTACAATTTAATCATCGATAATAATCAAAGAAAACAAATCATGAAAAGTTACCATTAGATTAACAATCAAGGTAAAAGCCCAATGAAACAAGAGGTTGAAGATAATTTAATATTTAGTATCAACAATATGATCAATTTCATCATACATCATATTATTATCATCTTCATCTTCATCATATCATCCTCATCATCTTTTTGTTTCAGTCTTGATGATGATGATGATGATTAAGGAAGAGGAAGGAGAAGAAAAAAAAATCAAAAGGAAATGATTTTTTCTACTATTTGATTCCCATTGATTGGAAATATATACTTTTTGTCTTCCGTTTTCTTGGCTACTATCATCATCTTTACCCATCATTTATCATCATCATCATCATCATCATTCCTATGGAAAGATTTTCTCATCTTCATCTGACTTTTATATCCAAAGGCTTATCATCATCATCATCATCATCAACCTTTGATAATGATACTTGAAATAAAAAGGTAAAAGTTAATGATTAGTATGTGAGAGCTAATGTTAACTCTTCCTCCTTTTATCTTCATCTTTACGAGGTGGAAATGAGTTGAGAAATGTTCAGTAATTTTATCTTCATGATGATGATGATCATCCTCAGGGTATTAATTCAAAAGAAGAGAGAAAGAGTAGAGAAAAAGATATTAACCTTTATTGAGGTTTAATGAAAAATCGATTTCAGTTCTTTCTCATTTTCCATTCTTTCAATTTCTTTCAAGATTCTTTCTGATAAAAGTTAGATATTTTCTCCATAACAATCATCATGATGATTAAAATTCATCATCATCACCAAAGGAAAATAGATATAAAAAGAGTTGATGATAAAATCGGAAATAAAAAATTCATAAACTTAAAGAGTAACAATAATAAGGAATCAACTTTTTCTTGTTCAATGTAAATAGTTACTCATGAAATCTAAGGGAAAACCTAATGATCCATTCAATTTTCAATGGATTCTGATCATGATCATCATGTTTATTTAAACTTTTCTCTTCATCCTCCTCCTGAATCATCATCATCATCATGAGTATCCTTTCATGATGATGATTTAGTATCAGTTGATTAAGTGAATCTGGTTAAATTAATGAACTCATAGAGATGAATTTTTTTTCTGATACTTAGTTTTGTTGTTTTACCAATGAATTTCAACTGAATCAATCATCTTAATTCAATCTGATTGTCATGATAATCAAGCGATTAATTGATGATTGTCTACAAAAAGAAGATCAAACAATTTAATCAAATGTATTTTCATTCACATGGAAAACAAATTGAATTGAATTTTACAAATAACGGGAATTATCATAAAGACTAATGATCTTCATCTTCATTAGTCGCTTCCTGATTCATCACCATGGAGATTTTGATGATGATGAGGACGATATTTAATCCATTGTGTCAAGACCTTCTCCCAATGAAGAGAAAATGATGAGGATGGAGAGAGAGAAAAAAAGAAAAAGAAGATTACACCTTATTAGAACTTTTTTTTCTTCTTATTCTACTCCCAGTTACCAAGGGAAATTTTCCACCTCCCACCCTTTAGACTTTTTATCTGATGAACTTTTCCAAATCATTTATTTATCATCAAAATCCGACAATTAACTCACTCTAATTACATGGGAATTTAATTCTCATGTTATTTACATTTGATATAATCGACATTTCGAACAGATTACATTTAGAAAGACTAATTATCATCAGTTGATTTGTTCTAATCAACTGGTTAGGATTTTTCGATCAAATTTCCAATCAGAATTGTCATTTATCTTCATCGAGTTCTAGATGAACAAATAATAGGATAGAATCAGATTCATAAACGATAAGTTTTATTTCAATGAGAATCTGATACATTATTGTTGTTATATTTGTAGAAGAAGAATTTTTTTTATATCTTCTTTGTCATCCTAAGTAATATCCTCATCTTCAGTAGCTGAGCCGGAGGCAGGTTCAATTTCCTGTTGCTTGTTCTCACTCCCACTCTCATCATTTTTACTTCTTAACATTGGGAAGAGGGAAGAGTAAAGATTCAGAGTTTTTCTTATTTCTGTTCAATGGATTCAGTGATGGTGGAGGAGGAGGAGGAAGAAGAGGTTGAGGTGGTGGTGGGAATGATGATCTAAGGGATGAAAAAGGAGGATCAGGTGGTGGGTTGACATTCTCAGTTTTCTCTCCGGAAAGAAATACAATCTTCAGATTGAATAGATTCGGACATTTGATGATGGAAGACAGAAGATGATTAAGATTGTGAATATGGTTCAAATGAAGATGAAAGAAAAGAGGATGACCATTAATTTTATCTTCCTCATCTTCTTTCCTTAGTTTTGGTAATAACAAACTTTGACCTCAACTTTCTCATTACAAAGGAATTGACCATCGATTGACCATTAAGACAAATGGACACAAGAAAATGAAAGTGAATGAAAATTTATCCTTCTCTCTCTCTCTCTCTTTGGGTGAAACATTTCAAACTAATTGTTGATTCAACAAATGGAAAATCAGATTAACAAGCAATTAGATTGCGAAGTTGATCAATCATGAGTCTATTATGCTAAATAATGAAGGTTGGTCAGTTGGTCAATTTGGACAATTAGAGTTGATTAGCTTTCGGTTAAATGATTTTTGCGTTTTCTTCATTTAATTTAAATTGTTTTATTTTCATCTCGTTTTCATATACAAATTAATAGTAAGTTTCAGCACCTTTGGGTACTTTAATTGTTTGAAAAACAACAACAATTAATCATAATTAAAATTGTCAAATATAATTACATACATACAAATATAGTAGTTTAAATTTAATTGTGTGTCTTTGTATCAAACCAAATGATTAAATCCAGTTATGATGATGATCAACAGAAACGGTAAACACAGATACAAATCAAATCAATGGTTAATTGTTGAGTAAATTATTAATTCAGTTAGATTTTTGTTGACTGATTGATGAGAAAAACAAAAAGTTTATTATAATCCAAATACTCAATTGAAGGATAATTAAAACTTATTGGATGTAAGTACATATCGACCGTTGATTGTTGGGATATTTAAATGATGTGGATGAAGACACAATTAGGTAACATTAACAATTAGTAAACTAATCAACTAATTTCACTGTGACATTGTCCTCCAGAGTCGCTTTTGTCCTTCACAAGGGTGAATAATATCCCGCCGGTAAGATCCACCCAACATTGATAAAATCCTATTCTGATTATTAGTCCGATCAACATTGTTAATTGTTTGATTATTGGGATTTAATTGATTGATAAAGGAGGACACATGAGTACCACTATTAACTGAGGTAATTAAAGATTGATTGTTGATTGACCCTTGATTGGTATCATTAGAATTGTTATCATTATTATTAAGATCATTGTAGTGATAATTTTGTGACACTTGATATGGAGGCGGTGGGTCAATAAATCCAACGGTCGGCGGTGGATTAATATAAGATGATATGGTTGGAATATAAGAATCCATAAGGCGATTGCTTGTTGAATTAATTAAGTGTGGTGGTGGTGGAAGATTAGTCGAACTGGGTGAAAGTAGATTAGTATAAGGTGACCCATCGGTTAGATCAAATAAGTTAATTGTGGTCGTGGTTGTTGTCGTATTGTTTGGTAATCCTCCGTTAACACCATTCACTGGACATGGTAGAAGACCTGGTTGACCACCGTCGATACTTTGACCATCAACACCGGTGTTTATATGGTAGGGATGATTTTCTGACATATCTAACCCTCCAAGGTGACGTTTAAAAAATTTACGACAACAAACAAAGCCCAAAACTGTCAACATAACGGCAAATATAAAGGTCACTATGGTCACTGTGAACATGGTCGATGAACTGACCAATTGAACGATAGAAACAAAATTACAACCGATTCCATGTTGATGATTAGATGAATCAAATTTCACAAGAAAAAAACAAAAAAAAACAACATTTAATATCAAAGGTAAACATTAGTTGATTCTAAGATGATTAACTAACTGTTACTATTAACTAATCTTATATTTAGCTAAATAATAATAATAGGTTAGTCTTGATTGTTATTAACTCTATCATTAACTAACTATCACTAGTACATTGGTAGTAGCTTATGATTTCAATTGTTATTGTTTCAATTTGATCATTTTCTTGTCAACAAATCAAGTTAATTAAGTTAATCAAGCAAGTTGATCGTTGTTATAATTCAGGTAACAATTTAAACTTAAACAATTGTAACATAATATTTACCAAAATGTTAACATGTTTGCTCAATATTATCATAAACATATAAATCAAATGATTAGCATAATATAAAAACAATATCAATCAACTATGATGATTACTCTGATTGTTGAACATTTTTACAAACTGATTGTTGTTATTTTTGAAAAAAAAATAGTATCGCAATTGTATTACAATCAACAATCAACAATCAACAATCAGTGATCAAGATGAAGATTAAGATTAAGCTAATCAATTGAAAACCAACACAATCGACTTGGTTTGAGGAAAATGATAACAATCAAGGAAACAATTGAAAGGTAACATTTGATTAGATTATCAGAATAAAGTGAAAGAGTTTTAATTAAATTGGTAATCGTTAATTACCTAATATATGATATGCTTGATCCACCAAAAAATTCATTCTCCTCCTTGGAACCACAACAATACTTATGGATTGTAGATCCACAGCAATACATTTTCCGCCCTTGGGACTTTGGTGGGCAGTAGAAACCCGCTCTCCATGAGCCATTCTTGTCTACATATCCGGGGCAATATTGTATTCCAATTGCTAAATCACAATTAACCAAATCAACGAGAGAGATCACAAAAAATTAGTTGGTGTAATCACACAATCCAAATAAATATGAACACAGTTTCAAGCTTGATTGTTGCAAGTACAATTGCAGACACTTAATTTATGTATCAATCAAATTGTTGTTTCTTGGTGACAAGTTAAGACAAAATTAACAAAATTAAATTGTCGTTAAACTAATTAAATGTCAATCAAGAGGTAATATCAAAATCCATTGGATAAGTTTACTTACTATTTGAATCTCCATCAAAAGGTGACATATTTTGAAGATGAAAGAAAATTTTTATTTTCTAAATAACAAAAAGTTTCTCTCTCAATTTTAGTTAATTACGATCCAATGATCATAATTAATGGCGATAATCACAATATTAGTTTTAATTAGAAAATGGTTTAAGATGATTAACTTAGATTAAGGCGAAGTTTGTTTTTTGTTTCTGTTTATATGAATTAAAGATTGGAAATTGAAATTGGATCCAATTTAATTCAGTTAGCATGATAGAGGGAAAATTCTGGATGGAGGAAAGAAAATAGAATCAGAATCATGATATATATTATATATCATCTTTTATACAATAATGATGAAGATGAAGATGATAACTGTTTAACTTTCATGTTTCAACCATGAAGATTGGAGATACATGATAAGACACATTCTCAGAATCCAAGTAATAGAACCATGGAAAATGTATAATATAAAATAGAAATAAACTCAACTCCAAGGCTCGAAATGGAAGAATAATTCTGGAAGATAAAAGAAAGAGAATCGAAAAAAGGGAGAAAGAGAGAGAGAGAGAGAAAGGCAATTTTCGAGTTCTGAACAAAGTTCTGAACAAAATTCTGAAGCGCATGTATTTGATTCACTCAATTATAATATACAGAAAATGTTAATTTATCAATGGGTTTTACGTGTTAACAAACAATAACAGTTAACAATATAAATATACCACAACAATTTAAGATAAACAATTGTGATTAGTTGATCAGGATCATGATGATGATGATAAACTTTATCCTTTTTTTTATCATCATCAATTACATATAATATTTACTTTATCATGATGATTATACTTTAGGTTTGACATCGAGATGAAAATGAGTCTGATAATGATTGTGATGATGATTATTGTTATCATCATTATAATTGTCATCTATTAGCTGTGTAAATAGTAAAAAAAACGAAAGACAAAAGGATGAGGATGAGGATGAAGATAACGGATGATAAGGACATGGAAACCAAAATCTAAGAGGTAACATCTTATCAAGTGTATTTCTTGTGTATGTTTACCGAGAAGATGAGGAAGATACTAAACAATCATTGGGAGTGAAGATGAAGATAACATGGGAATTGTGTTAACATCTTTTTCTAACCAATTGTTATCTCTCTCATATGATTAATACCTGAATGGAGGAGGAAAGTGGGTGGATGAGTGAGTGGGTTGGGTGGGATGAATTGTGGATAATGTGAGTTACACAGTAAAAAAGGACAACAAGATAATTCATGGAGAGAGAGAGAACTGGAGATTCATTCATCATGGTAACTTTGATTTTCCACTTATCAAGGTGTGAAAATGTTACCATGTGAATTTGTAGATTAGAACTTTTAGTTTTATCGAATTTTCTTTTCCCCGAATTCTAAAATGATTTTAGCTTCTTCATTTTCTCATTTTCTTTTTTTCTCAGACGGAATTTTGTTTTCACCCTGAAAGAGACGAAAAGAAAGAGAGTTAAATTGTTCATGGGAATAACTTACATGGTATTATAATGATTAGAATTGTTTCAAGGAGAAAGTTCTGGTGAAAATGTTTTTCTCTTCCAATTCTCATAAGAGAATTGAAATTATTCAAGGTAATTCTTTTGTTTTCCTTTCTCATGGTTTTCCATTATTGTTATTACCATTTCAAAAGGTATATAAATGTATGAATACCATGAGTGAATTTCCTACCATGAGTAATTCATTCATGCAACTGACAAGTGAAAATGAATCATATCCAATAGATGAAACTAATCTGAAGATGAGATTTCTCATCATTTTCATGATGAATGAATTATCTTGTTGATTATCATGGTGAGATAATATTTCTTATTCAGTTGATTAAGTAACTTTTAATATTTACCTCTCATGTTGTAGATTTACAAGTAAGATTAAAAGGATTATCTGGAAAGAAAAGATTAACTCAGAGATTTCATGGTTATCATGATATATTAATACATGAGAATAAGGATGAAATCATGTTAACAGAACTTTTTTACTTCCAAAATCTAATTCACCAGAAAACTTTCACATGAATATCAGGTGATAAATTTATTGTCGGTTTAATTGCGCTGATTGTGATCCAGTCAGAAATCAGTTGATATTGATTCTGATCATGATCATGGAAAAAAAAACTGAACAGAATGGGAACAAAAATGATGGCGAAAAAAAAGATTCCAGATAATAAATAGAATTTTTTTTTCATATTCTATCCTCCAATTCACATCAATCAAAAGCTAAATTAAATTTAGGCTCTTGCCTTTTTTTCATTTCCATGGATATTTCATGATTCCATGCTGACCCTTGTCCAGAATCAGAAAACCATGAAGAAGAAAAAATAGCAGATCAACATAGAAGATGAAAAACAAAAAATTCTCCCATTTTTTGTCTTTATTACTTCAACTTTTTTTTCCCTCTTCCACCATTTCCTCATCTTCCGTTTCCCTGTCATCATCATGTACCCATGAAAATCATCATGATCCATCATTAAAGCAAGAAAATGATACTAATCAAATGAAAAAGAATTAATTTTTTTTTCTTCTCCTCCTCTCTGTCAGAATTAAGAAATAAAATCATCTACACTATTTGGAATCAACTTACACTTGAAATAAATATTTATTATCATGGATATTATATTATCCATGATAATGAACTGAGTAATGTTGGTTTATCATATTGGGAATGGGAAAGAAATCCCATCATGGTGATAATATGAAAAACATGATTGATATTCATAAATATTATATATTATCATTATTATCATAACTGTTATTAACCAGAAATGTCAATATTAAGTATTAAACCAAAATCATTATCATGATTAGTTGAATAATTTAATTTAAGGTTAATCAACTTTTAATCAAATCAAAAGGTCACAATGTTATTTATGAGATCAACAGGGATTGTAAATTCATTCATCAATTGATTGTTCAATCGACCTAATTGTTGTTGATCATTTATTATATTAAGTTAATCAATGAGATTACTTTTAATCAACATTATGAGTTGAATTTGAAAAAAAAGGTTAATCAAAACAATCAGTAAAATTGAGCTTAATCATTAGATACTATTGATTATGTTTTTAAAGTAAAGTGAATTAAATCAATAAAAAAAAGGGTAACGTTTAATTAAATTGCAATTTTCAAGTGAGTGTTAAATATTGATTAAAGATTAACAATTAACTATCAACCTCTTCAACAACAATTAACGGTTCAACTTTTTGATTCCACTAATCATCTAGTTGACTTATTATTGTTTCCAGTTAATCTGTTTATTTATCTCGTTAATTGTTGTTTATAAGCTGAATAATATCAACACAATCAATGAATTAATGTTATGTGAATTAAATTTTCAATTTTAAATTAGCTAATTATTAAGATGATTAGATGTGGATTAGCATTTCCATGATAATAATAGTAATTTAATTAACTAGTGGAGAGGAAAAAAAAAAGAGTTGAAATCATCGGAATCAGAATTACAAATGTCTTATAATCTCATAGTAATCAACTGATTATGAAAAGTTAATCATTTGAAATTCAAATGAAAAGTAATCAGTTGATTGTATACTAATTATCATTAATTAGCTGAATAAATTAATAATTATGGTGAAAAAAACAAGTCAAACTGTTAATTCAAGTTGCAATGGATTCTGGTAAATTATTGATTGTTGATTCGTCTTCAAGTTATTAAATCATGACGACGACAATTTAACTTTGATTACTTTGAATTTAAAAGTAAAAGTTATTATCATGTATTGGAAATTGAAATTGTTCACATTGAGAGAGAGAAAAAAAGTTGAAGTTGAATTTTGTTATAACCATTTAATGTTATTAAATTGTTATCATGATGAAGATTTTTAAATGATGGGAAGGAAAAAGTTTATTGATATTATCCAGAATTTTCAGAAATTCTGATAAATAACAATAATAATAAAAAAAGAATCAAATAAAATGTAAATAACCTGCTGAGATTATTGAACTTGAATATAAATGCTGCTATTATGAGATTTTGATTCGAGGCCAAGAACTTTTTGTTTCCTCTCCAAATGTACAAATTTTACCATCGAAAGAAAATGTTTACAATTAAAGTTTACGATTTATACCAAAAGAAGAAGACATTTGATTAATAATGATCATCGAACTGGATTTTGATTCTGTAAAGTTCTCAATGTTATCTAAGTGTAAAGGTAATTGTAACAATTTAAGAATCTAAATTCACGAATGAGAAAATTTTCTCAAAGGTAAATCATTACAATGGTTCATTAGGCTTTCGTTAGTTTAACAGTTTAAAAGATTTATTGTCATTGTAACAATTTAATCAGACTCGATTCTGAAGTGAACAAAAAAATCACCAAGAATATCAGTAATCAGATATGATCAAGATAATTTACAATTACTTTGATAATGTTTATCCGAAACACTTATTATTATTTTGATAACAATTATCTTTTCACTTGAATAATCAACTGATAGGATTAAAAGGGAGATTAAAGGATTAGCTGTAATTGGGAAATAATAATCAATTGGATTGTAATCTTTTTCTTTATTTGTTGTCATTACTTTTTAAATCAATAAATTGTTGATTCTGAAATTCATATATGATTGATAAGTACATGATATGTATGAGTCGAATGATTTGAAAGGAATTATGAAAAACGAATTTCATATTTTCTAATATATTGGAATATAATTCGGTGGGGAAATTTGAATGAGTGATTTTTGTCCTTGTCGAGAGAATATCGATTCGTACTGATCAACTTACCAACTGTCCAAAAATTTGGACAGTTCGAGATTAGAAGCGAAATCAGAAATCGAAATGACATTTAACAATTACATTGTTATTTTCTTGTAATGTTTAACTAGATACAAGGGATAGAAAAGGATATCAGGTAACACAAAATGAAACGTTGTCATAGAAAATGTTAATTATCGTTGATTGTAATTCATTTTATCATAATCTTCCATTGATTGATTACTAATCACATGTAATCTGATAATATACAATTAATTTTATTCCAACTAATTACAAGAATTAACGAGATAAAAATAGTTACTCGTAAATAGCAAAACAAGTTAAAGAAAAAAAGTTGCAAACATGTGATTAGTTTTTTTCTATTATAATTATTAGCAATTAACTTTAGTATCTCTGGTTAATTGTCCATGATTAAGATTCGTCGATTTTGTAATGACCAAAGGATCGAAACACAAATTATCAGAATAAAATTTCCATACTCATTGATTCCCTTTCGAGTTTCAATCATATCGAAATGTTCTAATTCGACCTGAATGTCTTTATTTACTATTACGATCTTTGTGTAACTTTCAATTAGTTTTACGTTCAATTACCATGAAATTGTCAAGATAATCATCTCTTGATTATCCACAATTATTTTCATTGATAAATACACTTTCAACATACTGAGTATTCATCTAATTGATGATAATGTTTTTGTCGCAGAAAAAAAATGATATTGTTATAAATGTTGTTCCACTAATTAGATGAATATATTTCTAACTTAATTAACTTTGCAAATTCATTAGAAACCATAATAATTATGATACACAAATAGATACATGGATTGTTGATGTTTTTCAACGATCGATTAATTCAATTGTAATAATGTTACTATTGAAATGATACCCAACAAGAAATTCATATTAACAAACCAAATTAGATGGAAACAACAATTAGCATCAGAATGATGATTATCATTTGTATTGTTTTTTCACAATCATCAGGGAATTAATTTTCCAATGTTTACCTTTACATTGCTTATTTGGTTGTTGAAACAATTTGAATTGTTACCTAAGTCAACTTGGTGAATAATTAACATCAATCAAGAAGATTAAGCTTATGGAAATGGATTAAGATTAGTAATTGTGTGTTGTAATCATGTGCTAAGTGTTAATTGTGATACAAACAGTTGATTGTTTACTTTATGTTGAGTTAATCAATGGAAGAGTCAATTAATTGTGTTTCTGTGCTTCTATCCATTGATTTGTCTGTACACCTTGAAGGTAAATCAACTTACTGGATAGAAGTTTTTTCTTCTTCTTTTCTCTTAATCATCATCATCATCATCTCGACGACATTGATGATAAACAAAAAGAGGAAAAGGATAAGTTGATTGGGAGGCTTATTGAAAATCTCAAGGAAAAATAGACAATCTTGTTAACAAGAAAGCTTTTAACTGAGAGGAAAATGTAAGAGGTGGGAAATAGTGGAGAGGAAAAATTTAAGGTGTCGAATCAAGTAAACTAGTGATTTAATTTACTCTGAGGATGAAGATGAAGATGAAGATGAAGATGCCTGCAAGGTACAAGGAAAGTATAACGTTAATGAAGTTAGAATATCAAAGTGAAATCAATGTGATAACAATTAGCTAACTGTTAATAGATTATAATATGTGAGGAAAGATAATTATTTGCATCTTAAGAGGAATAATAATGAATTTCAATAAGTTTTAAGAAGAAGAATGAAAAATTATTCAACTTATCGTCAAGATGATAAAAGATTAAGACGATTTTTCAAAATGATGGAAATGAATTGTTATACTTTTGGATTATCTTTTCTTTGGAGTTAATATTTACCTGGTATCAATTTAAGGAGCAAAATTGACAATTTAAGTTTATATGTTAAACTAACAAGAGGATCAATTTTATCTCAAGATTTGAAATATTATCATCATCATCCTTTTCCTTTTGTCATCTTCTCCCTTCAATCTAAAAGGTAAAGGTTTTCTCCATGAAGGTGGCAAGTGGAAGGAAAAGAATGACGATGATGATGATGATGATCAGTGTGGAGAAGATAATATTGATGATGAGAAGAAGATGAAGATGAAAAAAGTAAAGAAGATTAACCTGCCGTTATTTTTATTCTTCTCTATTTACTTCATCTCTTCTCTCTCTCTCTCTCTCTCATCATTATCATTCCTCATTCTCCATCCTCATCCTTCTAGAGGGATTTAAAAAGTCCAATGGGATCAACAAGCAAAATCCTTATTTCGATAACATCTCCATGGATATTTGTCATCTTCTCACTCCTATTATCATCTCCTTCTCCTGATAATGTATCAATATGATCAAGTTTTATTTGTCTGTTGAAGTTGTTTCAATAATTTCATCGTTTCATTCAGTTGAATATATTGAATCTCATGTTCAAGTTTAAATGGCGATTGAATTATTTGTTGTGTTGTTATTATTGTTGTCGATGTTGTTGATAAGCTTAGTCGAGTTAAGAATCCATTTGATGGCGACAACAACATGAGATAAAGTTGTTAACATTTTGCTGATTCGAGTCACATAGCAAAATAATATTATATTTACTAAGGTAGAGTGAGAGAGAGAGAGAAAGGTAAAGATGATGATGATGATCGTGAGTGATGATAAAGAGAGAAAAGGAAGATTGAATGAATGAAATGATAAAGGAAATCACTCAAAATTGATTTTACTCTTTTCTTCATTGAAGAATAAAAAAAAATAAAATAACAGAGATAAAAGTTGAGAAAAGAAAGAGAAAGATGATGATGATGATGAAAGGAAAGAAAGAGAAAACCAATGAATAGCAAATATTTTGCTTCGCTTCATTGTTATCTGATTTCTCTACATGGAAGAGAAGGTAATTCAACAGTCCGATCGATATTTTTACCATGACTTTTCCTCCCTCATGTTATATCATCTTCACTTCTTTCTATTTTTCTCTCTCTCTTCCTCTTTCTTTTTTTCTTTCATTCGAATATCTCTTTTTACTTCTTCCTCCTTCTCGGCTGCTTCTTCATTCCATATATTCCCAATTCTGTTGTTTGACTTTTCATGGTTCCTCTTATTTTCTTTCCTCTGCTTCTTTCACTATTAAGGTGTGTTGATTTATCACTACATGACTTCCGGGCCTTGGTTTCCATAAAGAAATAACCTTTTTGATTCTCGAGCCTTGTATCTTTCCACCTTCCAGTATCACCTCCTCTTCGTGAAATGTAAATTTCAAGGCAATTTGAAATAACAGTAAATCCTCACATGGATAATAAACATCATGAATGATGATTATGAGGAATTAATGAAGATCTTCAATTGAATAACAGGCAATAAGCAATTGCAATCCAATCTCTTGATATGTTCAGTAAAAATCTCATTTCTCATGTTGAAATAACTGTAAACAGTTTTTTTTGCATAAATCGTCATCATGTTTGGATACATTTGTCATCCTCATCTTCCTCCTGTTCCTCATCCATGGAAACAGCAAATTTGTATCTTCTTTCAATGATTCTGTAGACTGATAGTTGAGAAGTTGAAATGAAAAATCTGTGAAAGAGAAGATGATGAGAGAGAGAGAGAGAGAGAGAGAGAGAGAGAGAGAGACCAAAATGAAATGTTATGTTGATGGAAGATAAAAGATGATAAAAAAAGAAATGAAATAAAATCTGTTTCGCTTTTTTCTCATTCTCAATTCCTCCGGAAAGATTACCTTAGGAATAAAATATATATTCGATATATTTTCTTCCATGAAACTTTTCAATATTAAAAAGTGCAACAAGAATTATATATATTACATGGGAAGATAAATTCTTCCATCTCTTGTCTTGGAAGCATTTTTTTCTTCATCTTCCTTTTCATCCTCTTGAGCCTCTTTTTTTGTGATGGAGAGAGAGAGAGAAAAGGATAACAAGCAATTCCACATGAATATATACACAGAATATACTCAATTTCCAGGGTAATTACTATCTTTTTCTTTAGGTATTCCAAGAATTATTCCCTGTTCACATATTATCTTCTTCCTCCATCTTTTTTTTCTCGTAATATCTTTCGAATCACATGGATTGAAACGCTCAGCTCTGAATCTAAAGGAGTGGGTATGGGTGGGTGAAGTGTAGGGAATAATAATAAGCAAATATAAGTGAGAATGTGTTTAAATTGTGTTAGAAAACAATGTTACTTATAAACCTCATTGATGTTGTGTTGACATGTGACAGAATCAGTATCATCATTCAGGGAGATAAAAGAAGATGATGAAGAAGAAAAAATTACAAAGATAAACATGGAACTTTTTTTCTTTCTTTCAGGTGATGATGATGATAAAGATAATGGTGAAGATGAGGTAAGATTTTTTCTCCATTCTTCTTAAAAGACATTATCAACTCCATGTTGATCAACTTGTTCTTTGCTTCTACTTCCTGAATATCCTCTTCCTCTTCCAGGCAGCATCTTTGTTCATCATCATCATCATCATCTCTTCATCTTATTCAATGAGATTTTTTTTCTCATTGTGAAGATATTAGGTTGTCAATTTTTTCTCCTCTTCTTCCTCATGAAATTGAAGGTGGATAAGTTTCGATATGAGGAAAGAATGAGAAGAAAAATGATAAAAGAATTTACTCCAATTTCAAGACACGATTCATGGCTCAACAATTCTCAATGGACTTGGATGATTCTCTCTCTCTCATCATCATCTTTTCCCACCCCATGGATATAATAATAACATGGATATTTTAAAACCCAAAGGCTTTAATCATGCTTCATGGTTCCTCTCCTTTGTCTCCATCTCCATCTTCTTACATCCCCATGGTGATGTCACTTTTTTCATGGCGAATTCATGTTCAGTCCTCTGATGGACTTGATCCATTTTCCACTGACCATTACAGCTCCATTGTCTTTGAAACCATCACCAAGTCACCAATGGTTATTTACCTTAGATTGAATTGAACGAAAATCAAACTTAAATCAATGGATTATTTTAACATTTCCATTGACTCAATTCTAAACTTTCACCTCCAATGTGAATGTATTTGAATTTCTTTCTCGATCCCAATCTTTTTCGACTTTTTTTCTCAATTCATTTTGTGTAAACCGTTGAACCGATTAAATCGTTTTCCAGGTTAAATCTTCCCTTCTCTTGGAATCCAAATCATTCTATTATTTAATTCAATATATACATGGAACTATTTGTGACTTTTGATCCTGAAAAAGAATAGAAAAAAAATCAAGAGAAAGAAAAGAAAGAGAAATTGAATAATTGAAGTTTCCTTTTTTTTCACCAGAAAAGAGAAAGAAATTGTAAATACTTACCATTAATCACTTAACCATTTCACCGGTTAAATTAGGAGAATTAACCAGCTCATGGTACCGAATGGATTCCACTAATGATTACAATCAAATTCTGGTAGAAAACAAATAGTTAAATATATAAACATTACAATAATTACAATCTAATTGATGGAACGAAAATTCAAAATAAATGGTTACCTTTAATTGGAGACAAAAGCCTAAGAGTATAGATGAGTTTGTTTTTTATTTCTTTTCTCTATCCAATTAAATTGTTACAATTTAATATTCTTTTCACTAATAATGAGATACATTTAACAATCACTTTAGGGAATTGGGTTGATCAAAATGGAAAAAAAATTAAATTCAAATTATTAAGCCTGAAGCAATTAACTAATCAATGAGAGGTTTGGACAACTTGTTTTCGTTATGTTGTTGTTGTTGTTTTCCTCTGCAATTGATGAACATAAATATTGGCACTTAATTTGATTAGAAATAAAATAAATTATGTCAACAATTTATTGTGAAAACAATCAGTGAATTATATCATTCGGATCCAATCATTAATCATAATTAGCGGTTAGTTTAAGTCAATTTGGATTCTGTTTGCTCATCAATAAAACCAACAAGTCGAGTTAATAAATTGATTTCAGTTCATTTCTTGATTAACTAATTGCTATCGAATTCATATTCTGGTGATTAAATCAATAAAAATTTCGTAAAAGTTTAATTGTGAGAATTGTTTAAGAGAGGAAGAGAGAAAGAGTTGTAATTGTTTTCGAAACTTTTGATTTCTCTTTTTGTTTCGATTCTATTTTTTTAGGAATTTGTTTCTTTTTTATTTCTATCATCAGAATTTAGTACAAATTCATGTAATGATAAATTCCAACAGAGAAAAATAATGATAATAATAATAACAGAATTTAATGACTTCTGAAATTAATGGTTTTCTTTTCTTTGACTGGTAAATAATGAGAATTGACTCTTGATTCATTTTCCACTGATCATCAAACTAAATGTTTTGATTCGTTTCCTTCTCAATGAATTTATCATGACAAGAAAGAGAAAGAGAGAAAAAACAACATGAAAATGATTCGAGTAAATTACAAACCTTCTAATGGATTAGCTAATTGTCACCAATAATCAGTGAGCTAATTAGTCTAACGGTAATTCATTCGGATAAATTAACAACATGGGAAGAGAAAGAGAAAACTCTCAACTTGATTAACTGAATTAACTTGTGATACTTTTAGAATTTTCTTTTTCCACCTCCACTTCCATTTCCCACTTCCACCTTTTCCTCCTCCTCCTCCTCCATGTATTCATCGAGGAGGATTAACCTTTTTACATGGAAAATGTTGATTTTCGTGGAATTGTTTCATTTGCTTCAATAAGTTCATCGAATTAATCATTTCTTTCATCAGAATTCATACAAGTGAACAATTAACTGGTTATATTTTCATTCGTATCAAAAATCCTTCGCGTTAATTGTTGCAAAGTGATTAAAACCTAATCTAAATGTTAACAGATCACAACAACAATCAAATGTAATCATTTCTGATACGATAATTAAGCTAATTATTTACTTTGTCTCTTCATGTTTTTGTATATTAACAATATGCTATTGATTACTTAGACTTAATCATCATCACAAGAGTTTAAATTAATTGTAACATGATAATGATTGATATTAATTCCAGCTCATTGGAGCTGAAATTTTGCTTTCTTATCTTTATAATTCAGGATTAATATTATACAACAATTAGGAATCATTTCCTTAATGGTTGTGTTAATTTATCTCAGTAAAGTCTTAATGAAAAAATGATTTACAATCAATTCTAATTTCATATTCAATCAATAGCTCAGGACTGGAATTGATTACAGGCCAATTAATTTATATTTCGATAGCAATTAGATGATGAAAAGAAAATGAAAAATCAAATCTACCTCATTCTCTCTTAAAGTTTACAAGATTTACAATTAAAAATCATCGACAATTAATTACCTTGTATTCAATTTCTTAGAATTGAATTGATATCCAACATTTAAATCCAATTGAAAATTAATCATTCTGTCAGTGAACTTTCAACACAATCATTATAATAATAGATTCTTAATGATAATTATCACTTTTCGTATGAAACGATTCGTTAATTGTAATTAACTTTTAATTTCTCTCATTGAGTAGCAATTAAGGAAACATGAAAATTGAAAATTCCAACAAAAGTGAAATAATCTGATTTTCTATTTTCAATCATTAACTTTTCTCATTATCAAAAAGGGTTATTAACCTTGGAATAAATTGTTAATCATGTTCTTTATTTCTTTAATTATGGAAAATCAAAAAGTATTATTAATTTAATTGCGAACAAAAATGTAACTGGTCTAACTTGTTTTTCGAACGCTTGTCGGCGCCACTTGCAGAATGTTCGTCACTTTGTTTGGTTTCCATGGAAACACTTAAATGTGAATTTATGTTTGTGTTGATAATTTTGTGATTCTCTCTCTCTTCTTACCTTGATAATCAAGGTTTAATTAATTTTGTACATTTATCATCACAATTATCATCACCATCATCGTCATCAATTTCGTATTATTCATCTTGAGAGGTTTCCTTTGACTCCTGTTTTCCATCGCCATCATAATCATCAGTCTGTTGGATTTTTTTTTATTCCTTCCAATTGATTGAAGTAACTTAACATAATTTATTTATTGTTTTTCGTTAATTCTCCTTAGATTTTTACTAATCTAATTATATTTAAACAAACTGAATCGAATAATAACTAAATTTATCATGTCAACAATTAAACCTAAAGTTGTTTTTGTCCTTGGACCTCCTGGTTCAGGAAAAGGAACTCAATGTTCAAAGATTGTTAAGGTTTGTTCAAATTTAATCTTCTATTCACAAGTGAATCTCTTTTCTTTTCTTAATGATTTGGTTTGTAATTTGGAGTAATTTCACTAATTGTTGTTTTGTTGTTTTAAAATAGGAATTTGGGTTTGTTCACCTTTCAGCCGGTGATTTACTTCGTGCAGAAATGTCAGCCGATGGATCTGAATTTGGAGAGTTAATATCCAATCATATAAAAAATGGAACCATTGTACCAGTTGAAATAACTTGTTCTCTCTTGGAGAAAGCTATGATTAAACACTGTTCTCAGGCAAATGGATCAATGACTGATGGTGATGTTGCCGGTGATGCGATTAAATTTGATGGTAACTTTTTGATTGACGGTTTTCCTCGTAGCGAAAATAATCTTGAAGGTTGGAAGAAAGAGATGACTGGTAAAGTGGAGGAAAAATTTGTTCTCTTCTTTGATTGTCCCCAAGAAATAGCCATACAAAGATGTCTTAAACGAGGACAAGCCGGTTCTGGTCGATCGGATGATAATGAGGAAAGTCTTAAGAAAAGATTGAACACTTACCACAATGATACACTTCCAATCATCAAATATTACGAAACATTGGGACTTGTTCGTCGGATTAATGCTTCTCCTTGGCCAAATGAAGTTTATCAAGAAGTTAGAAAATGTTTCCTTGAGTGATTAACACAATCACAATTTAAAATTATTCTCTCGCTCTCTTCACCGCAATTCCTTTCAAAGTTAATCAGACTTTTCTTCATTATAATTAATATTTTTTCGTAACTTCTTCAATTCTGTCAACCCGAACATGTTTAGACTCCATAGTTGATTATCACAATTCTCTCCCTCTCTATCTTCCTCTAATTATTTAATTCGCTTGATTATATTTCCTTTCTTACCTCTTCTCCTTGGCATGTTACAGTTTCTCTCAAACATAATTCTCACCTTTTTTTGATCAAAGTTTTGATAATCTTCACGTTTTCTCCTCTCGAATAATTGATTTAACTCTCTCCCCCTCACTAATTCCTCTTATCCTCTTATCCCAATTACCTGAAAATTTGATTACTGTATTCCCGAGACAATTCAATTAAGAATAACTTTTCAACTTGAGAGTCAAAACAAAAATCTAAGTCTACAAATAGTATTACAAAAATAATTACAATACTACTTTCCTTTTGTATTAAACTTTTGTTGCTATTTAATTGTTCACAAATTGATCCACCATATTGATTCAGTTAAAAAAATCAATTACATTGAAAAATAAACAGCCAACCAGTTGAACCAATTGGTTCCAATATAATTATTGACTCAACGAGATAATTGTTGAATATAAAGTGTTAGTAATATGAGTGAGCCAGAATAAATTATCATCGTTAATTAGTCTCTGATCGTCACAGGCTCGATGGTAACATTGACTCATGATTCCTCTGAAATTACCTGTAAATTGGGACAAAAAAATTAGACAATTAAATCAGCAATTACAATGAAAACATGAGGAATAACAATTTACTGACCAGTATCTGTGAGGAAAATAGCAGGAAGTTGTTGATTGTAAGAATTAAAATCATGGAACCAGAAATTAGCATGATCACTTCTGAGAAATTGACCAATTAAATCAGTCGTTGTTGGTAATTGAACAGGGAAAACCTTAAATCTACCCTGATGATCAACTTGTTTCCATGATTTAGTAAAACTTTGAGTTAATTGTGAATCAATTGATTGACGAGCAATTAAAGTTAAAAAGTCGCCCTTGTAATCATTTTCCTTGATCAAATCTGCTACTTCTGGGGCAATCTAAATGTAAATAGAGCAACAATTAAATCAGAAATGATATAATTACCCTGACTATGGACAGGAAACATTAATTACTAATTACCAAATTAACTTCTTGGGAAAAGATTGAGATCCAATTGTTGAATTGTAATATAAAATTGTATCCATGATGAAGGCTCCTTGGAATGATGATTTTTAGCAATCAATTCGTGAGGAATTAAATGTTGATTAACGAATAAATCACTTCCAGTGTAATCATATTCCTCGAAATCAAAGGCCACAAACATGATTGAATTAATTGGTCGATACGATTGACTGGTCATCTTATTGGACACAAGTCGCAGGACCTCAAGTAGAACCGCTAATCCAGAGCCGTTGTCATTAACTCCTGGAGTGATATCGTTTGGACCATTCAAATAGGTGTCATAATGAGCGCCGATTAAAATCAAATTGTCGTCACTTTGATTACGACGAGTTCCAGCAATTAAGCCGATTATGTTGGAGCCTTTCACATTTACCTCACCTGGTTGATCATATGTTTGAATTACTAATTCATCGGTATATTTTTTCATCTCATTGATTAAAAATTTTCTAGTTGCTTCCTTGTTAACTGGATTAACTAAGTGATTCCGTGATTGATTAAATTGCGTGGTTAATAGACATTTTAATCGGTCAATTGAAGCTCCGTCAATCAATTTGTTTCCGTTGATCAGTGGTTTCAACTTTGAATTTGTTGGCGAGTTGTTTTGATTAGGAAAATTGTCTAAGGGAAATAAATTTATTATCATTAAATTTTTCTCATTAAACTGAATTGAAAAACTTACCATGGTCACAATTAGCACAATTAACGGACACAAGTCCCAATAAAAGTAAACCAACAATTCGGATTGACTTCATGTTAATTAGTTTTTTGTTCAACTGTTTATTAACTAGTTGATTCCTTTACAAGTTCAACTCACTATTTATCTGTTTGATTGAAGTTAATTGCTGATTATTTGATTGTGACAACAATGATTTACGATTTGGTTTAAATTGTTCTGTTTCTTATGATCTATTGTCTTTTTCTTGTGACAATTTTGAGTTAAATTGTTCTTGCAGATCTTGATTGTCGGAGAAGTTGATTGTTAACAAAAAAAATGATATTGATTGGAGACAATTACTGTTTTAATTTATGATTATCTAATATTGTTACAAATTTTTCATGTAACAATTGAGATTGAATTGTGATGAATACATGTTATTTTGGGTTATGAATTTATCTACATGATAAACTTTGGTCAAGAATAAGCAAGTTAATTGTTGAAAGAAAAAATAATTGATTACAAGAAATTAATAACAATTAACTTTATCTATTATCTCTTTATCTAATTGTCGACCAACTGTTTCACTTAATTCTCGTAATAAGAATGGACATTTCTCTCGGTCAGCTAAACATTCCCATGTATCCAAATGAACCTGAGAAAAGACGGTTAAAATCAATTAGATTTCATATTAATCAACAATTAATGATGATGATGATTAATGAACTATTTACGAATTGATACTTACTTTCATTATTTTAATTCGATAAAAATCTTCCAATGTTCGTAATCTAAGATCGAATTGACCTTTCAACTTGTAGGGCTTAGAATTAAATTCATTATCTGTTAACGGTATCACCGCGATTCTGTTGAAAGAAAAATGAAATTTAATCAACTGGGAAATCATCATAGTCTATGATAGGAAATTCGGGAAGCGATGACCAATGGTCAGAAGGAAGTTCTAAATGATTCGGTGACGCTAATTGAAAGCGATCGTCGAAACGTTAGAATTGAAAGGAAAAAGTTGGAAACAAGGATAAGGTAAAAGCGAAAAGCACTTACAATGTATTTTCAGAATTGAATTTATAACAATCATCTAGCAATTTAATTCCATTCTGATCTTCATTATCATAATTATCTAAGTCGATTAGTTTACCATCTTTGTTAACCATTAGTAGATTGTTGATAAAATGTCCATTTGAAGTCCAAACATTAGTAATGACTTTTTGTTTACCACCAAAAGTTAATCTAAGAAACGATGATAATGATTCTTGGAATTGGTTAGGCTTGTGGATTGAATTTAAATGATTAATTGCCTGTGGTAAGATTGATGAAAGAGATGATTTAATTGTTGAGGAAGTTAAATCGTTCGCCTCACAAGAAATTCCGATGTTTAATGTTAAGAGATTATTGTAACTCTTTTCCAGTGAAGAGAATTTTAAATTGTCTTCTATTAGATTAGGTTGGGTTTCGATTAAATGTTCAAATGCTTCGTGTTCTTTGAGAATTAAGAAACTAATTAGTGTTGACATTGGTGAATAAAAGTGACTTCCATGGAGTTTAATTTCTTCCAATAGAATTGGAAATAAATCTTTCCAGTTGACATTTGTTGGTCTCCAATTTAAATGGCCCAGAATTTGGATTATATTTGCCGATGATAACGGTACATCCCAGAGGAAGGAACGAGAATTGTTAACAATTAGTGATGAAACTTTTTCCAATGCATTTGATGAATAATGATCGTATTTCATGGTGAAAGCGAGGAAATAATCAAAAGCACCAAAGTTTTCAAATGAATCTGATTTCTCGTAAATACTGTAAATTGTATCACAATATTTACGATTAAAATAAATTGGATCACTTGTTGTGCTTAACGATTTCAATGTTTCGTCAAAATAATAATCAATCTCAAAGTTGTAACTGCTTAATGAGCCAACTATTTGAGTGAAACAATGATTAAGAATCTTGTTGATTAACGGGCGACCAATTGAATCTAAATTTTCCTCAATGTAACTATGAGATAAAAGACCAACTAAATTGTTCAAGTGGGCAGAATTCATGAATCTCAACTTGGAAGCGATAACTTGAAGCAGAAAACTGACCGCTTTCAGGTCAATAGATCCATGAGTAGATGCTTTAAGAATAAGTAAAAGATGATCTGGTCTAGTGGTCAACTTTTTTCCAAGAATTTTGATCGCTAATGCTTCAGGTATCGCCGATAGAAGTGCTTTCAACGTTGGATCTATTGGTTCTCTTTCATCTTCCGGATCACGTTCAACCATTGGATTTTGACTTAACAGGAAATAGATTTCTGATAATTGTATAGAATCATATTCATTAAGATGGACTCGTAACATTTGAAGAGCTCCTTTGGTGATCCCGATGTTTGTTGGAAGGTTAATTCCAAGAACCAAGTGAGCAAGTGAACGAACTTGTTCCGGTCTAATGTAGCGTAATTTTTTCATTATCAGAGAACATGTTCCTCTAAATGAATTATCATTGAGTAAAGAATTTTTTACATCACCATCAGAATAATATTTTCGTAATGTCCAAAGATGTTGAATTTCAACGGTCATTGGATCCAAGCCAAGAGATTCTTCTGGAGGTTCAATTTTCTTGGGGAATCGGCGACTGAGCCTATTGTCAGTGGAAGATAAAGATAATCTAGAGAAACACCGGCTAGATGAAGAGAAGAATCTTCCTGATAAACGAGAAGACAACATTTGGATACTCAATTAAATCTTGATCACAATTTATAAAAGAAAACAAAAATCTATTCAAAGATTCAGTCTCATGTTTATGTCAACATGTTTTTAGATTTAACTTGTTTACAGAGGGCGCGATGCTCGTTGCCATGGTTACCATGGAAATTTGAAATTTAATTAAATTTTTGAGCTCAATTTTGATTAGCTAATTAGTTGGAGGATTTGAGGTTTTGCATTTATGATGTGAATTATTGAGAGTATCGATTGTGGATAATCATGGTTAAGATCATTTTTGAAAGGTATATGACTTTATTTTGACAGTTTTCTTTTAAAATTATATACTGTGAATATTTCTTGGATTGTGAATTGATTTAACAATTTAGATAAAGAGGAAACAACTGAATTGATGATGAGATGAACAAAAGAGACAGAGAGAGAGAGAGGGAGAAACAAGAGGAAACATGACACTGGTAAAAGAGGAAGAAGAGAGAAAGAGAGAAAAGCAAAACAACAAGAAAGAAATTTAAATGATAAGAGAGTGAGAGAGGAAAATGATGCAACTGAAGTTGGAATTATAATGATCTCTGAAATGTGATAACAACAATTAGGAGGACGGATCGTGATCAGCTGCACTTAAAGCTCTTAAAACATATCTAGCGGTATAAACGAACGCAATGAAACCTATTACAACACCGATATTCGTCAAGGCACCGGTAAGGGAGCCATTTTCAGCTCTTAATCCTGCAGCAGTTGATCCAATTGAATTTCTTAAACCAGCAACTCTTTCGGAAACTGATGATAAACCATCAGCAGATTGTTGCTCCTTTTGAATTCGTTCACGAGCTTCGGAAGCAAGTTCTGGAAATAATTGGCAAAATTCGTTGTTATTCAAATTAAATGACCAGCTTTCACGAGCGTAGCTCCTTTTCTTCCAATCAGGTGTATCAATTGAGCCCATGGTTGGATTTTTTTCTAACATAAAGCTCAATAGACCAGTTAATATAGTTGATGCACTCCAAGTTGGATTCCAGGTATTTGGGTGATAGTCTGAGATAGATAAACATAATCGTGTATTACACTTGAAACGTCCACTTGGAGTTAACATTAAAATGGTCGGTGGTTTAAATGGAAAATCAGCTGGAAATCGTAGTTTACCATGGTAGATTCCACCTTCATAAGGTGAACCTTCAGGTCCACGAATAACGTAATTCCATTCTAATATATTATCTGGAAGTGGATGAGCAGAAACATAAGGAACAGGATCTTTCAATATTTTAAGATAATCTCTTTTCAATCGTTGGGTTGATGTGATTGAACGATTTTTTATACTTGATCCACTCATGTTGAAGATATTTCACTATTTTTGACCAGATGAAGATAATATGAGGGAGAGAGTGAGAAGAAAAACAAAATCAAATACAACCAAATGAAAACGTTACAAAATAAGAAATGAGCAAATTTCTCCAATCAAAATGTTCCACAGAAAAACAAAATGAAACAAATTACATAAGTCTAAACAGGAGAAGGGAGAGAGAGAGAGAGAAACAAAAGAGAATAGAAAAAAAAAATTTAGATAGAAAGAGAAAAAGATTGAAACAAAATTATAGTAAAGAGGATAAAAGGTTTTCAATTAATTTAAATTTCCAAGGTAAAAGTGTAAACATACACTCGAATCAAATATTGCCGAAAGTTGAACACCAAAATAAACGATGATAAAGGAGAAGAAGAAGAAGAAGAACAATAAGAATTAATTGTAATTATCACGAGAGAAAAATTGAATTAGTTTAATTTGAAAGAATTAATTTGACAAAATGTAAATAGAATTGAAATTAATGTTGTGATTGTGAAAGAAGAAAAATTTTCTGAGAAAATGAAGGTTTGTCTCAATTCTAATCGCGGTTCTTTTGAAACGGTTAAGCAAATTCCGAGGAAAATGAAGTTAATTGAATGAACCGCTTTTCCATTTGAATGAAGTTCATTGCATCAGCTGGAAGAAGATTTTAAATTGTCATCTTTGTTTTAGAATTGATTTAAATTCTCTTTTGATAATTTTCTATTCTTTTTTATAATCTCATCTGTTTTTTGTTGTTCTTCGCTCAAAGATCATGGGATCTGCTGCTGATACTCGAGCTCTTTTTGCTGAGACTAAGAGAAGACTAATTGAGAGGCTTAATGGAAATATAAACAATTGGGGATCTTTGGTTCGTCAGATTGTCAGAGGATCTAAAACATCTGAGGTAAGAATTTATTAATCGTTTACAATTAGATGATTGCGAATGGTTTATAATTTGTTTCTCTTGTTTTATGGTTAGCAATTATCTCAGTGCACTAAGGCCTTTGTTAATCAAGAACATGCTATTGAAAATACTGAATTGGTGAGTACATTTTGCTTCTCATTTTGATTTTATTTTAATCTTATTTGTTTTTATTATTTTATTTACTTTTTAGCATATTGATAAACTTGTGAATATCAATAAATTAATGCTCCAGCCAGTTGATGTGAAGATCCTTTGATTACCGAAGATGATTGTTAATGATTTGCTTTTGGATTTTTGTTTCCCTATCATTTTGTTGAACGTTTTTTTTAATGATTTTAGTAAAAAGATTTGATTGTGAAAAAATGTTTAAAAACTTTGGCTCTTTAGTATCACCCTGATAAATTTGGTTCAATTGTGCCAATTTTATTGGCTGTTTAAATTAGATTAGGTTAGGTTTTCACTATTATGGGTCATCATGGCCTGAGAAATGCCCGGAGGGCCTGAGACAATCAAATCGAACCTGAGACTGAAAAATTTAGCTGAAAATTGAAAATGTCGAGCTGATGGACATTACTAATTACATCATACATAATTAAATTACCTGAGATATTTAATTCCATCATCGGGAGTGCGATAAAAAGCTTTACCGCCAATAGCTTTTTGACAGTAATTTAATTGGAATAATTTGATTTTTTTCTATCATCAATTATGCACCTTTAATTAGTCAAATTGTTGATTTTTGATTTTCAACAATGTACCGAATCTTTTGTAATGGTTGTTACAGTTTCTTCAATGAGGACAGAATGTTTTCATTAACGAGCTGCGGCCATGTTTATTGTTCAGATTGTCTTCCTTATGGTAAGTGTCACTTTTTCCGTCTTAATTTTAGTTCATTTAATTTAGCCGAATTAATTGTTTTCTGCAATTTTTTTCTTCTCTTTTGTTTTTCTCCACATTAGGCAACCGAGATAATTGTAAGATATGTAAACGAAAGTTCTCAAAAATGAACATCACCAAGCATATTCCCGAATCAACTCAAATGCTGTTCAAGGATTTGAAAAGGAACCTCATGAGTCTCACCAAAGTGATCAAAGTGAATATTTAATGCCAGATTCTCATGATGTTGGAATAAAAGATGAAGAGTAAATTTCTCATTTCATAACTTGACTAATTTTCCAATTCTAACTTACCTATTTGTGTTGTTCCTTTACACAGTCTTACTTACGTTGATTGGAGCGACGATTTGGATGTCGATGAGTATGAAAAGAAAACTCGACAATATATGAACAGTAAAATTTCATTCCTCAAGCGAAAAATTTTCCTGAAGTAAGTAAGAATGGACTTCTCAGAGATGAGAAAGATGAGAATCAATGTCTCACACAAGTAAGTAGCCACACACAGAAAAAAATAACTGGTCAACTTAATCAGCTAAAAAACTTGATTCTTTTTCTCATTTTTCAACAGTTTGGCTCAGATTAACCAACAATTGATCAAGACCTAGTCAAAATTGACAATGTAAAGCAATGGAATTAACCTCAAACCATCCCGGCAACTCGTCAATCAACAATTGATCAATTTTTATCGCGCGAAAATAACTTCATCGTCAGGTAATTAAATTGTCTCATTGTGATCTGAAATCTCCTGTCAATTCCTTCCTGACATCTTAATTTTGTTGGAAATTTTTACAATTCTTTTCTTTTTTCTTTTTCTCTTCTGTAATCAAAAGTCACTTATGAACGTTTTTTTAATGATTTAAGTAAAAAGATTTGATTGTGAAAAAATGTTTAAAAACTTTGGCTCTTTAGTATCACCCTGATAAATTTGGTTCAATTGTGCCAAGTTGATTGGTTGTTTCTTCTGAGATGGAATCGGGATTCTGATGATGAATTTCCTCCTCATTTCTGATGATTGGAATCATCCAGATTTTGATTGAATTATCACAATTATCAACTGGTTTTGAAATAAAATGATGATCCTCATCATCTGAATCAGTGGCAATGGGTAATCTCCGTTGACCAGAAGAAGTGACCATAAGCGGAAGCGATGGATGAAGTGAAACTCCGTTGACACTTTCATTATGAGCCTTGAATTTTTTAACCGGATCAAGAAATCCATTGGTTGATTGTTCATCTTTATCATCAAGATTCCAAAAAGTAACATGACCATCATCACCTCCCGAAACAAGACAATTACCATTAGAAGAAATGTCGAAATAAATCCGCTGGTGGGTTATTACCGTTCGCTTGAGAGTAAATAAAATGGAGCTTAATTTCCTCATATCCCAGCATAAAATTTCACCATCTCGTCTCCCACCACTGAACAATTTAGTTCCATCAGGAGAAAAGGTCAAATGTGTCAATCCTCCTCGTTGGCCCTCTAAAATACATATCGGATCACCAGTGGGCTCCTCGTAAAGGCCAATTTGTTTGGAATACGATCCAACAGCATAGATGTCACGTCTCACCGGATTAACGGTGATACAAGAGATTATCCCATGTTGTCCACCTTCACTCCATGGGTCAATCTTTCCTCGCAAACTTTACCTGGTGAACGAACATGAAAAACCCGAATTCCTTTCTTAAAACCGGCATAAATTTTTTCTCCATCAGGACTGAAGGCAACAGAATAAGCAGAAATAAGTTCATCTAAATGATTGTATGGTGAATAAACTGCGACAATTTGTCCGGTATAAGCGTCCCAAAGATGAATCGGATTATCTCTACTAGTGGTCAGAAAAAAACATGATGAAGGATCCATTGAATTCATTAATGGAAACCAATTATAATCGTAAACCAATTCACTTGTTTTCATCTCAAGAACTGGTAACATATCTGATTGTTGCTGTTGTTGATCATCACCAACAATTAAATCCAATGGAGTTGAATAAATATCATGAGGTAAATTGAATATTCTCAAAATTTTATCTTCACTATTGGTTAAGAAACAAGATCCATCCGGTGACCATTTGCATCCTTTCAGGTAATTTGTTGGCGATTGGTAAGGTGAGGTAACCGATTTAAGGAGAGTTAATTGTTTATCATAATCGAAATCAAACCCAGGGACTGGAGTATAATTAACATTATCAAAGGAAAGTGACAAATCTTCATCCATGTTTAATATTACGAGAGAAATAAACAAAAAAGATTAGAAGTAGAAATTGTTTTTCTTGATTGTTTACTCGAACATGTGATGACAAACAGCTGATTAAAAACGCGGTTTCTTAATTTGAACCAATTAAGTTTTGGTCTTTTTGTTTCTCAATCATTTTTTTTCACTCAATTAGATGTTAATTGTTTGTGGAATGTTTAATTGTTTGATTGCAAAAACAGAGCCTGAAAAAAAACTTATGATAATCTACAAAAAGATTTAGACAAAAAGAGTATGAAAGAGAGAGAGAGAGAGAGAGAGAAGAAATTTAAAAGAACAAAATATTTAACAATATTTGAGAATTAAATTACCAAAGAATAATAATTAATGATTAGAATTAGAATTAATTAATGAGAATCGTTATTAGTGGGTCGATGAGGTGAATAGATTGAGAATAAGAATATGAGAAACTCAGTCATTTCTTTTTGGTTTTTGGTTGGTGATTTGGTTTTCAATTCAATTCTTTGGAAAGTGTCAATTGGATTTACGATTTGATTAGAAAGAGAGAGATCATAAGGAAAAATTAATTAAAATTGGTAATTGAACAGAAAACAAAAAAGGATAAGATGAGGAGGGAAAAAAGATATGTTTGAGTCGCACGAAAATTTAAGTACATTGAAAAATAGGCAAGAAAAATTAAAGAATCAAATGGTTAACTAAGTAACCACGGTATCCCTGTGATTGGAATTGATGTGGCGTAGAAGTGTTTCCTCTTTGGCGAACTTTTTATGACAATGTGAACAAAGAATTGGCTTGAGTTGTAAGTGAATTGAACGAAGATGACGATTAAGGTCTCCTGTTAAAAAGAAAGACAATTTTTGATTAGTATTAATTTGAAAGGAAGATCGATTCGATTGAAAATTAACCTCTTTGGCAAAATCCTTTGGAGCAATGGGGACATGCGAAAGGTTTCTCTTTGTTATGGAATCGTTGATGTGTCACTAAATCACTATGTCTAATGTAACCCTTTCCACATTGGGAACATCGATGTGGCTCAGTTCCTCGGTGGATATGTAAATGTCGGGCAAGATCACATCGTTGGATAAAAGATTTACCACAAATATCGCATCGGAATCGTTGATCTTCCTGTTAAAGTGAAAGGTAAAGGAAATCATGAGAAAAGTGTTAGTTTTTATCTTGATTTTATTGTTTTAAATGAAAAAAAACTTACTTTTGAGGGAAGAGAATGAATCTTTTTGTGTCTGGTATAATTACCAAGTCGAGTAAAAGTGGAATTGCACAGTTCACATTTGAAAGGTCGATCGATTTCAGTAGTCTGACCTGGATTTTCAGCCGAGGTCAACAATTTGGTACTGTTAATTGGATCTCTAGTTGTTGTACCGATTGTTTGTTGTTGTTGTTGTTGAATTAATTGTGATTGAGATTGTTGCTGTTGCGATTGTTGTTCAAAACGCTCATTTGACAAAGATATTTGACTAGTTGAGAGTGTTGGTATTTCTGTAAGGTTCGCACTTGACCCTCCAGTCACTCCTGAACCCAATCCTAAACCTCCAGCTACAACGATACTTCCCGCTCTTCCAACAGCACCTCCAATTAATGATCCACTGTTACCAAGCACCGAAACCGTAGTGGCAGCCTTATTGTTGGCATTTGCATGAATACTGTGATTAGTTGTGGTTGTAGTTAAACCTAATCCAGAGTTAGTTGTGTTATTAGTACTAAATCCAGAAGCAATAGTTGCACTCGTCGAGTCGCTACTTCGAGTTGTGAGAGGCAGTATGATTGAAGTTCCATCTTCTCTAAGTAATTGAAGGGCCAATTGCTTTTGAAGAATAGTAGAAGAGGGGAAAACAGCGGCAACATTTGCTGCGAATTGTAATAACCCTCCGGGAAGAATTTTGATATCCAATGGAGTCAAAGGAAGGGTAACATTAGCCGATGGAGCAGCAGCGGTAGAAGTTGAAATAGTCGTAGATGATGACGAATTGGAAGAAATTAATGATGATAACGATGATGTACTGATAATTGAATTTTGACCAATAAGAGTACCACCGCCACTATTACTAATAACACAATTGTTTGCTGGACTAGACGAAGATAATGTTGGTGTGGAAACGGCAATGAAACCACTGGTAGAAGAGGTGGAAGATGGAGATGACAAAGATGATAGAGATAATGATGATGAAGACGACGAAGAACCGACTACAGTTGAATTTGAAATTAATGGAGTTAAAGGTGTACCAGTGGGTAAAATTGAATTGGGTGATGGTGAAGTTGTTGCCAGGGATGAGGGAGTTGGAGGAAGAGTAATTTGAACCAGTGATCCAGAGCCATTTGATGAGAGTGAGGAGGTTGAATGTTTACTAAAGTGGGAGAAAGACGGGATTTGGGCCATAAGAGTGGGAGGAGATGATGAGGTAAGAGACGAAGAGGTCAAAGAAGATGAGGCAAGAGAAGATGAAGAAGATGAAGAAGAGAGAGAAGATGATTGTAATGGAATAGGTGTATTCATTTGTTCGGTAAGTGGATTTGGTCGAAGTTCCAATGAAGAGCTACTTTCTTCTGGAGTTAACCTGATTGAGCTATTGTTGTGAAGTGTATTTAATACGCTGAAAGTGGTCACTGTGCTGGTCGACGCTGATCGTGACTCACTATTGATTAAATCAACGTCATCGTCAACATCATCATCCATTCCATTAATCAAACCTGGATCATTATCAACGGCTCCCTCTTCAACGATCATCTGTTCAACGGATTCATCTTCGTCAAATTTTTCCTCTTTCACAAGGGTTAGATCAAATCCGTTGACCATCGAGGATGAAGAGACTGTTGTTGTGGTCAATACTCCGCCGACAGAGGTTAATAGGGATGTTGAACCATTGATTGAAGATGATAATCTGGATGATAACGATGGACAAGATTGTGTAATTGTCGAGGATAAAGGTGAAGATGAGGAATGTTTCAAATCGAGGATTAAGGTTAAAGGAGTTGTATCTGGTTCAATGGGAGTAATGACCACTTCTCGAATTGCGTTGTGTTGGTCATCGGCCAGTGTAGAGGCAAAAAGATCCTCGGTGGGCAGTTCTTCGTGAGTTTCAGATAGTCGGGATGCTCGTCCATTATTAGAAGCATCATCATCACTGATTAAATGGATTTCTCTGTGAGAGTCAATTAGAAAAGGTGATTCACAGTATCGGTCTAAACTCATGGTTAATCCATGATTATCATGAGATTTTTTAATTATCTCCAGACGACTAGTTGATAAGTTGACATCTTTTTTAACTGCGGAAACAGCTGATGTCGATTCTTCAGTTAAACTAAGAAAATCAGTTGGACTGATTAAGATTCGTTGATGATGATGATGATGATGATGATTAATGTGATGATTGGATGTAACAGAATGTGAATTATTAAGATGGGAATGAAGTGAGTGATGAGTTAATGAAAGGTTTGACTTAACAGAATCTAAATCATCAACTGGACAGGAAATGAAACAATCAGTTAAATGAGAGGATGAGGTTAAATTTTTACTGCTAATCGATGACATTGATTCCAATTTAAACCCCAGGGTATTTGATGAACCTGAAGAGGTTGTGATTGTGTTTGTTGTAAGGGAATTGTAACCTCCCTTCTCTCCACCACCAATTTCAAGTGGTTCCAATTTAATTGCTGATGGATGTAAGATTTGATTCGAATCATTCCTGTAATTTGATGATAAAGATGAGATAGATGAAGATAATGAAGATGATACCAGGGTGGAAACCGCAGGACTTGATGTGATCGTTGAACAATTTGACAAACCAGTTGAATTATAAGAGACACTAATATATTGCACACTTAATTTACCATTTGATTGATTAACAACACTATTATTGTGATGATTGTTATTATTATTACTATTATTTGTATTATTATTATTACTATTATTACTATTGATATTGTTGATGCTGCTTTGACCAATATTGTTATTAGTATTACCTGAGGTAATATTATTATTATTATCGGTACAAAAGTCACTTGAAAGGTTAAGGTGAGAATTACGTCGAAATGATTGTTGATTATTTGACGAAATAAAACCAAGTTGATTGATTAATGATTGATGATGTTGATGATTGACTTGTTGACAGGATGAATCTTCCAATTTAATTCGTACACAATGGTCAGATAATGTGGTCGAAGAAGAAGAAGATGATAATGATGGGATTGGTTTAATTTTACCATTGATAACAATAACCTCATTCTCAACTAAACTAGAACTTGAACTTAAACAACTTTCATCTTCATCTAAATTGTTCATTGTCGTCAAAATGAATCAACGGTTGAGATAATTTTCCCAAATTTTGAGTTTCTCTGCACCTTATCCGTGTTGTATTCGTCTCGTTTACTGGATTTAGAATCAAATTGTTCAATTTTGAATTCCACCGAATTGTGTTGTTTATGATGAAGAAGATGAAGATGATGATGATGGTCAAAAACAGATGACCCTTTAATGAATGATGATGATAGTAGGAATGTTGAATCAGGTAAATATGAATATTCTTGAGTTTCTATTATCTTGGTAGGAACAACAGCAACAACTGGAATCAAGTAATTAACCATCAGGATTCTGGTATTTCAGTCATTAAGATTAATTAAAAGGTTCCAGGGTATCACCAAGGTCTTTAGTTGATCATCTGTAATTTTAGATAATAACAAGAAGTGTTGACGATTACCAAAAATTGCAAGTTCCAAATAGAAAATAGTTGTGGGAATAGAACCTTAAATTAAATAGAAACAACGGTCAAAGGGTAAGGTCGAATAAGAAAATGTAAAGATGATCAAGATGATTGAATAGTGACTCAATTAAGAGTCAAATTCTACCAGTGGAAATGAAAGCAGAATGGAAAAAAAATCGATGAACCGGAATAAACACAAGCGAAAGAGAAAGAAAAAAAGAAAGAGAGAAATATAGTCAGAGGGTATCAAAAGATCAAACAAAGAGAAAGAGAAAAAGACAGAGTATGTAAAGGGGAGAGAAAGAGAATTAGAGAAAATAGAAAAGAATATTAGAGAAATAAATTAAAAAACCATCTTAGATTGGAAGAATTACTAATCACAGAGAATTTAGAATTAATCACAAACATTGGAAAAAAAATTAAATTGTTGATCAATGGAGAAAACAAACATTTCAATTAAGGAGAATTTGGATTAAAAAAAAATAAGAAGTTAAAACAATAGATTATCACCAATCATCACAGAGATTTAACAACAAGATGAGTGAGAAAGAAATCAAGACAAAGGATAAATTAACTGTAGAAAATTAAATCACTAGAAATGGAATTTTGATGATCTTGGTTGATTAGAAAAATAGAGAAATAAAAACAAAGAGAAGAACAATAAAAAAAAAGATACATTAAAATGAGAGAGAAAGAGAAAAGAAAGGTCAAGAGTAAAAGAGAATAGAAAATAGAAAATAAAAAGAAAGAGAAAATCGAAACTGAAGAAAGAAAAGAAAGAGAAGAGAGAAAAAGGTTGACTGGGAATGGAGTTTAACATTGAAATGGTTCCTGGGATGGAGATTATTTTTAGATAGTGATTGTTAATTCTAATTGTGTTGTTATATTTACAATTGGAATTGAGTTGGAAAAGGTGATTAAGTGGAAAGTAAACAATTAAAGACTTACCTTATTTAGAACAATTAAATTGAACTTTGATAATTGTCGCTGATGTGAAACAAAAGGAAACCCAAAAATGGTTTTTATTACTTAGATATATTTAAGTTTAAATCTCTTACCAAAGATATAGTATATAAATATCAACACTTTAACCTAAAAGAAAGAGAGAGAACCAGAAAGATGAAGACAGACAGAGAGAGAGAGAGAGAGAGAGAGAGATGATGTAAATAGACAGAGAGTAATGAGAATCACCACCGCTCTTGAACCAGAAACAAGAGTAAAGGGAATCATTTCTATTAGAACTTATTTTATTATCGATTTTCTCTTCTTCCTCCATCCCAGTCTTTCTTTTTCTCTTTCTTTTTCATCCCTCCCTCTCTTTCTCTTTCTCATCATCATTTTCCTCTTCAATGGGACCTTGTATTCTCCATCATTGTAGCTCTTTCTCTTTCTCTCTCTTTCTCTCTGTTATTTTCTCTTTCTTTTCGATTGTTATGATGAATTGTCGAATAAAAAATGATCTTCTCTTTCTTTTTTTCTTTAGGTTACCATTTCCATCGCCATCATCATTGTGCTTCTTTTCTCTATGTAAATTGATTAATTGAGTTAATTTAATGTTCGGGATGTTTAAGATAATTGATTGGTAACTTTTTCCATTGATGAAACTTTGATTTCGATATAACAATTAATTCCTCCTTTTATTTTATTGTGGAAAAAAACAAATATCAGATAATTTATATATTTTTTTTCTTTCAGTTTATATAATTTGTTATTAACCAATTTCGTTTGATTTTGTAATAAAAAGATTTAATAATTTCACTAAATAATAATAAAAATTGATTCAATTATTTGCAATTGTTTGGACAACTCAATGTTTGTCATGAAATTTGTTTTTCTTTCTTGTTGATTGTAGTTGATGATGTTTAATTGATTGTGAATCAATCTTTTTGTTGTAGTTGTGTGTGTGTGTCAAAATAAATTTACACAAATTTACATTATACAGTTTGTTTTTCCCTTGATTGTTAAAGTTGATTACGATTAATTCAACTTGGTTTTGTTTCTCTCCAACTCGACATTATTAATTGTAGTTCATAAACCAAGTAATTCGAGGATTATGTAGATTGAGAAAATAACAATCGCGAAACAAATCATTGATCCAGTAAGTCCAATCGTCTTTTGCCTGGGAATACTGTGGATAACTAGGTGACGGTCAACAGATATACTGACCAGTGAGCTGTCATTATTACCTGTTAACAGTTGAGTCTCTGGGCAAGTTTTAAGAAACTCTAATCCGGTTACAAAGATATTATGAGCACGTGGATAACTGTACAATTTTTGCAAACTAAATGCGATGTAAATCTCAACGGTTCCTTCTTGTGTTCCAATTCCTATGAATCTGCCATCATCTGAAATCGCCATTGATGAAACCATAATTGCTCCGAGAGATGTTAACCTTTCAACTGTATATTTATTTGTATCCCATTTACAAAGATAAGCTGGATAAGGTGGCTTGTGACGTGAGGCTGGATTGTGGACAGTAAATAATTTATATGTTATCGGATTAGAATCAACCACCAAACCATAACGACAACTTCTCATAACATATTTAACTAATTGAGTTGAATTTTTAATCACAGGAATTTCTGTTACAAGTTCACATTGTCTTTTCCCAGTATTGGCATCCCAAATGTAACCATGTCCATCTCTTGAGACACTTGCAATCACATTACCCAATGGATGAATATCTAGATCATCAATTTCATCTTTATGTGCAGGAATATCAACTAATTTGGTTACATTTGGATATCTCCAGATTCTTATGTGACCATCAGCTCCACCAGCAACCAGGGCACTTAAATTATTGTTATAACGTATCACTTTGACAAAAGCATCTTCCTCGAGAGATGAAAAGTCTGTCTTGAAAGCTTCTAATTTAGTAAATTCAAATGTATATCCTAATTCACTTTCAGGAACCACTTCAGAATTAGTTCTACTTCTTCTACCAACAGCAGCGGCAACATTTCCACCATCATTATTTTCCCCAGCAACACCAACCGCAGCGGCAGCGGCTCGTCGACGAACAGCATTACCAACATCATTATTGATTAAATTATTGTTAGGCCTAATACCTCCTCCAGCATTACCATTAATATGAACAGTCTCCTGGCGAGGTTTGGATATTAATCTCATTCGCCAAAGTAAACATTCACCATTAATACCACCTCCAGCCAAGATTAGATGTCTATCATTTTGGAAAACAGTTCCACTCATAATTGCTCTGGAATCTGTAAGAAAACGTTTAACCAATCGAGCTGAACAAGTAGAAGACGATAAACCATCACTATTAACATTATGAGAAGGTGCAAGTAACTCATATATTTCAACTGAATTTTTAACACCGGTATTTGCTTGACCACCACCACCAGCAACCAATATGTGCCTCTCATTGATCACCTTAACCATATACAAGGGAATGTCAACCCTTGCAAGTAACTTAGAGTTTCTCATTTCACTTATTGTTAAGTTACATTGACACCAAATTGGACGGTACACATTAATAAAGAAAATAAAACCAAACTAAATCACAATCAACAATTAAAACACTCGCAGTTAATCAATTAGAAAACAAGAAATTCCATTCACATCAACACGTCACTCAAAATGTTCTTGTTGATCATCACTTACAATTCGATTATTAGTCAACGGTCCCTTTTCTTTTTTTTTTCTTTGGCGGGACAATTGAGATTCTTTTGCTTTTCTTCATTTTTGTCAACAATTAAGATTTTTGCTGTTGATTGTGAGATAATTAAAGTGAATTGTTTTATTGTTTTATTTGTTTTCGTGTAAATACTGTTCACAATTTTGATGGAAAATTATTGCCATAGATTAAGTTGTTTGTTTACTTGGAGTAGAAATTTGTAAAATGTTATTGTTGTCTTTTGATTCTTGATTTTTCTTGATTTTAAATTGATTAGGTGATTGGTAATTGTTGGCATTGGTTAAATTAATTATCATGAGCGTAAATTGGTGCTCGAGGTTTGCCAAGTTTAACTGATCCATTGGTCTCCTCTGAAATTGCTTTCTTCACATTATGGATAAAATTACCTAAATTGTAAAGTGTAAACAAAAGGTTAATAATCAAATGGGGAAAAAGTGATTATCTTATTTATCTTATTTATCGTTGGTGATTTACCTCCAGTGAACATTGTCTTTATTTCATTGATACAATCTTGTTGTTCAGCAGCAGCTTTTAAATCAGTTGGTAGATTATTCAAAATCGATTCCCACTTGGCAACAGTATCACGGAAGTTAAATAAAGCACAGATTCCAGCGGTGATTCCCATGGAAGCCATTGGTAGAAGACACTGTTTAAATTGTTCATAGACAGTTGATTATAATTACGACGATAAATGATATGGTAAAGAAAAACAATCCATTAAATCTTAATGTTACCTCTTCATATCCAGTGAATATCTTGAACCGAGAACGTAAACCAACACCAACGGAACTTATTGCCGCCATATCAGTAGAAGTGTATTTCATTCCAGCTAAATTTGGAACACGAATTTTAGCTTCTTCTAAAAATGCTCGAATATCGACTATTGGAGGATAAAAGAGAAGAAAAGAAAAAGAAATTGGAATTGGAATCCATTTGGTTGCTTAGATGAAGAAACTTACGTTTTACATTGGTCATTTCTGGAAAATGATAATAAAGCAATGGGAGACTTGGAGCTGCTTTATAAATTGATTGTAAATATCTAATTAAACAATCATTAGTTTCTGGCCGATGATAGAAAGGTGGGAGAACCGCTAAAGCGTCAACATTCATGATTGAATAATAATGAGCTTGTTCGAGTGTCTCTGAGGCGACTGTTGATGAAATACAAGCGATGACCAACATATCGGGTTTTTTGGTTCGTATCGATTGAAACCAGGCCTGGACAACGGCCATTCGTTCAGCTCCACTTAGAGATAAACCTTCACCAGTCGTACCATTAATGTAAACACCACCAACGCCGATATTGATTAGATGATCAGTATAAGCATTGAACATGTCGTGGTTAACAGTTCTAATGAAAGATAATCGACAATTAATGGGACATAATTAACAATCTACGATCAACTTACCCATCACTATTCATTGGAACAGCAACCGCAGCAATTGCTCCTTTAAAGTTAATCAACTTATTGTATCTCGCCAACAATTTACCGGACATTTTGTGTTTCTCCACGATCTCCAAAGCCTTTTCTCTATCAATTGAATCGACATCCATTTTCTGTATTGATTGTTGATCAAAATCGAAAAACACTAATCACAATTAGAGAATGTAAACCAAATTGAATACTGATGATTTTACTCTAATAATGAGATGAGTCCAGATGAGAAACTATTTAAGTTATTAGGTTATCATAATCATTGGAAAAACAAAATGATAACTGATAATTGTTATGACAATTTCGTGTTTATATCTAATCACTTATGGAAAGTGTGACATTAAATTTTGCGCAGTTTAATTTACCATCAAATTTGATTAACCAAACCAAAAGATGTCACCATTTACCTTTAATCAATTTTTCATTCAACTCTTTTCCACAAGTGATTAGCTAATTGTGGCCCATTAACTTTGTCTCTACCCCCAATTGGTTAAATGTTTTGTTTTGTCTCTCAAATAATCAAAATTATCTCACTGGGATATCTCTCAACAATCAACAAGAATCAATTTGAAATAACCATTACAAACAATTACATGCAAGTTGAATTGCAACAATTAACTAGATAACATTAATTGTGACAACTCGCAACTTGGAACAATTAAATCAATCGTAGAGTTAATTGTTCGCCACCATTTAAATTTCGCTCTTACGATCAAAAGTGTTTCCAAAAATGAAAATTTCGGTTGCGTATTTGTTGTTGTTTACATTTGGATCTGTGACTCAGATGTTTGGGAAGCTTCATCTTCATCATCATCTTTTATCATCTTGGTTAACGCCTCGAGTTTTCTGCTTCTTCAGGTCATGAAGCTTAAAGAGAAGAAAAATCTAAATTGTTATTCTCTTCTAATCTTCTAAATTTCATTCTCCATGTGAATCAATCTAATCAAGAAAATGATCTGTGTTATTTTCTCTTCATCACAATCAACATCATTCTGTTGATATTTTCTATTCTCTTTCTTCACTAGTCTTTTCTTTCTTTCTCTTTCTCTCTCTGTCTAAATTCTAACAAATACAAAAGGCCTTCAGTGATTTACTGTTATTTTCTATCATCAAACGTATATTCTCTGTCTATTGTTAATCATCATCTATATAACTCATCATTTTCCCCTCATCATCCAACATCAAAATCTTTCCGATATTATTGTTAATCCAAACCGTTAATTCTTATGCCGGTAGAGTTAAATTGTTATTTTTTTCTCTCTTCTTTCTCTTGTGTAAATTTTTTTTTCTTCTAATTTTAGTTTTGTTGTTTCTCTATTCTCAGGTTTCTGTGATGGATAAAAAACCCACCGAGGATAAAGAAGTTCTTAAAAATTGTGAAGAAGAAGATGAAGAGGCCGAACATTGTGACCATGAGCCTGGTCTTGAATTTGATGATTCAGATCTTTTACACACCAAACCTCAAGGTAATTGATTATCTAACTCTGGTTTCCACCTTCAAGTGACACAATTAACGATCATTTGACAATTGTATCTCTTATCACCCACATTCCCATTTCTTTGAGATGATTTTCTTATTCTATTATTTAATCATAATTTATGAATCATATTCATTTCTCTTTCTCTTTGCTCCATAAAGATTTAAATGAAATTGCTGATACTCTGGAAAATGACACAGTTGATTATCAATTCATGATGCTGGATGGAAAATCAAATCCAATTCTTTACCTTGAATCACCGGATGAACTAATGGAAGACAATTTTGAAGAGGCTTTTAGAGATGCTTTACTTTCCGATGATATTTCCGATCTTGACAAAGAAATTGGACCTGGTGAAGATTTCAGTGATATCGCCAAACATGGGATCGTTGAAGTGGTTGGCGATGATGTTTATGGCCGAAAGGTGATAACCATTTACGCCTGTCGATTACCATCAAATAAAAGTCTGGATTTTAATCACTTGTTAAAATATCTGATGTACACATTAGATCAATACGTTGAAAATGATTATACTCTTGTTTATTTCCATTATGGTTTAAATAGCACCAACAAGCCGCCATTATCTTGGCTTTGGCAAGCCTACAAAGCCGTAGATAGGAAATATAAGAAAAATCTAAAATCTCTTAATCTAGTTCATCCCACAAATTTTATTCGTATCGTTTGGAAAATATTTAAACCAGCAATTAGGTGAGAATCATTTTTTCCATCATCTTGATCATCAACCATTTTCACTCGATTCCATTTCAAGTGAAATGTTAGACTGATTCATCTTCATCATTAATCCGTAACTTATACTAACCATTATATCCTACGCTTTTATTTTGATTTTTTTTCTTCTTCTTTTATTCTTATTTACAATTTTAGTGTTAAATTTGGACAAAAAGTTAGATATGTCAATTACCTTGAAGAACTTGAACCTCATCTTCATCTCGAACAACTTCTTATACCTAAAGAAGTGAAAGAACATGATAAAAGATTAGTCGAAGCGGCGAAGAAAAAATCTTGGTTTAATGGACCTTCATCAAGATCATTCCAGAATTTAACTTCATCAACTCTTTTGGAAAGTCAACAATTTAGAGTCTCATTAAAGTACATCAAAGAGCATAATAATGGTGACATAATTCCCCGAGTGGTTCATAGTTGTATATCTTATCTTAATAATGAGACCGCTCTACAAACGGAAGGTATTTTTCGTCGATCTCCAAACGTAAAACTGGTCAGTGATGTTCAGACATTATTCAATCAGGGAAAAGAAGTTAATTTCGACGATTATGGTGAATCAAGTGTTCACGTTGCTGCTGTTATACTCAAATCATTTCTCCGAGAATTGGAAGAACCTTTGCTCACATTTGATCTTTACGACGATATCATCGATTTCCAGCAAATATCCTCAGGCGGTCATTTACAAATTGAGAAATTGGCTGTTGCTAAATCGCTCATATTACAACGACTTCCTGAAGACAATTACAAGGTACTAGATGTTTAATTTACTTTTGATCTGAAACGTGACAACAATCAATCAACTTGTTAATCGAATCTAATTTTTGGTTGTAATTTGTTTTCAGCTTCTCAAATTTTTGGTTGAATTTCTGGTCAAAGTGATGGACCGAAGTAATTTGAATAAAATGACCGCTTCAAATTTGGCAATCGTTTTTGGACCTAATCTACTTTGGTCGATTAACAAACAAGCTTCATTAACATCGATCACCAATATTAATCATTTCACTGAATTTCTACTGAAACATCATGATGTGATTTTTGTTAGATAAGAAAACAAATTGATCGCCATTGATTAATTTAAATCAACCAAGTTGACAGAAGAAACTGACAAATGAAACAAAAACGTACAGAATTAAATTCAATCAATTGCGATTATTTTTGCTTTGTAATAATTCACAATTTAATCCATTTGATTTAGATTATAATACATATTGTTTTTTTTTGTAATTTCTTTTGTAGATTAAGTCATTTTACTTTTGTTTGTTTTGTTTAATATTATAAATGAGATTATCTCAAAGAGTTTAAAATGGAATTAATTGATTTTAATCATAATTATAATGATCTTTAGATTAGGATGTGGAATAGATTTGACTTGGATAAAAGGATTTTCTCTATTAACCACATTTACCATATAAATATTTTATTTTCTCAAAAACTGATGTCGATTCTTATTGTTTTTGCTGTTGTTGTTGTTGTTGATTCCAAGCATATATATTATTGTTGGTGAATATATATAATATATCATTTGATTAATTACTAAATATTTTCTATTTCTTTAGATTGATTACAAAGTTTGTACCTAGAAATCGTCTTCTTGGTCACTTATTACCTCTTCTTTAACTTTACTAAAATCTTCTTTCGGAAATTTAGTTTGAATGGCAAGAGGTAATGATGATGATGGATCTTGATGAAATTTGCGTTTCTTTTCCTTTCGTCGATTGTTAAACCAATTAGTAATGTTTAGAATTGTCATTATTTCATTTTCTTTAAGTGGTCGCTCTAAAAATTGAAAGAGAAAGAGAGAGAAAACAAAAGTAAACATTAGAATCATATAGGAAAGATATAGAATGAGAGAGATAAAATAAAAACAATTATCTTACTTTTGTAATTTTCTAAAGCTTGATTACATTTACCAACAAGAATTTCTTTTTCATCGGTTTCAGGGTAAGCGTTATTGAAAAACGCGTCGTTTAGTATGTCATGGTGAATCGCTCTGAAAACATATCGATCTCTAGTCCTTTTCTCAGAACTACTTGTGTGATTATTATTTTGAAGGTGATTATTTGTTGGGGTTGTTATTGGATTGGTTGTTGCTATCGCTGTTGTAGCAATGGTTGTGGAATCATTTTGATTAGTTGTTACATTTTGAAAATAACGAGGTGTGTAATTAGGTTCTTTGGGAAGGCCAACCCATTGATCATCATCTGTGTCAGGAGGTGTATCAAATGGCGCTGGTCCATTGTTCGTCTCATTGTCTGGACTTATTGCTGTGGGATAACCTTGTGAAGATGGAGGCGACTCATATTCAACCATTGCTGATTCAGATCGAGGCTGAGAACTGGGGGGTGTTAGATCATGGGATAAAGGGTGAATATCAGAAGCAAGGGTATCATATAAATCATCAACATTGTCCATATCAATACCATATTTGGCTAATTTTAACACCAATTTAACTTGTTCCTTGGTTACTGAAGAATGGACCAGTTTATTCATAAGCCTAATGGCTTCAAGTTCATATTTTGGAGACATTATAATTTATTTTCACCAAAACAAACCTTAAGATGAGCAACAACCTGATGACTAAATTATTATTAATTGTTGAGAAATTAGAAATTAACCATAGATAGACAGAGAAAAATTAACAAACAAAAGACTTTCACTAAATTGCATCAACGCTTTTACTTCCCAATTCGAATGTGGTGCCACCTGCTGATCGAAAGCGAAAACAATGAAGCGCGAGATTCAAACATTCGAATTTCACTGATTCTCAAAGTGATTGGATGGATTTCTTGAAATAACCTCTGTTTCCGTATCCTTTTTATTCCTCTTCCTTTTGCTGACTTTGTCTTTGTTCTCTCTCTTTAAATTTAAATCAATGTTCAATCAATCAATCAACTTGTTGATCAACAATCAGTAAATGTTTTCGAAAAAAAATCCATCATTTATGGAAATATTGAAGTTCGACTGTTTGTTTTTCGCGCATTTTCTTTTATTCTTTTCGTTAACAATCAGATGTCACCAATTTCCTGCATTTGAATCGATGGAAAACTTTTAATTGTTCCAAGTTGAAACTTTCAACTTTTTGTTGATTTTTCGATTCATTTTTCTTCTTTTTTTTTCGTCGATTTCAGTTGAGTTTAATTAATGAGACATTGAAAGTGGATAGAAATAAATTACAAGAAAGTATCCGTCGGATTAGAAGTTTGGTTTTAGGTCAACCTCCCGAAAGTTTATCTTCGGGTGAAGATAATCCAATGAGAGTAAAAGTGAATACGAATTGTGCCAAGTAAAAGATGAACAAGGTCTGAACTTTGAACGATAAACTTTGAATGGAAATCTCATTTTCCAGAAATTCTTGAAATGATGAATTGTATTTATCATATTTGAACATCTAACAAAAAGAAAAGGTAAATTTTTCTTAATTAATTGGGGAAAAACTTAATCAGCAATCACAATTAAACAAGGTCAGGTTAAAGTGATTGATTGTTTATGTATGTAAATTGTTTACAATTAAAGCACCAATGTGATTTCATTTGATTTGATTGTATTGTCAGAAATTACAATTTAAAAGTGAAACAATTGATAATATTTATGAAAATTGATCCAAACAACCAAATAAACAAATTGAAATGAATGTACAATTGTAACAATTTAAATTGATACGTAAATTATGATGGTTAAAATATTGAATTAAGAAACAAAATTGTAACAGTTAAGTTAATCATTAATTATTAATCATTATTAATCATTAAGAAAATCAGTTTAGCCTGATAACCTTGAGGACATTGATGATTATCATCAAATCAACTGCAAGCGATAATTATTTTTTCTTTCTCAAATCAAAATTAACTAATTGCTTTCCTTAATTAAGCTACATCTTAATTGTGAGTGGAGGTGACAGTTAAATCAGTATCATGATTACTGATGAGTGGGTGGTGGAGATGAAGACGATTATAAAAGTGCAAAAAAAGATGAGGATGTGATTAAGTTTATATATAAAGACAATTAGTTTGTAACTGTAACTGTAAGTGTAACTTTCATTTTCATTTTAATTGTTGACAGTAATAAGTTGCTGTTGTGATTGTGCTTTCAATCAATTGAATTGAGAAAACAAAAATGATTCACTTTTACATTAGAACAATTATCTTGACCATTGTGATCCAAATTATCTCAACTGGGCCAACAATTACTCCAACAATTAAACAACAACAACAACAATCATGTAACATGATTAAAGCGGATAAATGTGCTTCCGATGTTTTTGTTTTCGGCCATTCAAACATCACTTTACCTGAAAATCTACAACAAGTTGAAACTCATTGCAAGTAAGTTAATTACATAAGAAATATTGAAATTCAATTTACTTAATCAATGTTAACAATTAACTGTTCGTGTGCGCTTCTTGGTTAGGTCAAGATTTCAAGCCTTACGATGTGTCCAAAGTTATATTCGTGACTGCCTAACATTGTTTCCCAAACAAGTCGTCTCATTGTTAATCAAAGGAGCAGCAAATAATGCTAAGCAACAGTGTAAAATTGATCGTCAAGGTGAGTTAATTAGTTAACTAATTTAGTTGTAATCATCTGGTGTCCAATGATTATTGGTTTTTCTTTCTTTCTTCAGAATTTGTTGAACGGTCTAAATGTTATCGTAAAAATCGTGAAGGGTTAGGCCAATGTATGAAAAAGTTAATCAATGAATTGTCTCAAGCAGAGAAACAATCAGACAAAGTACCGTTAACTTGTTGGTAAGTGTTTATTGCTAATTGTTAATTTCACTGTAGCTTTTCATTGATTCAATTTGTTTTTCTTGTTTTCTCTTTCAAAGTGTCTTAAAATCTTATCGTGATTGTAGTATTAAAATTTTACAATCAGATTCTGAACAATGTAAACCTGATGATACGAAATATTTTATGAAAATGGTTGAAGGAAATGCTGCCGATGTTTTCGAGTTGGTTTGTCGTAATAATCGGAAAATTGAACGACCTAAAGATGCTAAAGGTGATACAATTTGTCTACCTCAGGAAAGACAAGCAAAATCAATCGATAATGAAAAAGGATCATTATCATTATTACCTTCGTATATTAAAATTTTCACTGAATAACTTTTTCCAATAATCAGTTAAATTTGCGATTCCAAGTCAACTTGATGTAAATATTTTTGTACTTTCTCTGATAAGATTAAATTAAGATCTCAAATTTTGTTCTCTCTGTCTATTTGTGTCTTTAGATTTTCCTTTGATTTAATTGTAAATTTGAAAATCGTAAAGAAATTGATTGAATTAACCAATTCGAGGAAATTTTCAGAGAAAAGACAAGTACGCCATCTGTTGGGCGAAAAGTTAAAATCACGAACTTTAAGTGAGCCGCGAAAATTTGAAATTCACTTTTTGTTTTCGTTTTTTTTGCTCAATCTTTCAATAGAAACAAACAGAACTTTGAAATTAATTATTAAAACTGAAACAAAAGTTTATCGATGATTATATCAATTTCAAGATGAACCAGTTCTGTTTTTCTTAATTTGAATACAACAAAAGCTGATTAGAATAATTTAATAATGAGTGGAACCTTAAAGTTAATTGTAATTTATTTATCAACCAGAATCTCGAGAAAACAAAACAGTTAACTTCTTGATTAACTAAATAACCGTAAAGTTAGTTTGATAATAAGATGATGATCATTAATATTTTAAATCATTTGAATAATTATCATGGTATCAAAGTTTTTTAGGGTGAAATTAACAGATTAACATTAAGAGTAAATCAGTTGTTTAATATTATAATGAAAGAAATGTAGTTTAATCATTATTATTAAATATTATGATAGCTAATTGTTGGGAGTTGATAATAGATGATAAAAAATTATTAAGACACGATTAAGGTGTTTAAATAAGGAAGATATTATTTTGGTTTCATCTTTGATGATAATGATTATTATTATTACTATTAAGTTATCCACATAATCTTAATAACAATGTAATTTTAACCATTCATTGAAGGGAAACCTTGATAGACCTCCATTGAAGGGCGTAGGTTGATGGTGAGGGGGAAATGTAAAAAAAAGTTTAATGAAGCCCCTGAAGATGATGAAGATGATGAGAAGGAAGAAGAATAAAAAAAATAATAATAGTCAAAATAAGAAACAGTTAAGACTTCGTCGTGTAAGAGGATACGCCTTGAGGCAAGAAGCCAGGCGAGAGAGAGAGAGAGATGATGAAAAAGATAAGGGGTGAAGTGAATATGAAAATATGAGGATGAGAAGCCTGAAAAGTTACTAGGATGATGATTAGGACTATTGAATTGGTGGTATTAGATGAGAGAGGTGATGATGAGAAAAAGATACAATTGAAACAAAATAAACTTTATCTTCATCTTACTTTGAATATTATTTAATAGCTTCCGGGCATCACCTGTAAGACGATAATAATGAAATGTTGTAAGAAAGTAAACTGATTTTAGATGATGAAATTTGCTTAAATCTTCATTATTGTTTTTAGTGAATGAGGTGCAAGTGATGAGGAAGATAAGTGTAATAATGATAATATGGATAATGATGATGATGATGAGCATGATAATGATCATATGAAAGCAAATGATGTGAATGAATTTTGCTGATGTTAAATAATAACAATTTTGTTATAATACTTATCGATAATAACATGATATATATTATTGATAAGTTGACACAAAGGTTATTTGATTAAATGTGATGAGGAAGACAAATTATATCAAGTTGATTGAAGTTATCTAATAGTCATCATTATCATCATTAGAGATGTCAAGTTCAAAGGTGAAATCAGATTAATGATTATCCTGAATGTTGAACATGTTGAAAGAAAATCAATTTTTTTTCTTCTTCTTCTTGTCTTCCGTTAATAATGTTTCTTATTAGAAGCATTTTCTATGGATGAAAAGGAAGATGACGATGATGATGATGATGAGGGACACATGAGGATGTTGACATATTGATACAGATCCATGCATTATCTGTGAGATGATGAGGAGATGATTTTCTCATCTTCCTTCCCTTTGAATGATGAAAGAGCGAGAACACAGTCAGTCAGCAGAAAAGAAAAATAAATTTTGTAAGAGATGAGGATGGAGATAAGAATGGATGAGAAGTTAAAGAAGAGGATGATAAGGATAAAGATGATGATTCTTTATGTAATAATAATAACAGTAACTAAGAAAAGAAAATGAAATGGAAGAAGAGAAATAAAAAAAGAAATAGCAAATAGACTGAATTAGAATCACCAATCTCGAATCTTCATCTTTATGTCATTTGGATTTCGGTGTTAAGATAACATGCCAACATCATTTCGACTTCCTTCATGTCCATCTTTGAGAATCTATCTGTTGTTTACATGGTAAAAAGTTCAGTGAACTGAAATTATAACGATAAATTTTCAATTCGTATTCTTGATCCCATTGAATTCATTAAGGATTTTATGTCTACTAATGAATTAAAAGAATCCATTTATCTCCATAGACTAATCAGTCTCTGATCATCATTAACAGACAGTTATTATAATGATAATTCAATAGATTCTCTGAATAATCATCATGAACTATCATGGATTCACAGGAAATCATTAAAAAGACATTCAACTATTTTCTTTGCCCTTGCCGATTGATAATTTTATATTTTATTTTTGTATCGTTTTCCATAGTAACTGAATTCACAGGATTCTCGAGATTAACTCCCAGAATTTAATGGTTATTATGAATAAAAAAGAGAGGAGTTGATTGTTAACAATTAGATTACAATGATCGGAACAATTTAGAAACCAGGAAGTTTACCATTAAAGTGTATGGTCACACCCTCCACTGGATTAAATTAATCCTGATCACGTAGGATTATCATTAACATCATCATTAGTCAATTTGATTAGTATCATCATCATCAAATTGTAATCAATTGTTGCAATTATTACAAGGGCTTAACTAATTACTATTTAATTTAAGTTTCTCAACAGTTAACTAACTCTTCTGTTTAATTGTTTCAAGGGAAAAAAGTTTTCCAATCAACTGAATCAACTGATTGTTTTCAAGTTTTGTTTTTGTATAAAATTAGGTTAAAATTAATTATTGTTAACTGTTAATGGTGAAAATTTTTAATTGTTTTAATTGAATTATGATTGAATGATGATACAATTTGATTGCTAATGTTATTGGATATTGATGATGATCACTTTCCTGAAAAACTTTCATGGTTAATTGATTGTTACACTTTAATCATCATCGTCTTAATTATCATTGAGATATTGATTTAGTTAATTATTGTTGGAAAAATAAATGATAATCAGGTTGACATCAATTTAGATAATCAAGAGTTGCGTTAATTGTAAACAAATCACGTTTAATTATCAATATACTAAAACAAAAAAAGTTAATCACGATTCAATTGGCAGGAAATTAATTGTAACCAATACAATTTATATATTGAAACAATTAGTTAGTCACATTAATTTTGTAGTTAAATTATTTTCAAATGAGTTAACCTTATTGATTATTGTTACGGTTAATTGTTGCAAGGAAATTAACAAAATAATGAAAAAATGTCATCACAATTAATTTAGTTTGTTACTCGTTAAAATCAATTATCAATTACCTTTTAATTATAATTTAAAAACGTAGACAATTAATTAAATATCACAAATTTTGCAACCTGATCATCATCATTAAGGGTTAATCTAATTGCGTGTTGAAAGTAATTTAAAATTATCAGTCTAATCATGATTATGATACTGATGATTAACTTTGAACTTTTATTAAAAATGCCAACATATAATCAATTTTGCTAACAATTAACATCCTGAACATCATAATCATTAATTGTTCCCTTAATTGTATCAAGTAAATTTCATCAATGGACTATGGTTAGGAAAAGATAAATGAAAACAATTTGTTGTGTAAATTTAGAGACGTTTAATTGTAACGATTTAACTGACAATCTACGTGAGAGTAAATTGTTTAGTAAACTTTTAGTCGTAATTAACATGAAAACGAGACACAATTAACGGAACATGTTGGAAAATTAAAAATCGAATGATGAATTTAACAGTTAAATTAAATGATTAACTTGATTGTTGTTGTTAATCATTGTTAAGAAAAAGTTTCTGATTCAATTGAGCAACTTGACAATTAAAAATAAAACAAAACAATCATAATGATGAAAATATAAAGTTAATCACTATTGTGACTTTGAAAAACAATTTGATATAAATTAACTGTCTGAACTAAATTAATAGCAACAATCAGCAAATGATAATAACAATTAAACAATGATTATGATAATTAACATGTTAGTTGACTAATTATTAGGTGAAAAAGATGCAACCTTTTAATTAGCATCCTGATCATCATCATCATCATCATGATAATAACAATCAAAAACTTGTAAGGTTAATTGTTAACCCTGTTAATTGTCAAAGATTAACAATAAAACAAAATTAACTTGATCCAGGATCTGGATTAATGATAATTACATCAAGTTAATGTGTTGGTACTTACTGTTAACACTGATTAACAATTTGATTAACTGTTAATTCAAAGAGACAATTAATTTTAATCATCAAGAGAAACATGAAGATAATCATATTTATCATCATCATCTCACAGACCAACAACAAAGTCTATTAAACATGAAAATCATCATAATGATAATAATTAATTAGCCTGAGGGCTGAAAAAAGGTAAACAAACAACATTAAGGTTGATAGGAGGCATTGATGACGAAATCAAGATAATCTTAATCAACTTTAATCTTAATCATTAACATTTTGATGATGATGATTAAACAAAACAAACAGGGCGGTCATCATGTTCATCATCATGTTCATCATCATGATCAAAGTTAAATGAATCAAGGAATCTAAATGAACACAATCAACTCGCTACTTGAATTAACAGATAAACTAGAAAGTTAATTGTTGTTGATAACAATCAGCTAATTTCATTTTGTTTTTCTTTAACATGTTTTATAAAATTCTGTTAACCATGATTGCGATCAATTTAATTGAAAATCAACAATAATCAGCGCAGAAAATTAAATCACGTTTCATATCAACAAGAGGATGAAACAATTAACAACAATCATTAATGGTTGTTAATGATTAACCTTTCAATTTAACCACAAACAAATAATGATACAATATTCACCTTTTAAAATAACAATCAATCTAATCAAATTATTAATTATTGTCAATGGTTTTGTTAATGTTAACAATCAAGAAAACAAAGTTAATTCAGTTCTGGTTACAGTTAATTTGTATTTTCGTTTCATGATTAAAATGATGATTTAACCCAGAGGATCATGAATTATCATCATCCATTGACACGATTTTCAACCAGAATCTTTCATCATCCTGGTTATCATCTTAATCATAATAATCATCTAATCATAATCAAAAATGATCATGATAATCAACTAATTCCTTATTCATGTTTAGATGCTTCATTTTCATGGGTAAAAGATTTTGTTTATTTTCAATGTAATCAGTTAAATCAACTGGAAATTGATTATCTAAACAAATTGTTATTTATGATTATTGTTCAATTGTTAATTTTATAAATCATGATTAACTATCAATCTATTGATTTATTTACGTAATTCTTGGGTTAACAATCAATAATATCATATTGATAATCCAATGGTCACAATTTAAATTTTGCGAATTGGAAAAAGTCAAAGAAAAGTTTTTCCTAAAAGTTAATTTTCTGTATCAACAATTAACTGATTGTTGTGTTGAGATTTAAAGACTTACAGTATCACCAGTAAACAACAATTAACTCTAATCATTGAACTTGAACTTAGTGTAGATTTTATTAATTGTTGCAAATGATTAAGAAGAAAAAGAGAAATTTAAATTGCAGTTTATATTTAAATTCAACTTTTAATTTAGTTCCAATTTGGATTAGACTTTAATTGAGAAACTTTTCTTTTTCCCTCTCACTTGATTGTAATCAGATATTGTAATTTAATCATCGTGATTAACATAATTTAAAATTAGTGATTGGATAATCAGATTTAAGATTAAATGTTTGATAATCAAGTGATTTAATTATTTGCTAATCTATTTGATCGTAATCAAGGAAGAGGAAGTTAATTGTTTCTAATTTTTGGTCTACCTTTAAATTTTACTCATTTGTGAAAGTTAATTGTAAATTCAACTCTCACAATCAATTTTTGATTGCTTACTATTAAGTTCACCCACCTTTCAGCAATTGGAATTAAATTTAGTTACAATCAAATAATTAATAATTGATCATAATCAAAGGAAAAAAGAAATTGATTAATCATTTGTAGGAAAATATTAGTCTCATTTAAATGGATTAAGGTTTGGTTTTGGTTAAATTAGTTGATTAATTCACTTTTTTGGTCAATTTTTACAATTAACTAAATTAATTTATCATTAATAACATTATCATTTAACAATCTATTCAATTATTTAGATATAAATATAAAATCATTTATAAGGATTGGGCTAAAATAATAATCATCATCATCAAATGTTGATTAATTTTTACCCAACAATTAAAGGGTTAGGTTTCTAATTGTTAACCATTTGAACATGTTGTTGATTTAGTTAATTATAAAAGGTAGAAGAATCAAAAAACAGAAACTAACCAGTGTTAATTGTTGTTAGAATTGTGCAAAAGAATTAATTTTTCATCAAATAATTAGTAACTAATTAATAGCAATTTAGGTTAATAAAAAAGTTTCAACCTGAATTGTTTACTGATGAAAAGAAAAATATAAATAAAAATGATTAACACTGATTGTTGATACTTTTAAACTAATAAATATAAGAAATATTAACTGTTTTTTTCTTTCTTCAGGATTAAAGTTAATTGTTAAAATGAGAATAAAATTGATGAATGATTAATAATTTGATTGTGTTGGAAATCATGTTAATCTGTAATACACTTAATCCATTATTTTGACTCTTTTTCTTACCTTTGACAAGTTACAACTTCAGCTTTTCCATCATCTTAATCAGCATCTTCCCTGTTACATGATTTTCATCATATTAACTTTTCATTCTTGATTGTCTACGATTAAATTAAAATAATCATGATAATAACAATCAGCCAAGCCCATGAAATCAGAATTATCTGTTTGGGCGTTTTAAGGAAACGTTCAAATTTTGTATTCCCTTTTTTTCAATGTTGCTGTTGTTTTCTAATATCATTTACAATGTACTAACAGCTTAAGGCCTACTAATCATTATTAACATCACTGTATTTGGTTATCATTAGGATGATGATGATGATGATGATGAACTGTTGTGTTTATCCGATGTATTATTTTGATCCCTTGATGTTTACTCCTTAGATTTTCAATCCAAATGGGTGTTAACCTGGATTTAATGATAATCCTCATCTTGGTTGTCTGATTGTGATTAAAACAAAAAAAAATAAGGATAATATTAATGATGCTCATGATAATAAAGCCAATTATTTAAAAATTATTTGTTCATTTAATAGAAATATAAATAAATATAATGATACACTTACCTTCATGTTTACCTGATTAACCAATAACTAATTCATTATTCTTGATGATTGTTGATCATTTTTAATTTTTCTTCTACCTCGTTGGTTGTTTAAAGTTGATTGTGCAGTCCAAAAAATGGTTAAAAATATGGTTAATTAACTTGAAGATGGTTAATTGCCCTGGAACCATGTTTATATAATGTTTGTTATTGATGGAAGTCAGTGAAAACCTTGATTGGAAGAGGAAGGAAAAGTTAATTGTTGTTACATTTGAATGAACTCTCAGTCAATTGATGTAATAATAATGATGTAAGATTATGGTTAAAGATGATCATCATCATGATTAATTTGATTTAAAATTAAGCAACAAACCATAGTAACCAGAAAATACCTTCAATAAGATAATCATCTTTTTATAGATGAAAAAAGAAATGAGAGAGAGAGAATCGTTTCAAGTTCAAAGTTGAGATGAATTTCCGGTTGATTCCGTTAGTGATGATTATTAGATGATTGGGATTAGAGAGAGAGAGGAGATGATCAACTATACTCATTTAAATAATCTGGTAGCAATTAACGGTTAATAGAGAGGCCAGAAGACCGAAACAAATCAATGCGGAAGTATTAATGTCAAATCATGTTCGAAGATTATTCGAAAATCAGAGACAATTAGGTGAGTCCGGTCGCTTGTCCACTCGAATGGAAAAGGGGAAATCGTTAAAATAGATGCATAATGATGGCGATGACCATTAGGATGAAATCGGTATTGGATAAACTGTAACAATCTAATAGGAATTGGTGTAGGAAAAAAATAGAGGTTAGAAAGAAAAAGCAAAAATGCAAACCCGAAACAAATCAAATGAAAAACAAATAGCGAGAAGATAATTTGCTTAAACTTCCGGATAAACTCATCTGAGTACATCATCATCATCATAATTTTCATCATTCTCTCACCAGAATCGTCATCATGAAGAAGAAGTTGAGAAAAAATATACAAAGATGATGTAAAAAGAAGGTAAAAAAGTCAACAACATGCAAAGGAGAAGGAAAAAAAGAAGTGAGTAAGAAATTGATGAGATAGGGATAAAAAGGTGATAGAGTGAGTGAGAAGATGATGATGATAAGTCAATAGAAGGATGTAAAGCATGATGCGATTGAGGATGATGAAGGAATATATAAAAAATGATGATGAAGAAGATGTAACCACGCATTTGATTCAATTGTTTTGTTTCTTGATTCACATGTAAATTGGATGCAAACGAAATGGTTGAAAAGTACATAAAAATAGCAGAGATAAGCAGTTTGAGAAGACGGAAAGAAAGAAAGAGAGAGAGAGAGAGAGAGAGAGAGAGAGAGAGAGAGAGAGAGAGAGAGAGAGAGAGAGAGAGAGAATCCTTCCTGAATGCAAATAACACTTGAATGAGTTGATTCCTCCAGAAATTGATGATTGAAAGGTAGAGGTTCCCGATTTTTACATGAATAAACAAAGAAACATGAAAAATAAGAATAAAAATAATATTAGTATTTATAATAAAGCAAATGGGAGGGAAAAGACAAGAGAATAGAATAGAAAACCAATAAGATAAACTTACCTTTAGGCCTAACGCCAAGAAGACATGTGAATATGAAGAAATAGAAAGATTATTATTAGTAGAGAAAACTAACCAAAGATAAGTCGGAAAGAGAAGATGAAGATAAAGATGATGAAAAATATCATAAGATTTAGTGTTCGGTTTAACCATCAAAAGGTAATTTCTTTCTCTAATCTGATTATCTCCTTTTACTTGTTTTCTCCCATCGATTGTAACCAAACCGATTGCCAATCATCACCATCACCGCGAGATCATAATTAACTGTTTCCGAATAAATTACTTACTAGTTACAATCCACCCTGAAGGTTAACACTTCCCAAGAACATTAAATCACCAGAGGCAAAAAAAGAAACAATTAACTAATCAGAAAGAACGAGAATAAAAAGAAAGAGAAAACCGATCACATGTTTAACTCTTTCTTTTCTCTTTGTTCTGGTTAAGGGGTTAACCTTTAATCTCGTTTCTTTGAAATGGAAAATTTTTTCTTTTCTAAAAAAAGAGACAATTAAAACTCTAATTATCCTTAATTATCTTTTTAAATTTGTTTCTTCTAATTTTAGTTACCTGAGAAATTAATTAATTGCCAATCATCGTTTTCTGTCAACAAGCTTATTGATGAATATCATTTACCACAATTGGAAATTGAATTTGGTTAATTTAATGTTTACACTTAAAGGTTTGTATTTGTTTGTTTGCTTTTTATTTGGGTTGGGTTTTTGTTTTGGTTAAATTTGATTACTATTAATTTATTGATTGTGATTATTATTACAGTGTATTAAGTTTACTTGTGGGCTTAATTGTTTGGGCTATTGGGTTAGAAAGGGTTACATTTGGGATAATCATTTTTAGTGGGCAATTAATGGGGTTTGTGTTTGGGTTTACATGTTAAGGGTTATACATTTTGATTATCATCTTTATTGACATTGATAGTTGTTGTTAACAATTAATGAGTGTAATTCATTGTTGAATTTATTATTATTATCCAACATGATAAAATTAATATCTATTATCTACAACAATTATAATTATATTAAGCCTTTTGCCAAAGGCTTTACCCACCAAAAGGATTTACACCAGACCAATTATTTGAATGATGAATTGTGTTGCTTTTACTTTGCTATATTCACCGTTAGTTAACCTAATTAACCAACCAATTAATTAACATCAAGGTTAATTTTAAGGTACCAACCATATGGATACACATACAATTTAAAGGTAAGAATAAGAAAACAATTTAATTTCATTTTAAACCATTAACATACTTTAACTTTTTCTCAACAATTTCTTTTAATTTCTTATGTTTAGACCTACGAAATCCCAGGATTTTGGATTAGTCGATCGGCTTAATTGAGTTGGATTGGAACTGAATCAACGTTTTTTGAATTCTTTTTAAGGTCAAATTATATTGTTTACAAGTTCGCCATCAAATTTGGCAATCAATTCTCATTCGGTAATTTTACAATCACGTATTCATGTAATCACTTTAAATACTTCGGTGATTTTTAAGATGGACAAACATTTGGAAACTGTCCCATGTTCAGTTTGACTGGTGATCATTTGGTTAAATGTTGCAAAGAATTACAAACTTTGGATAATCGTCAAGAGAGATAATTAAATTGGCATCTAATCCAGAAAAGGATATGGACAATAGAGTACAAATTGAGACAATCAATTAAATCCTATGATCAATGGCCACAAATAATCAACTCTAATCGTATTTACATTTCTTTCTCCTATTGAAAATTAGATCCTGTTGTTCATTATCTTGATTGATGAGCTCAATATGTAACAATTAACCATTTGAGGCAACTAATTGTTTGGATGTTTAATCGAGATGATCAACAAAAAGTTGATCAATTGTAACAAAAAAAACAAGGTAACAACTAATTGAATTCGAATTTGTTTTTGTTCGGTCTCTTCATCGAGTTCTAACTTCGATTTCATTCTCAAGATCAGAATCAGAATGTGAGAGAATGATTGAAATTGGGAATTGATCATCTTCTCAATTGGAAGATAACTTTTTGCACTTTTTAAGTTATTTTTTCGTTTTTTAAACAATTATGTCAATCACCTGATTGTTGTTAGTTGATTGTTGTTGTAATTTGATTTATACCCAAAAATAAATAGTTAGAAAAACTTTATTGTAATCAAAAGTTTTTCTAAATTGTTGTGCCTACAAATTACAATATAATCATCATGATGATAATTGTAATGATAATAATAATCAAATCCAATTGGTGATTTTTTTTTTAAAGATTCCCGTTAATCTTAAACAGATTGACCTGAAACTTTTTCCTATTATTTAACTGGAACTAAATTAAAAATGATTACCAAAACCAGAAATAGATGATTGTTAACAATTAAAGTTAATTAAACTCAATTGTAATCATAAACAACCACCATTTACTTTTAATTGTTAGTTAATTGTTATTGTTTGATGGTTTGGGTTTGCAAATATATGATCAAGTTTTAAAAAATGAAACAATTTGTTTTGTTGATTAAATTGTTCAGTTTAAATTGTCAATCATTACTATCAATCTACACACACACACATACAATCAGTCACAATTTAAATTAATTGTGATTATTCATCATTATTTATTAATACAACAATCAGTCTGACAATTTATTGATTGTTGACAACGAAAAATTGAATTTCATTGATGAACCAAAATAGTAACAATTAATTGCAAGAAAACAATTTATTTTGACAATCACTTTTAATCTTAATTGTTCCCATTGTTATGATTAACTAATCAATCATTAATAACCAATTGTCCAGCTGATTGTAATCAATTTTAAATCAACAACAGCAACAACAATGGGTAAAGATAAACAAATTTAATCACTAATTGTGATTAACTGATTCACTTTAAATTGCTTGGGCGTTTATAATAATGATGAAATATATGTGATCTTAATTATTCATTTTGATTGGAAATAATTAACTTTTCCCAATCATCAATGTTAATTAAAATCGACGCAAGGAAACTAAATTAAAGATTAAATTTAGTTCCTGGTGAGAAGCGAAAGTTAATCAATGATTAACTTCACCCTTAATCAGCATAATCAACATTCACCGGTTCCGGTTAATTAACTTAATCATAACAGTATTGGAAACTCTGTCTGACATTGACAATTAGGTTAATTGTTGCTCGTGAATACCACAATCAATTTGGTTACAATTAAGATTCAAATTCAATTAACAAGTTAATTTGAATCTTTTTCAATTTAATTTTTCCTTTGCTTCAGTCAAATGCAAAAATAGTTATTAACTCAATGGAATCAGTTAATTGTGATCAAGTTAATGTGATTAATTATCAAACATCATGATTAATCAACTCTTTTTTATTAGCAAACAATTAAATGCTAATGATTAACTTTGATAGTTGTGTAAACATAAATAAATAATCATGTTAATCATGTTTGAATCATGATCATAGTGTTTTAATTGTTTAATCAAATTGATTGTTATCTAGATTAAAATAAACGAAATGGTAACAATTAACTTTGTATTGACCTCTTCCGGTCAACAATTAGGATCATAATTAAGTCTCAAGGATTAAATCAACATCACGAATTAAAAAGTTAAACAATTATAACAATCAAGACAATCAAGACAATTTAATCACCATTTTGACACCCGTTGAGCTTGAACAATTTAAATTAATGTTAATCATTAAATCAAATAATTTAATTTTGTTACAATCAAACAGTTTAATCAATAATAATAATTTAACAGTAAACTTTTTCAGATTTAATTGTAGTTAAAAATTGACTTGATTAGTTGACCATTAAAAATAAACCCTTTTTTTAATTGTTACAATATATTGTTTCATTTGATTCAATCATTAATTTAAATCATTAATCATTTCATTCAATTAACAACTGAAAGTGTATATACCAACAATTGGCTAACTACAATTAACAATCAATATTAAATTTCAATAAATTTGATTAATGATTATTTTGTTTTCATATTTGATTAAAAATTTTGTTCAGCTTCATTGATTGTTGAACAATTAATATTAATCATGAAACATGATAATAAATTGTAAACTTAATCATTAAAATGTTTACTGTGTTGAAAATCAAGTCTGGTTAATATCAACAACTCTTAATTGTTCAATCACAATTAAGCTGATTATCTGTTGATAATTTTGAAACACACATCATAATCATCATAATCCTAAGCAGTTAATCAAATTAACTGTCTTAAATTGTTTACATTTAATTAAAAGGGAAATAATAATTTTGGTGTTACAGTTAATCACCAACATGATCAATTTAATAGTTTGTTTATAATTTGTAGTGATTAAGATGATGATGATAATCAAAAAGTTCATCAACCTAAAGGATTGATACTGATCATGATACTAAATTGTTACAAATGAAATTATAATCAACAGTTAACTAAATCAAATTTAGTATAACAATCAATGATATGTATATTCAGGGTTAAATTTGATTACAAAACGATAATTTCATGTTTCTTTAGACAATCAACAATCAAATTTGATTGTTACGTGTGTTTAGTTAAGTTAATTCAATTTCTGACAAGTTATCCCATTATCATTACCATCAATTGATTGGATTAACAATTGATTTAAATTCTTGTGATTAAAGTAACTAAACAAAAAACAAATTGTATTGTTAACAATTTATTGATTCACTTCCTGATTAACTTGATCATCTTGGTTTAAAGTGATAATATCCAATATCCTTGTGTCAATTTGATTAACCCAATCAAGTGAAATTATCATGACAATTAAAATTACAAATTAAAGACTAAATCAACCATTGACTTAGTTAATTATAATTAACTAATTTAAATTGTTTAGTTAGTTAATCAAGGTCACGGATAAAGGAAACACTTTTATATTTATTTCAAGTTCAATGTCACAATTTAAATGATGACGATGACAATTAAAGTTGTTAATCATCACTATTAATGAATATAATCACGATGATAATGAATAGGTGATGAAACATTTAATCTTAATCATCATCATCATCATTAGTCTGGACTTTTGTTAATCATCACAATATAATAACAATGTTTTAGAAACTAAATTAACCCCCTAACGGTAACAATTAACGATAACAAAAGGTGACAATTAATGAAATTAGATCATTGAATATAACCCCTTTTCTTTATTATTATTATGACAAAATTGAGACACTTTTTAATCAACTGATTAATAATTAACCATTAACAATGATTAAGATGATGACCACACCTCGGATTATTTTTAAAACCCTCATCTTGCCGGAAGATAAATTGATGATGATGATGATGATTGAGGTATTATCATTTCCTTTTCCTTATCATCATTATCATCTTCGTGACCTAAATAATTAGTTAATCAAATCACTAATCACCGAGCCCATAAAAAAAATGATTTAAATTGTCTTGTTTATTTATCGCTTTTGATTGTTACCCTTTTTTTTTATTAACAGTTTTCTTAATTGTATTAATATAATTACAATTAAATTAAATTGTTGGGGTGGGATTTTATCATCAAGGTGTGGGTGGGATTGTTAATTGTTGTTGATTATGGTTAATTTATCATTGGTAATACAATTATAATCCCTCTCTATTGATGGGTAAGTTGATCAAATTTAATTTGATTTATTAGTTAATTGTTACTGCCTTTATCTTTTATTATCTTGGTCAATTGGCTCAGTTATAATATAGTTAAGTTAATTATTATCACAAATTGATTACAATTAACTATTAATTTTTATTATTTTCAACTAATATAAACTTTCAATTGATAAATTAAAGGTTTAATTGTTGATTAACTTTTGCCTTTTCTTAATCTAAGTTTCCCTTTAAGCCTGAAAACAATTGGCAATAGTTAAATAAATCATGATTAAATTAGATTAATCTAATTACCATTAATATTAATATTTCCTGAATGATATTGATCAACAATTAATAATGATCATAAGTTAAACATTTGATTATATTATGCAAAAAACTATTAATACAATTAACGATATTGACAATTGACTGATTGGTCAGAATGACGATATTGATAATGATTATAATTATAACAATTAACAGAGACAATTGAAAGTTTTTCAAACTATAATCTAGTAATAACAATTAACTTCAAGTCAATGACATTTAGAGTAATAATTAGATCCAAGGTAATCAGAAATACTGTCAATTGTTAATGATTAACAATCAAATCAATATCGAGATCAGATTATCATGAAACTTAATTCATCTTCAATGATAATCCAATGGTGATAAAACTTCATGGACTCAACAATTGAAGAAGATTATCTTCCAGGAAGATAATCTCTCTAACATATTTATCTTCCCACTTTCATCATCTTATTACCTTCATTTTGAAGATGATGATGATGACAATATCTTTCTTTCATCATCTTCTTTGTCATCTTCATCTTTTTGATAGATTATCAACTAATCATTATTAATCTTTGATTCTCTAAGTCAAATTGGAAACTTTTTCTTTCATTAAACAGGTCAAAAGGATGTTACATGATTATCATCATCATATTGACCTAAACTTAATCATGATGATGATTAGATTGTTAATCTATTAAATCAATAAATTGTTATGGTCAAGAAAACACGATGACCATTAAAAAAAGAGAGAGAGACAAATCTAGTTAACATTGAGAAAATGTGAAAAGTTTTTCTTTATATTCAACTACATGTATTTACGTTGATGATTAACTTAATTACCACAATGGAAATGACCTAATTTAATTGTAAACTGTCAATAAAGACCAAAACTTAGACAACAATTTAATAATCGTGAACATTATTTATCCATAAATCGTGATTGTTGAGGTCGAAAAGTTTGCCGATCTATTTTCGAGGTTAGAACTTTTTTTTCTCATTTTTGGTTCGGAAAAAAAATCGACAAAAAAAACTCCAATCATATTTTTCCGATAATTTGATTAACTTTACATAATTTAATTGTCTGTTGACAGTTAATTGTATTCTCGTTGATTATCGTTCAAATTGATTTATTGTGTTAATTGTGCTCTTGACATAGAAAATGATTATTATTCAATTTTTTGTTTTCGCTAATGAGAATCAAATTGTTGACACAAATTGTTTACTTTTTTGGTGTTTAATCAGCTTTAATGGTGATGATGATTAACTGATCAAGATGATTAGAAACAACAATTAACATTTAACAGCCCAAATAATGGTCAATTAAGATTGTTTTTGTTTATAATTAAAATTGTTAAATGTTATCCAGCAACAATGTTTACAATTGAATTGCTAATTTAGTTGTAATTTGATTGAAAAAAAAAGTTATTACAATTAGTAAATTGCTAAATTAAGAAATCATCAGAACAACTTGATTAACAACAATTAGTATTAAATTGAAAACAGTAAACTGTAAAATCAACTAATCACAATGAATGAGAAACACACAATTAAAATCTGATTAGAAAGCAAAATAACAGCAATTTGAATGTTTCAAGTGTTTACAATTCACAATCTAAATTTAATTTTGATTAACAATTAACCATCGTGATTGTTTAAATTAGTAACAGTTACACTTGAATGTAAATAATATATTGATATTAAAAAGTTATCCATGATTAAAGTTAATTGTTACAATAAGTAAATCACTTTGATCTGTCAACAGACAAAATGTAATGAGAAACATAATTTCAAGGGAATTACCAATTACAATTACTAAATCAAATCATAATCTATTTTCACAATTACAGTAATTAATCAAACACCAACATTATCATGATCATCTTAATCATCTTTATCTTCATCTTTTTCCTCATCTTCATCAGATATTAATTAGCATAATCAAGAGATGCTTTTAATTATTGCGAGAAAAAAAATTTCCTCAACTTGATTAACAACAAACATCTAATGGATTCAAGCTTAATAAGCATAATGTTTTCATCTTAATCTTCATCTCTTATCATCCTCATCCCTTTAATGATGAGGATGATGCTCTTGATGGTGAGATGATGATGATGATGCTAAAGATGAGGATGATAATGTTTTCATCTGAAACTTTAATGGTTTCTTAGGAAAATGTCATGTTGATGGAGATTTTTTTTTCACCAACAACATGAAGATGAAACTTTTTTCCTCATCTCGTAGACACTTAATCATGTAATCGAGTTTGTTTTTAACATGATTAGTAAATTGTTAACCGAGAAAAGTTTCAATTTTAAATGGATCATTAATTTTACTTTTTAAATTGTTGTCAAATTGTTACTATTATTGTGAAGATGGTGTTGTTGTTGGTTGTTGATCGTTTTCAAGTAATTGATTGTGATGATGAATGTTAATTGTTGATCATCTTGAGAGATTATAACAGAACCGGAAAAACAAAAAAAAAGTGATAACTATTAAATTACCGATCTGATTGTTGATTAGAAAATTAATTAGTCAGGATAAGTAACAATTGATTGATAGAAATCAATTTTGTTGTTGTGGATTAAATTCAATTGAATCAGTTGATGATTAAGAAGCGATAATTTTGCTTTTTTCAGTTGCGAGAAAATCTCTCTCTCTCTCTCTCTTGATTATCATCATTCATCTTCACGGTTATCATCATCATCTGTGGGCTATGATGATAACTGTTATTATTATTATGTATCTTTGATGATGATGATAATCATCCCGGATCTTCATCAAATTCATCTCCATCTTCCTCATCATCATCTTCTTTGTAACCTTAACAAAGGGTCAGTTCATCATCATTATCATCCGCATCTTCATAGGATATCATCACCTTGTTTGTATATT